GGAAGGCATACAACACCTCCAAGGAGTCATCCAACACCTCCGAGGAGTGATTCAACGCCTTCAGGAGTGAGTGGGGCAACAAATACACAAATGTGTCTACTCCCTGGAGTACCTGCACAAGTTCCTAAAAGAGCAGTCTGCTGAAGTCCTAGGAGTACGCAGAAGCAGTCGCCAGACCCGTCCTGCAGACAAAAACCGAGATTATCAAAGGACTCTAGATGAGGAACAGTCTTGAAAAGAGCAGCATGACAACTCCATGGAGAAACCTAACACTCCTGAGGTTCATGAAGAAACATCTGATACAGAGGAGACATTCTTTGCTGGAATAGCAAGTACCGGTCCATCTAACACAGACCTTCCAAGGACACTAAAGGAAGCCTTATCACGTCCGGATGGAGAATTATGGAAGTCTGCCTTGGAGGAGAAACTCCTAAGTCTCAATACTAATGCAGTATATGACACTGTTCTACTTCCGAAGGGGGTGAAACCCATCACATCGAAGCCTGTGTTCCGGATCAAGTTTGATCAAAACAGAAACATTGAGAGATACAAACTCCGGATTGTTGCACGAGGTTTTACTCAAAGGGAGGGGATTGATTACCAGGAGGTTTTTGCTCCGGCTGCAAACTTAGAGTTGATCCAAATTATTCTAGCCCTGGCAGCAAAGTACAACCTAGAACTTGATCAAATGGACATATCCACAGCTTATCTCAATGGAGAACTTGAAGAAGAACTGTACATGCTTCCTCCAGGGGGTGTTCCTATCCAACCTGGATACTGCTGGAGATTGAAGAAATCCATCTATGGGTTAAAACAAGCTGGTTGTACATGGAACAAAACTTTTGATCACAAGCTCCAGGAGCTCAGTTTCACAAGACTAAATGCAGAAACATGTCTATGTATTCCAGGACAACAAACAAATATGCTTTGTTGTTGTCTATGTAGATGATCTCCTCCTAGGAGCTTCATCCCAAAAATTCATGGATATTACAAAAGCCAAACTCGAATCCATATTCAAAATGCAGGACCTTGGAGAAGTAAAATACATCCTCGGAATAGAAATCCAACGTGATCGTTCAAACAAAACAATATCCCTATTGCAACACCAATACATTGACACAGTCCTGGAGTGTACTGGAATGAAGAACTGCAAACCAGTATGGACACCAATGGCCCATGGATCAAAACTCCTTGCAAATGCTCCAGGGGAAGATATTGTGCAACACGGGATACATATTGAAGGGCGTCAAGTGTCATACCTCTCAATTGTAGGCTCCCTCATGTATGCCATGCTCGGAACCCGCACAGACATTGCCTACGTCGTTGGAATACTAAGCAGGCATAGCTCAGCTCCAAGGAGCCATCACTGGGAAGCTGCAAAATGTGTCCTCCGATATCTGAAAGCAACCAGGGACATGGAACTACGATATGATGGCACAGATGTCTCCATGGACATGGATTTCTATGGATATTCAGATGCAGATTGGTCTGGAGACCCAGACACGTCTTGATCAACATCAGGGTTTGTCTTTATCATCATCCGAGGAGCAATCTCCTGGACAAGCAAAAGACAAAGCATGGTCGCTTTATCCTCCACGGAGTCAGAGTACATTGGATTGAGCAATGCTGGGCAACACCTTGCATAGCTTCGGACATTTTTTGAAGAAATTGGACATGCTCAAAATGGACCTACAACATTGCACTGTGAAAATCAAGCAGCCATTATTCTTACACGAGATCCACAGTTCCGTGCTCGCACAAAACACATTCAACGGAAATATAATTTTATCCGAGATGACTTAGTATCAAAGGGAGAGGCAGTAATCAGATACGTTCCTACAGGAGATATGGTTGCAGACATTCTCACTAAACCCCTCACTCACAAAAAACACTGGAAATTCTCTAAAGCTATGGGACTACGGTTGCACTTGAGTGGGAGTGACAAAAGCGGATAAACCCAGTCTCTGCCAAAGCAGCCATTGTTCTCCTAGGAGCACAATTGTACTCCTAGGAGTCATTATACTGTAGCGAGTAGCACCTCTGACTATAAGTAGTAGGGGGCTTAGTATAGAAATACCTGAGTCGTTTCTATAGCCTCTTGGGCAGCGGCTGAGGTATGTTACATTACATTTATTAGAGATCACCTTAAACTAACATCAATTGTAGTTTCACATAGGTAAATAATAAAGTCGTTTCTATAGCCTTTTGGGCAGCGGCTGAGTTTCACATAGAATTATTAAGTACAAGGTCCTTATATACTGTAGGTAGGTTAGCTAAGAGGTACATAATTTAATAATTAAATAACTAAAGAGACTTATTACTATGGAAAGCTGAGTTGAACGTAAAGGATATTGATCAAGCTATGTATGTGAAAAGAGAAAGTGGGAGATTGGCAAAAACTAGGTGTTACGAACTGTGTTTTTTATGGACTTCATTTCTGTTCTAGAGTAGCTATACACCACTACTCATTCATACTTTTGTTCACTTTAAGGTAGGTGTTTGTGTTGAACAAACAATGACAGGTGAGACTATAATAGGTAACAAGTGTGGGAAAGTATATATACACGCCTGTATTGTAGTTAACATCTCCAATGCAATTATACGCTTCAACAGTGTAACTTGGTATTCATCAGTTTGAACCTCATCATCAGAATACGTCTCAAACCTGTTTACCAACAGGCTTATCAAAAACCACTTGCACATCCAGTAAACCCTGTGTTACCAGGCTTGCACATTCCAAGCATAACAAAACAATTGTATTCTATATCCATATCCCACACTTTATAGCAAAGGGACGAAAAAGACGACAAAATGTCGCAAGGAAGAAGACCCACCACCAGGGCACAGACCAGAGCAGAACCAACCCAGACAGCAACACCCCCAGTATTGTCTAGACAAGGGATAGCAGCACCACCTCCCTTTCCCCAACCCGACATCACTTGAGTCCACACCAGAGAACAAGCAGACGCATTTTACAAAGCCAGAACACATTGGCTACAGTATTACACAGAAAGCCACCCACAGCTAATACCCAAAATCCAACACAATCCCCCAGTAGTTGCATCAGACACCTACGACAAAAACAATTTTGAAGAATATGCAGTAGAAGGTGAATCAATACCACCTCCCACACCACAGATACTTCCCACAGCACCCAATCCATCTCCTGTTCCACCAACACACTGTCATGCACCAAAGTTGATTGGTAGCATGGACAGGTGTCAATAACGAAGCGAATATTCAAAAAGACTCGCCTTTGCGCCACACAGGCACAGTGCCACATGGAATAGTAATTAATATTGCCCTTTTTGAACTTGTGGCTGATCAGCACCACCTCTATTAGGCAATCCAGTCACGCTCACCTTTGCTTTTCCATTTGGTACTTTCCGCATTTCGGCATTTCGGCAAATTTTCGCGTCGCCACTGGCTACACATTGCATTGCGCCCTCGCTTTTGTCGTTTCCCTTACTCCCCTTCTTTTGCCTAGCCCCACCATGGGCCCCTTCCTCTCCTTTTTATTCTCACCTGATGGTCGTTTCTGGATCCCCATTCTAATCCACTTTTCCATCACCTCCACCCTCCTCCTCCTCATCTTATTTGCACCCCCACCATTTCTGATGTCACCACTTCCTATCCGCTTCCGTCGCCGATCCGTTGACTACCACGTGCCACTGCTGATATCAGCAAAGCCCCGGCGGCCGGTCCAAATAGGGCAACAGGTCCATCTTCATGACGTCGATCTGCCATCATATACTATCAAAACATCGGTCGCTCGTCTTGCCTGGTTGGAGCGTGGGTGGGTAGTTTTTGAGCTGGAGAAGGTTCATCCCCTTGCGTTGCCCATGTTCATCGCTGTCCCATTCACTTGGGTACACTTATCTTTTGTCCATCGTCTTCGCTACAGCTACACCTATCACACGCTGCCTGGGACTCACTTGTTCCAAATTGGAACTACTCCTCTCCCTCCCTTGTTTGATCAGGTGGTCCAACACAACCAGTCCATTGGTAAGGCCATGGAACTGTCGGATTTGGACTAGGTGGTGGACCGGTGGCTCCAGTTTCTTTTTCTTCAGCAGAACATTCATTTACAGTGCGATTATTTTTGATTTTTGAATCATTTTTATGGACACATATTTTTTTAGAATGCCTGACTGACAATAAAGGAACTGTGTTGATACTGATAGTGTTTTGCCTTGCCCTTTTTTTACTGCATCTTCCCATGACATCATGATTTTCCTGCTCTCTTTTTGCTATTGGACTTTACTTTATGGCTGTACAAACCTGTGATATTACTCACAGCATTCATTGTTCTATCTCTTTCTTTTCCTTTTTTTGACAATCTTATCCTGTACTACCTACGCAGGATTCGTCAGCGTACATTCCTTCCTTCATGTTCTTTCTCATTCTTTTTGCACAGCTATACTGTGCATAGCCTACTTTTCTTTTACTATATAAACCCCTGTATTTTACCTTGTAAAAAAAAACAAAGAACTCCAACCCAGACTTCTTCTCTACTCTCAAGTTCACTACTCTGCTACTTGTAATCCAGTGTGGTCACAACACTTCCCACTTCTACCACTGTCAACTGCTGTCATCGTCACTTCCCACTTTTGAAGTCATTGTCATCCCTTTTGATTAGAGTCCTTCTGAGCACTACAGTTTGTGCGTCAGGAGCCTGCTATCACTGGGAACCTCGTCATATTGTCGTTCTCAAACCTACCTTGTGCTACAATTAGCAAGGTAGTGCTCGTCTATACTCGTCACAAAGCCCCTATCCTTCTATAAATTCAACTATCCCTCCTCCTCAAAACCCACACTCATACACCTCTGGGTTTTACTTTGAAGGATCTTTATATGTACCACCCCACGAACAACCAGACCACTCCACTGTTCTAGGAGGCAAAGCCCATAAACAAGTTCCGTGGAATCTGGGAGGATTGTGTGTTAGTTTGTTTTGTGTGTGGTTTTCTAACAACAGTTCTCATCTTCGACAACGCACCATGTCTAACGCTGCAGCATCCAAGCCCACTAAGTTTGGACAGATAGTCAGTTTTGATGGAATGCCTGACCAAGCCAACAGATGGATATTGTCAGCCAAAGCATATTTTGACATAAATGACACCATCTATGACCTAGACAAAAAGAAGGTCTTTGAAGCACTTTCCCACATGGAAGAGGGAGCAGCCCTAGCATGGAAAGAAACCAAATTGACGGAATACACAGGATTGGGCAAATACCCAAAATGGGCAGACTTCAAAACCGACTTTAATGGGACATTTATTACCGCAAACATAAAAGGGAGAAAAGAAGAAAGAGGAAAAAAGGTGGAAGAAGCCAATCATCCTCAGCAGTACAATTAACCAAAGATGAAGAAGATTCACTCAAATGTGAAGGGTGATGCTTCATATGCAAAAAACAAGGACACATCCCACAGTTCTGCCCGGAAAAAAAGAAAGGGAAACACCCAGACAGGAGAAATAGAACAGCAGAAGTTGCAGAAAAAGATGAAACAAAAATGGTGGTGGAAGATGGAAAGGGAATTTCTTGCATCCTCAAAATGTGGAAAGAACTTAGTGAAGCAGGTCAAGCCAGCACCATTGATGAATTAGAGAAAGAGGGTTTTTGAAAGGACGACCCACCCCAATGTTGGTACCGTCCAAAATAGCCATTGTAAACATAGCCACGATCAATTCAAACTCATCATGAATTGATACCACGTTACAACAAAAAACCATTAGAATAAAAGCATTAATAAACTCGGGGGGCGACAGACAACTTCATGGATGCAAAATTTGCAATCAAACATCACCTACCACTCAACAAACTTGACACGCCCATCACATGCAAAAATGTAGATGGAATGATCAGTAATGGAGGGAAGATCACCCACTACACCTATCAACAAATAGAAGCAGGAGGAAGGAATGCCATGTGCAAATTCCTCATCACCAGATTAAGAGGAGAAGACATTCTCCTTGGATAGCCATGGCTCCATAAGGTTAACCCCACTATAGACTGGACGTCAAAAAGCATAGACACCCAACATGCCATTTGCACAATCCAATCACACTCTGACCAATCAATGATTTGCACCATCACAATCAATCAACCGGAACTATTAATCAACTACGTACACAAAACACGGATTTTTGCGGAAACTAACACCGCAATGGAATTGGCCATCCAGAACAATGTTGGGAAAAAGATAACGGAACTACGCAAAACCTAAAAGGAGTTTGCACAGGTCTTTGACAAAAAGGCTTCAGAAAGATTACCCAAAAGAAGGATTTACGATCACACCATAAACCTAAAACCAGAGTTTAGATCAAAGTATTGTAAAATCTATCCTTTATCACCCAAGGAAAACACAGCACTCAAAAAATTCCTTAACGACAACCTTCGAAAAGAATACATCAGACCAAGCAAATCTCCGATGGCTTCCCCCTTTTTTTACATAGACAAAAGGACAGATCTTTATGACCATGCCAGGACTACCATCAGCTCAATGAACAAACAATCCGAGATCCCTACCCACTGCCCATGTTCCCTGACCTTATAGACAAACTCCGTGGAGCATCACATTTCACAAAATTAGATCTACATTGGGGATATAACAATGTCAGGATAAAGGAAGGAGACAAATAGAAAGTGGTGTTTAAAACCAGAAAAGGACTCTTCAAACCCATGGTCATGTTCTTTGGCATGTGCAACTCCCCGGCCACCTTCCAACGCATGATGAACAACTTCTTTGCAGATATGATAGATGAAGGATGGCTGATCATATACATGGATGATATGCTCATATTCAGCAAGGGACCTAAAGAACACATCCTACAGACAAAACAAGTATTACAACATCTGCGCAAAAACAACCTATACCTAAAACTAGAAAAATGCACATTTGATGTAGCCAAAATAGAATATCTTGGCATGATCATCCATCATAACCAGGTACAATTAGACCCAGTAAAACTGGCAGGAATCCAAAATTGGCCTACACCGACTAATATCTATGAGGTTTAAAAGTTCCTGGGATTTTGTTACAATTGACGTACCAGTACCTACTTACACTTCACTTTTTTGTACTTTTACTTTTAATTTTCCAAGTCACATGACTAGTCATGTGACCATTTACTTTACTTTACATTTTCGGACTTTTCATAGTCACATGACCAGTCATGTGACATATCATGTGACTGGTCACATACTAAACATCGGACTTAACTTGTTGAAACCTAATGGGTAACCACTCCCACCTTTTCCTCTTCTTTTGAGTGTTGTTTTCATTGTGCTCCAGTGCCCCAAGACTGTGTCTTGTTGGTGTTGTCACAGATTTGGCAACTTCTACCACAAATTCATTGGTCACTACTTGGAACTCGCAAAACCACTCAACACCCTACTAGCAAAAGGGAAAACTTGGAATCAAACAAAGACCGAAGAAGACACATTTGCGCTACTGAAACACTGTTTTAGCAAATCACCAGTTACCCAGATACCAGATCCCAACAAACTATTGCAAATTGCAGCAGACACATCCAAACATACAACTGGAGCGGTGTTAAACCAACCCAATGACAATGAAGTATGGCATCCATGTGCCTTCTTCTCCAAAACATTATCCCCAGCCAAAAAGAACTACCAAATATACAACAAGGAACTGCTTGCTGTCATCAGAGGACTAGAAGAATGGAAATATTACATCCTAGGCAGTGCCCACACAGTAGATATATTAACCAACCACAAAAATCTCACATATTGGCAAGAAGCCAGAAAATTGACACCACGGCAAAGGCACTGTCATGCACCAAAGTTGATTGGTAGCATGGACAGGTGTCAAAAATGAAGCAAATATTCAAAAAGGCTCGCCTTTGCGCCACACAGGCACAGTGCCATGTGGAATAGTAATTAATATTGCCTTTTTTGAACTTGTGGCTGATCAGCACCACCTCTATCAGGCAATCTAGTTGCGCTCACCTTTGCTTTTCCATTTGGTACTTTCCGCATTTCGGCATTTTGGCAAATTTTCGTGTCGCCACTGGCTACACATTGCGCCCTCGCTTTCGTTGTTCTCCCTTACTTTTTTTCTTTACTCAGCCCCACCATGGGACCTTTGCTCTCTTTTTTATTCTCACCTGATGGTCGCTTCTGGATCCCCATTTTAGTTCACCTCCTCGTCACCTCCACCCTCCTCCTCCTCATCTTCTTTACTCCCCCACCATATCTGATATCACCACTCTCTATCTGCTTCCGTTGCCAATCCGTTGGCCACCACGTGCCACTGCTGATATCAGCAAAGCCATGGTGGCCGGTCCAAGTTGGGCAACAGGTCCATCTTCATGACATTGATCTTCCATCATATACCATCAAGACATTGGTCGCTCGTCTCACCTGGTTGGAGCGTGGGTGGGTAGTTTTTGAACTGGAGAAGGTTCATCTCCTTGCTTTGCCTATGTACATCACTGTCCCATTCACTTGGGTACACTTATCTTTCATGTACTGTACAGTTGATAGAGGCAGTGGCTGATGATGTCATGGGGCCTAGCCCGTGTGACCAGCTGCACTGTTACGATAACACCATTTTCGGACCTTTCCTTTAATTTTCATTCTCCACTTTAAACCTTTTACTATAGTTCACACTCCGTGCCATACAGTACTTTCCTTTTTTGTTCTAACTCCACCTTCTCGCGCAGCGCTGCCTTTATTCTTCTTTTAGACTCAAACTCTCTCATGCAGTGGAGCTGGTCACACGGGCTGCGCCCTCTGACATCATCAGCCACTGCCTTTATCAACTGTACAGTATATAGGTACAAACACTCTGTATTAGTATAAATACCCCAATAGATCAAGGAGACTCCTCCTCCTGTTGTTAACCAACAAACTCTCTGCAGCCTAAGGGGTAACCACTTTCCATCTACTACCTTTATAGTGTGTTCCTGTGTGCGCCAGAGTAACTAACTCTTGGTTGTCACATCCACTGCGTGAGAGACTTGTAGCTAAACTAAGAATAAAGGCAGCGCCGTGCAAGAAAGAGGAGTTTGAACAAAAGGGAAAGTGCCGCATGGCACAGAGTGTGAAAACTACAGTAAAGGTTAAAGGAAACGTCCGGAAATGTGTTATCGTAACACTACCAACCAAGTGCCGGAGGTAGTAGTTAAATTTTCGGGCATAGGTTAAAAAGGGAATTAAAAATTTTAGAATCCATGCCTCTAAGCTTCCTAGGAGCTGAGGGATTCTTAGAATAAAATTTGCGAACAGTGTCATGGGAATTGTCCAGATGGGCTTCTGTTTCCCACGTTCTGTCCTCGTCTCCATAGCCCTTCCATAGGACTAGGAATTCTAATTTTCTACGCTTCAAGTGTGCATCCACCACCCATTCAACTTCGAACTCTTCTTCACCTTCCTGGGTGACTACAACCGGTCCTGGCCGGTCTACATGCTGTCCCGGAAGCGGCCCTTTATAGGGTTTCACATGGCTAATATTATTAAGAACAAAGCTTGAAGGAAGTGTCTAGCCACTTGCTGAGAGCAATCAGGGACTGGAACTAGAGTCCAATGTGAGTAACTTTATTATTAGAGAGTATGACAGGTATACAGTACCTAGAGTCCAATGTGAGTAACTAGAGAATAGGAAGCATTGGACTCTGTAGTACTGTCCGAAGTTTTGTAAACAAAGGTAAACAAAGCAGCCACAAAGGCAAAATAATAGAGAACACAATCAATAGTGAATGATAGAAGAATAGATAGAGAAAGGAATGAAAATATATAGGTAGCACAAAGGTGCAGAATCACCAAAACTAACAAATATTGACCGTGGGTACTACCCTCATTTGTTTTGGGAGTTCCAGCTCCACTGCATTTGGTTTGACTTCCTTAATCCGGTAAGGGCCAATCCACTTTTCGGTCAGTTTTCTAGACTGCCGATCTTTTAACTATAAGTGGTTGGTATCTAACCAGACCAGGTCGCCGACCTTGTAGTCAGGGGCCTTAGAGCGTCTACGCTCTGCCCTGTCTTTCATCTGCTCTGCAGTTCTAAATAGTGCCTTGCGCGTTTCGTCTAAGACAGACTTCATGTCTTTGACCATGTTCTCAGCAGCCTCGTTCTTGCTTTTGCCAGGTTCTACACCCATTCTGGGAAGGTACAATCTTGTAACTTCAAATGGTGCCTTTCCTGTAGCTGACGACTGTTTAATGTTATATGAGAACTGGGCTATCTTTAGCCACTTGGCCCAATCTGTCTGTCTATTGTTAATAAATATCCGGAGGTATTGCTTCAATTCCTGATTGAGTCTCTCTGTTTGTCCATCTGTTTGCAAATAGAACACTGTTGATAACTTAGGTTTGATGCCCAGAATCCGGCATAATTTTTCCGTAGATTCGCTAGCAAATTGTGGTCCCCTATTGGAGATAACCGTTTCCGGTGACCCATGGATAGACCATACGAAATCTTTAAATAAGTCTGCCGTACCTGCGGCGGTAATAGTTTTATTGGTGGGAATAAATACTACTTCTTTGGAGAAGCAATCTACTACCACATCAGGAACAACCCTTTTGCTATATAGCGCTATATAGCCACCACCTATATATATAAACACATTCATAGAAACTATAGTACTATCAGTGCAATCATAGCTCTTATAGCTCTTATAGCACAGTAGTAGGCAAAATTTTAACCAAGGGGAGAAGTATCTATAATTCCCTCAAACTCTGGATTAATCTAATAAACTTGTTCAATAATAGAAAGAGGCCAAAAGTGTTTGGAGTAAAGTATATTATTATAGGCAAGATACTATAAGTGCTCTTATAGCCTATAGCAGCCTACATAGCTCCTATAGCTGTAAAGGTCATAGTTATAATATAGTTCAAGGTGCTTAAAAGGGCTAATAAATCATCCAGTATTAATTAATTATGTAGCCTGTATTAGTGAAATAGTAGTTTGTATCCCTGATACTCACAAAATAAGAATAATGATTTATCCAAATATAAGTAGTGACAATGAGTAAAAAAATAATCCAAGTCCATCAAAGGTCAATATATAACACCTGTATAATACAATTTATAAGCTCTCATGGTGTAGTGGATAAATGTGATGTGTGGCTGTAGGTTGCTTAGTCACCCAAGAGCTGACTAGCAGGTTGAGAGTTCAAATCCTGTCTGTGTTAATTTTTTTTAATCAGCCACAAAACAATTTCCAACATCTATAAGAGCATTTATAGAGCTATATGAGGCTCTATAGATGGCAGAGGTTCTATAACAGGTTTAACCACTATAACAGCTTTATGAGTACTTATAGTGCTATAGAGCTCTATATAGCTACCCCCATTTTTCCTGATGCACCATTACTAAATCATACCCGTTTGACTCAGGTAGATCCGTTGTAAAGTCAACCGATATATCCTGCCAGGGACCAGCTGGTATTGGATTTGGCATAAGTTTACCGGCCGGCGGTTGATGAGAGTTCTTAGCCATGGCACATCTTAGACAGGATTTTATGTATTCCTGTCCGTCTTTGACCATGCCAGGCCACATGTAATTTCTGGAGATCAACTCCATTGTTCATTGCCACCCAGGGTGCCCAGCCACTGGAGTGTTGTAATGTCTGTCTATTGCCTTGATCCTTGCAGACTCAGGCACATAGATTTTGTCCTTAAAACAGAAGAGCCCATCTTCCCATAAATAGTTTTCATTGCCATCAAGGCACACCTTTTCTTCTGAGGAGATGTCTTTCTTGAAGACTTCCAGAAGATCAGAATCCTGCCCGATTCTAACATTGGCAACCCTTGATTGATCTATCAGGGTGACACCTTTGTTGTCATCTTCGATGCCGTTGGCATGATCCTCTCTTCTGGACAAAGTGTCCGCTTTCCCCATCGAAGTTCCAGGCTTATGAATTAATTTATAATTGAACCTAGACAGGTACACCGCATAGCGAGCCTGTCTTCGGTTCAAGTCTTGGGCCGTCATAAAATACTCCAAATTCTTATGATCGGTCCAAATTTCAAATTGGTGCCTAGCACCTTCTAAGTAGTGCCGCCAGTGCTCTAAAGCTTGAATGATGGCCAGCATCTCCTTATCGTAGATTTGATAGTTGCGCTCTGTAGGTGACAAACTATGCGATAAATAGGCATAAGGCCTCCAAAGATTGTCAGGGCATTTAATTGACAGCACAGCCCCAGTAGCAAAATCAGAAGAGTCAGTTTCTAGCCGGAACTCTTTGTCTAATTCTGGAAATGCTAATATGGGCGCTGTTGTAAATGCCTGTTTAAGCTTATCAAAAGCTTCTTGTTCCTTGGTGCCCCAATGCCAAATAATGTCCTTTTTTGTGTGATCGTTCAACGGTCTCGTTATTTTTGTGAAGTTTTCGACAAATCTTCAGTAGAAATTGCCTAAGCCAAGGAAGGCCCTAACTCCTTTGACACGAGTAGGTTCTGGCCAATCCAATATAGCTTGAACTTTCTCAGGGTCCATCCTGATTCCGTTCTGGCCAATTATCATACCGAGTAAGTCTACTTCCTTTACTTTAAAATTACATTTTTCGGGTTTGACAAATAGGTCCCGTTCCTGTAAGCGTTGAAGGACTTCTTGCACAACCCTGTCATGCTCAGCCTCATCGTCCGACTTTGTGAATATTAATAAATCGTCAATGTAAATGACAACACAGTTTTCCATATCCGCAAAGATCTCGTTCATCATGCTCTGGAAGGTCACCGGCGAATTGGTCAACCCAAAGAACATGACAAGGGGCTCGAAGGATCCTTGGTGGCACGTGAACGCAGCCTTCCAAGCATCTTCTTCTTCAATGCGTACATTATTGTACCCCCATCTGAGATCCATCTTGGTTAAGATCTTGGCACCAGCTAACTTGTCTACTAGCTGACTGATCAAAGGCAGCGCATATGCATTTTTAACCGTGTACTCATTCAAGTAACAATAGTCCATAATCATGCACTTTTTTCCATCCTTTTTAGGAATGAAGAACACCGGGGATGTCATAGGGCTCTTGGAAGGTCTGATGTAACCCTTCCTGAGCTGTTTGTCTATAAAACTAGAAACCTCATCCCTTTCTGGAGCAGAGAGAGGAATCATATGTCCCTTTCTAGGTTTGAATGTGTCCTTCAAATCTATAGCATGGTCCTAAGGCTTAGCCTCTGGGAAGCGCTCTGATTTATGTTCAGAAAAGACTTTCCAGAAGTCATGGTACTCAGGAGGTACCAGCCTCTTAATCTCTTCTTCGGGTTTCACCTCGTTATTGTCATTGTCAATTTTTTCTAAAGATCTAAGCTTGCCATAAACGTGACCAGTGTTTATCCTTTCATTAAGCTCAATTTGATGGACATGACTCGGCTTACCCAAGTCATTACACTCCTGAGGGCAACGTGACAATGTGACAACCCCTGTCTGCCAGTCGATCTCAGGATTATGTTGAAATAGCCAGGTCCAGCCTAAGATTAAATTGATCTTCCCTAGTTGGGTAGTTTTGGCGGTGATTTGTTCTCTGTGACCTTGGTACTCAACAACAAAAGAACATTTGTGTGTGATACAGCCACCCGCGTTAAGCATACCGTCAATGTTATAGACGGGAATAAATACATCTAATCTTACAAAGGGAAGTCCAATTTGCTCTGCCCAGACCTGATCTATGAAGATACCGTTAGCGCCTGAATCAAGTAGTGCACTGGTTGGGTGTACTATGCCCCAGGCAAGGTTTTCCACGTCAACGTCTAAACAGATCTCCTTTTGGAATAAATATGTGCACATCAACACACACTTTGGGATTTTGGGAAAGGGTGGCTCCAACAAAGAAGAAGAGCTATCAAAAGCTACATGTTTTTCTATTTTATTTTTACCAGAATTAAGCACCCTATTATTTGTCTCGCCGAGGCCACGCTCCAAAGGAGATGCTGGTACAGCGGTGGTATTGTAAGTATTTCTAGTATCAACTCCTTCATTATCCTGACCCACTGAATCAGCACTCAAAGCAGCTATATCGTCAGATGGGTCCAGGCTAAATCCACAGTCACAACTATGCATACATGTACATACTTCAGATAATAAGTTCAAAAATCTATTTACAATTTGGGGAGCCATCCCCTTCTTTCCATTATTGCTCATGCAACACCCCGGAGCAGGGGCCACTTTGTTGTGGTTTACTTTATTGTTTCAAGGAGCAAAGGCACCCAAGTGACCTAAGCTCCAAACTCTTTTCCCTGAGCCTTCATTTTGTTAACCTGTTGGTCGTAAAAGAAAGCCTGGATTTTGTCGTAAGAACGACCAGCCAGAGTCTGGAGCCAATTGTCCGGTTTTTTGGTTTCAAGTTGGTGTGCCTGGCACCCTTGGTTATTTTTTTGTTGAGCAGCTCGTGCTCCGTTTATACAGTCTCGGGCCATGTGCCCCTCCTGTCCACAGCTGAAACAGGTGAATCTGCGCTTTTGTCCGCCCTGGACCGCGCCGATATCCATAGGAGCTCCCCAACCTGGTTGGAACCCGTGAGAATGATTTGATTTTTGGTTTGATGACCCAGGGCTCCTCTGGGAATTGTTGTATTTGGTGGTGGACCCGCCATCTTGGTGCATTTTGTAGAGCTCTATGGCCCTACCAATATTTCTAACCTCCTCCGCTGCTTGGGAGAGGTTGTCACTCCTCATATCCTGCAGATAGAGCTGTTCTGCAATGTGGGGGTTCACATTGCGTTCCAGCAGTTCCACTACATGTTTATTACCTAAGCCCCCTTGGATAGAGAGGGCCAGGAAATGGGTTACAAAATTGTCTGTCCTCATATTTCCTTGTTTGAAGGAGCGGATTTGCTGACACGCCCAGTCACGCTCAGCTTGCGGTTTGAAATACTTTTTGATCTCTACTTTGAGATCATCCCAGACAGGCCAACTCCCACGGTTTAGCACTCCTGCATTCATACTTGGGTGTATCAACCCGCCACAGGTCCTTTTAGTCAAGACAGCACTGTGGTTGCTACCTCAAAGTCATCGGCAAATGCATCCCAATTTGCCTTGACCCAAATATGGAGTTTGATCCACCATTTGGCAAATTGTGCTCTTTCTCCATCAAAGGCGCTGGGGTCAGCAACAACTTCGACCTTTATGTTAAACTTTTTCTCAACCAAGGGGGTCGCTGCAGGAGGGTGTGCCTGCAGCTCAGCAAGCTGTGTGGTCAACGCCAAAATCTGTGTGTGCATGCTGTGCAACAGAGCATTGGCGTTGGTTGGTTGACTTTGCAACAACATGTTGACTTGTTCTCTTGGTAATGTCAAAAAAAGGTAACTGGGGGTCCCCGCTTGCTATCTGTGGATCAACCTCTTCCCAGCTGAGTATCGGATCTCAATCTCCAACTACCCACACTATAGTATTTGAAAATGTATGTAAAGTTATAGTAACAAAACCCTGGTCTGAACGGTTGTCAGGGGGTGGTCCGCTTGTTAAGCTGTCAACCCTTCTCCAACTGGTGGAGGCAAGTGCCCGGCCTGGTCAGAGGAAAACGAAGAAGAAGTTTGTATGTAATTTCTAATCAACAGTGGTTCCACACCAACTGCTGAGCTAATGTACTCCCCTTAACACTGGGGGCCATGTATCAAGTAATTGCCTCTTCTCCCTGAGCACTACAGGGCCGTTGCTAGGAGCGCACCCTTCTGCTATACGGGATATTCCCAAACAATAGCCCCTTAGCCCTGGGGACCGGGTTTGCACAACGTGCGAGAGAGTAGTAGAGAGCGAGTCCTAATATAACAACTGAGAGTTTGTATACTCTGGTGCACAACTCAGACAAAGCTATAAAGAAGTGAGGGGAGTGGTTACCCCTTAGGTAGGACCAAGTTAGTTGTGGGTAAACAACAGGAGGACTCACTGAGGAGTCTCCCGGATCTATTGCGGTATATATACTACTACAGGTTGTTTGTACATGTTGTACTATACAGTTGATAAGGCAGTGGCTGATGATGTCAGAGGGCGCAGCCCATGTGACCAGCTCCACTGTGTGAGAGACTTGTAGCTAAACTTAGAATAAAGGCAGTGTCGCGCAAGAAAGAGGAGTTTGAACAAAAGGGAAAGTGCCGCATGGCACAGAGTGTGAAAACTACAGTAAAGGTTAAAGCGGAGAATGAAAATAAAAGGAAACATTTGAAAATGTGTTATCGTAACATCTTCTCTAATCTCAAGTTCACTACTCTGCTACTTGTGATCCAGTGTGGCCACAACACTTCCCACTGCTACCACTGTTAACTGCTGTCATCGTTACTCGTCACTTTTGAAAGTCATTGTCATCCCTTTTGATTAGAGTCCTTCTGAGCACTACAGTTTGTGCGTCAGGAGCCTGCTATCACTGGGAACTTTGTCACCTTGTCATCTTATTGTTCTCAAACCTACCTTGTGCTACAATTAGCAAGGTAGTGCTCGTCCAAACTCGTCACAAACCCCCTATTTTTATCTTCCAACTATCCCTCCTCCTCAAAACCCACACCCATACATCCTTGGGTTTGACTTTGAAGGATCATTGTACATACCTCCCCATGAACAACCAGAGCACCCACTGTTCTAGGAGGCAAAGCCCATAAACAAGTTCCGTGGCATCTGGGAGGATTGTTTGTTAGTTTGTTTTTGTGTGTGGTTTTCTAACAACAGTTCTCATTATCAACAGTGCTAGCAACTTCTACTCTCACAGTACAATTATATCCTGAAACACGTACCCAAAACATAAATGATGATTCCGGACAATCTTTCCAGAAGACCAGATTTATATGCAGAAGACAAAGAACAAGACACACCACTACTCCCAAAAACTGTTTTCGCCGCAGTAGCAAACACCGACCCATTTTTGACACGTATAAAAACCAGTTTACGTGAAGGAATCAAACTACCAATGCGCTCGGACCCCAAGGATTGGACCATCAAAAATGATGACGTGTTTTACAAAGGTCGCCGTTACATTCCCACAGGAACTGAGAGAAAAGCATGTATTCAACAACAACACGATTCAGTAACAGCCGGACACCCAGGACAACTAAAAACAACCCAATTAGTAAAAAGACATTACTATTGGCCAGGTATGACACAGATGATCAAAGATTATGTCACAGGATGTGCAATATGCCAACAAAGCAAGGCAATTACCAATCCGATCAAAATACTCATCCAACCAATTTTGGGCCCAAAGGCTACAGAACCATTCAAGAACCTGTCCGTCGACTTCATCACAGATCTACCAGAAAGCAACGGATATGACAGTCTCATGGTTGTGGTGGACCACGGCCTTACAAAGGGGGTAATACTATCACCTTGCAAGAAAACTATTTAATAAAACTAAGTGAAACTCAGCCGCTGCCTGAGAGGCTATAGAAACAACTTTATTACTTACCTAAGTGGAACTACAATGGATGTTAGTTTAAGGTGATCTCTAGTAAATGTAATGTAACATACCTCAGCCGCTGCCAGAGAGGCTATAGAAACGACTGAGGTATTCCTATACTAAACCCCCTACTACTTATAGTCGGAGGTGCTACTCACTACAGTATAATGACTCCTAGGAGAACAATGGCTGCTTTAGCAGAGACCGGGTTTATCCGGTTTTGTCAAATATGCCTCAAACCTGTTTACCAACAGGCTTATCAGAAACCACTTGCACATCCAGTAAACCCCGTGTTACCAGGCTTGCACATTCCAAGTGTAACACTAGGTTCCGAGACAAGCAAGGCTATGTGACCAGTGTCACATCCATTACATGCAGCTTGCTCTTTGTTTATGAAATCTTCCCTAGCCTCTAGGTGATCAGATGTGAATGAGATGCAAAAAGTCTTAGATATATATCTAAGAGTCTGAATGACAGAATGATGATGTGGTAGCAGATGAAGGATGCATGCCACATCACTATTTCACACATAAAAAATTTTCTATTATGATTGACTCGTGCCTCGTCTATCTTAGAATCACATTTTTTTCGTTCCCATACACGGCCTCAGTGAGTCTGAGTTGGTTAAATGAAATTGAGAGCAGTAACTCACGTGACACCATTTGATATCACGTGATGCACGCACCCTAATTTTCAGTCTTCATGATCTGAAGAATAGCCAAAATCCAAAAAAAATCAGCTTTTATCTTGCTATGTCTCATAACGATGCGGACACGACGGATGCTCCACCACGCAAGAAAATACGCAAGGCTTTGTCCCTCAAAAAATCTGATTCCTCCCCTCATGTGGTAGCGTCAACTCCTCGTTTGTTTGCTCCTTTTCGAGCTCTTGGTCTTATAACCAACCACATACCACTCTTTATACAAACGCGCTCGCACAAGGGTGCGACAGACGGCCCGCGGATACATATATTGACATGTTTGGGAAAATCGTGGGCCATGTGGGAAGGTGGAAAGATGGGTCTGTTATTCGTCGGTGAGTTTTATGCACCTTCTGGTCTATAAGCTTTGACACATGGCTCCATGATATTCATCGATCTATATAGGTCCTGAAGCAGAATCTCCCATATCAAGTATGGCTATGGATGATGATTCTGTTTGGGTTGCGTCTGGTTCGCATGTTATCAAATATATTCGCGGAAAAGAGGTCGATTGATTTCTTCCTTTGAGGAATCTTGGTACTCATGCTATGTAATTGCAGGCTGCACGACTCACCAATCCTATGGGTACTTTACTCGTATCTATTCTTATTTTTGGAACGCAGCTGCTGGCGCTCACAGAAGATGGTGCAAAAATGCTTATATGGGATATCGCAAAAGCAGATGGTACGTTCGAGTCTAATTTTCCTGTGCCGTATTATTGATTATTCTCCCTTATAGCTGAAATCATAGCTGTCATTCAGTTTGATAACGGCTTCACTGCAACCTCTGTCTTGCATCCGGTTACATATCTCAACAAGGTATTAGTCGCCAGTAGCGAGGGTGATTTGCAGCTATGGAATATCCGTACACAGTATGTTTAAACGTGCATAATCCTTTTCAGCTTATAAGGCCTTACTATTGTTTCATCCAGAGCATGTATCCACACATTTTCCAGGTCCAAATTGCTGACTTCTCCGACTCAATCGTCTGAAAATGTTCCTCCTAATCCTATAACAGCATTGACACAATCCCCTGCTATTGATGTCGTCGGTATTGGTTTCATCTCGGGGGAAATTTCCGTATACGATGTCAGAGCAGATGAACGGCTAATGAGAATGTACATGGAAGGTGGCGGTATCAAAGCTTTAGGGTTCAGGAGTGGTATGTGTAACAGTCAAAATCCAGAATTGCTTTCTTCCTTACACATTGGTTTAGATGGCCACCCCATCCTTGCTTCTGCCTCATCAGCTGGTCACATAGCACTTTGGGATCTGAATTCCGGAGGGCGCTTACTCCATCTATTACGAGGAGCGCACGACGGTGCTGTAAGTGCCGTAGAATGGGTACCTGGTCAACCAGTGTTGATCAGTTCAGGCGAAGATAACAGCGTCAAGGTTTTTTTTATTGGCCTCTGGTGTTGATCTGCTCTGAATACTATATTTTCATCAGCAATGGTTATTTGATTCACCAACAGCAGCGCCTAGACTACTCAAATTTCGCTCGGGCCATCAAGCGCCTCCACATCTGATACGATATTACGGTGACGATGGTAAACAACTATTGACTGCCTCGACTGATCGCAGTCTGAGGTATACGTCAGTGGTACGCGATTCGCGGTCATTTGAGATGTCTCAAGGTAAAAACATCTAAATTTTGAAGTGCCCGTTAATCAATTATATGTATAGGATCGCTCGTAAAGAAAGCCACTGTGTTGTCAAAGCCTCTTGCTTCATTGAAATTTCATCCCATCACTGCTATTTCTACGTCTTCCACACGCTCCAAGGACTGGGATGACGTTATAACAGCACATGCAGAGGATCCCTTCATCCGGTCTTGGACTGTACTTGGGAAAAAACTGGGAAAACACACACTGAGCCATGTGGATGGCCTGAAAAGAAAGATGTCGCCTGGTAATGTCAAGGTACGCATTGTGTCTTCCTGTTCCTCGCCATCAAGCAACCAATTGAAGATTAAACCCCTTCGATGCTGTTATCAGTCTGTTTGTGTAACAGCATGCGGTAATTTTGGCATAGCAGGATCGGCAACGGGTGAAATACACATGTGGAATATGCAATCAGGACTCAAAAGAAAGAGCTTTAAGGTCGGCCCTTGCCCACTGGCTGCCTCTGAAAAACTGCAGTCGAAAAATGCCAAACCGAGCGAACGTAGCATCACTGGTTTGGCCTGTGATTCTTTGAATCGCTCAGTGATAGCTAGCACTTCAGATGGCACTATCAACGTTTGTACACAATTGCAATCAACGCATGTGTCTGCTAATGCGCGTTTTTTCGCTCAGTTTTTTGACTTCCACACAACAAACTTAGAACACACCGTAAATGTATCTTCGCCAATATCATCAACAACATTACAACGTGACAGTGGTTTGCTGGCTGTCATCTGTGAAGATTATGTCGTTCGAATCTTGGACATCGAGACACGAAGAACTGTCAGAGAACTTGCTTGCGGTTCGACTGGACGAATACTTGATATCGTATGTCATACGTTCTGGGAAGTTGAACGTCCAATATTAACAAGGCTGGCAGACGTTTTCTCCAGATTCAAGATGGTTAGTGGTGACCTCCATGGACTCTATCATCCGAACCTTTGATATACCTACTGGACGTCTCATTGACGCCTTTCGTACACCGAGTGTGGCAACGAGTATTGATTTTTCACCGACCAATGACTTTTTGGCCACGTCTCATGTGGATAGTGTAGGAATATTTTTATGGTGAGTACCTTATCATCGTTACCCGACTTTCATCGAGGGCAAATTGTTGTATGCATCTACTAAAGATTTTTTCAGGGCGAACCGAGCTCAGTATTCTGAAGTGTCTTTCAAGTCGATATCCGAGAGTGATGTCGCGGAAGCATCTCTCCCTTCAATGCAAGGTGTTGCCGAAGACGAAGGTAAATGTCAACACTGCCGTTATCTACATTGGTTCTTTATCAATAAATATGAAATTATACAGCGCTTGAAGGATTGTCGGCGCTCACCGTGGAAGACAAGCCAATAGATAGTTTTGTCACACCTCCACAGTTGGATGGAGACCTTGTGACATTAACACTGCTACCTCGATCACGGTGGCAAACCTTGCTCAACCTGGAAATTATCATTGTAAGTCAAATTCAGCTCGCACGTTATACTTATTACCTTACTGCGTTTCTAGCAACGCAACAAACCAAAAGAGCCGCCAAAAAAGCCTGAACAGGCTCCTTTCTTCTTACCCACGCTTCCAGGCGTAGAACCTCGGTTCGCGCTCGAAGAAAAGGAGAAAGAAAAAAATGATCAACGCACAAGAAGATTAGACAAGATTGCAGCGGAAACAGACAGTATCTTCCGGGAAAAGCTATCCGGCATTCGTACAGATGCAGACCGTAAGAGAATTTCTTTCGCGACGGGTTATCAGCTAATTTGACATCTTTGCAGACGATGCCTTCTTCGACTATGTCAAAATACTTTCGCCTGCTGCTATCGATCTTGAAATCCGTTCCTTGGTCACGTTGGATAGCTTTCGACAATTCCTACAGGCCTTGACGCGTCGTTTGCTCTCCCATCGAGACTTTGAAGCTGTCCAGGCCTTCCTGAGTGTCTTTCTACGTCTTCACGGCGATGTTATTATCGAAAACATCGAAATACAGGAGGAGCTGGAGGCATTACTTGAGGTTCAGCGGAAAGAAAGTGACCGAGTCCTAGAGCTCCTTGCTTCTTCACTTGGGACTTTGGGATTCGTCAGAGATACTCTATAAAGCAATCTATGATAGTGTCAATATATATGTTTCACTGAGTATCGCGTCGCTTGCTGTAAATGTACACATGTTCCATTTTCGCCTTGTGCACGTGCCACAGAAAACGCGTCCACAGGAATCAACGCGTCTCAGACTCTCACTTCGCTGTCGTCATTTTTCGTGTTTGGCTGGTAGCAAGGCTTCAACGTCACATTTGGTACGACTTGGCTATTGGACTGTGTTGGTTTATGTCAAGGTTTCAACCAAGTCGTGCTTCCCCTCCAGCTAAACCAAAAAATCTCCCGGGTCCTTCACATCGAGCTCCTCCCTCTATATCCGATTTTTCACGGTCCTCCGCTATTTCAGTTCCAGAACTACAAGACCTTTCTCCACAAGATATCGAATTTTTCAATGCTGTGATAGCTAGGGCGGCGCCATCTGCAACCACTTTTCTGACGGTGTTTAAGGCATATAACGATGTCCTACACGAACGTGGCCTCGACCCTCAGACGGAGGTTGTGTACTACAAGAAATTACTGAAGCTTAGTTCTGTTAGAGCTGCCAACTGGGGGGAGAGGTGGAGGTTAATCAAATCACAGTATGGCTACGACAGTAGCTTCAATCGTTCTTCCACTCCTGCCAAAGACCGGGGCAAACCTCACACTTCAGGTACTCCGAACCTAACGGCTCCTGTACACGACGACGATATATTCTCCCTTCATTCTCACCAACATGAAGCGGCCAGCACTGAATCAGAACAGGCTGAATCAGAACAGGGTACCGAAACAGAGCTTGACGAACCTCAGCGTCATAGTCGCGCTCCCTCACGATTGCATTCTCGAGTTCTACCAAATGTAATCCCATCCAGGACGACTACGTCAAATGGCCTGGTATCCAATGTCAATCTAAACCTTCGTAATCCTATACTATCCAATGTTCGCTCAAAAGAAGCTGTGACCCCCATTACTCGACCTTGGGACGAGACTTCAGACATGACAGAAGATATCGTACCTTCAATATCAACGACACCGCCTTCGTATGGAGCGGCTACGAGAGATGTAAAGTTGATGGGCTTGCAGTCTACTTCTACCCGGTCAAGTACTAAGGTATATATAATTATCTCTCTGTGTGCCTCATGAATTTTATATTACTTTAGTTAATCGGTCAACGAGAGCGCAGAGGAAGTGCCATCAATGAAGACGATGCGTGGAATAAGGTCAAGATGATTCGGGACGAGCAAGATGCTGACAGATTTCGGGAGGAAAAACTACTTGAACGTTGCTGGGATGTCTGGAGGCAAGGCTATGAGTGGATTAACGTAGGAACACTTCTTTCTTTTATCCATGCTGAATCATATATTCATGCTATTCACAGACTACGCAGCAGCAAATATCTGAGGCAAGGGACAATCTCGTCCTTCGTCTATGTCTTCATCGCTGGCGTAATTCTACTGCATCTCGTGTTGAACTCCTTGGTCGTGTGACTGTTATCGCAAATAACAGATGCCTCCGAGTCTCAGTTAACCAATGGAAAGCAAAGCTAAAGGAAAGAAGACAGGCGATGTGGCGGAATGAGATGCGTTCTAAGATGAAGACCGTGCGGGAGAGTCGGGAAACATTACTGAAGAAAGATGCATGGGCGAAATGGCGGCAGTCTTACCGATCCCATTTATCCGAGCAGCACTACAATGAGCGCTTAGTCCTACGGTTATTCGAGAGATGGAGTCTAAAGCTGATGGAAAAGGATCATTTGGAGGCTGCGAGTGAGCAATTCACTAAGATCTCTGATGGTAGAATGGTGGGAAGGTGTTTCGAGTTTTGGAAACGCCAGTTGCAGATGAAGAACAACGAGAGGATGGTTGTAAGAAGAGTAGGGCTGCGAGTTATGGGTGAAGCAATGGATGTATGGAAAAAACATTCGTAAGTCATCAACTTGCGTCTTTATCATCACTAATGCTCTATGAAATAAACAGACATGAGCGGCACTCAGCCCATATATTCCACGATACCATCATAGTGAAGAAAGCTATCAGATCTTGGAAAGCTGCTCGTGACCGGATACATGTATGTTTCGCTCATTTACATTCTTTATGGAGCACTGACTTGTGATGATTTACAGAGTCTGGAGAAACGCGCCGCAAAGCATCTTGCTCGACAAGATGATGTTCTGGTTCGTGCTGTTACCCGGGTGTGGAAAGCTCACGAACGTGGTAGGCTCTTGGAGAGAGTAAGAGCTGTACGGTTAGTAAAAGATGTGTGGATTGTTTGGAAGCGAAAGATGCAGGAGCAGGAGCAGCGCCAAGGTTTGAAGCCACCAAGATTTATGATCAAAGTTTTATCACTGAATTTCACTGTCGTAGATTTTGCTCTCGCCTTTTCGATGCGATCTAATTCATATGCGATGTCCTCCTCATTGCAAACATGGCGTCGAGTCTACACTACTCATCAAAATGCCTCGACGTTCGCTACACAATATAATTCGACCCAGCTTTGCTTTAGAATACTCTTGAAGTGGCGACTTCAGTTCAGATCGCAATTGGCACTTGTAAAGCAAGCTAAAGTCGCAGAAAAGTTCTTCCTCAGAAGACGAATCTTGGGAAAATGGAAAGAACAGCTAAGCGACAAAAGAAGAGAAAGAAGCTTGACAATACTGTCCACCCAAAAACTTGCAAAGTGTTTCAGCTGTGAGTATTATAAAGGCGAAGCATCTTTATTTTCCTCAATGAAACTAACGATTACCCAAAGCGTGGAAGCAGAAAACCCAGAAGCGACGTTTAATCCGTTTGGCAGAGCAACAAATTCACGCTCTTGTCTCTACTGTTCGTCTTTTTTCTACTTCTCTCTGCTACTCTCGACAGCTAACTCGTAATCTGCTAATAGCGGATTACGAGGACTGTATTGAGTCTATGGACGAACCGAGTAATTGAAATCAAACTGCGCGAGCTAGAAGTCAGCCAACGGATTTCAAATGTTTTGGTGATGTGTGTATTGTCACACTTGCACTGAGAGATTTTTTTTTGACAATATCAAATTTAGGTCTGCTTTCAAGAAATGGAAGACAGTCTGCCTACGCCATGTGGAAGAACTTAGCCTGATGGAAAGCTATCAGGATGTTAAACGCGAAGGTATGTATTCAATATATGTCCTATCTCATGGTAGTGATGTATGGTTTTAGAAAATATCCGCCGGATGTTTAATCGGTGGCTCAATGCCTCCCGTTCATCTCGCTACAGGCGACAGACCTTGCAGCAGAAGGAGGACGATATGAAGCGCGCAGCGATAGCAGTATCATGGGATAAATGGAGAGGTCGCTTTAAAGACGAGAGGCTACGCCCAATTGTGAGCGTTATAACTGATTCGTACTCTGTGAGAGGTGAGCTGAACAAACAGGTATATACTAGGAACACAACGTCATTGTGCAAAGTCGACGTAATTTACTGTTTCGTGCGTTCGGGATCTGGCATTCTAGAACGAAGGTAAGCTTATTTGTAACTTACTTAAATTATCCGTTTTTCACCCTTTTCGCAGTCTCTACCAGCAATCCGATTCCACGCATCATATACGAAAGCCAAGTGCTGGAACGTATGGCGCGCTTCTATGCCACAGGCCCTACAAGCTAAGAAGGCGCGCGAGATGGACAAGAAACAGGTCCTGTGTATGTTCTCATTTTTACACTTCATATCAACTTCTTAACAAAATAAACAGCAAAAACTTTGGAAAAATGGGTACAAACTCACAGAACAAAAATCGCGCTCAAAGCAGTCGCGTAAGTGGGCATCAAATATCGCATTCTCTGTAGATGCTGACATTACCCCTCATATAGACGTGCTCGTTATCTTCGTTTACCTACTGCAGCCCCTCGACAAGTCAATCCAAAACCCGTTCCCGCTGCATCGACGTCCACAAATGTTCGCAGCCCTTTCCCTCGAAGAGTCGTCAAGCCGCAAAGTGACACAGAAGATTCAGACGTCGCCCCGACGCGAGCTGCTTTTCCATCCAGGGCCCTAGGGCCCAGACCAGGAATCGCCAGCCTCCTATCTACGAAGCTTCCTGCGGCAGGAAATCCCCCTCCCTATCCACAGTCTTCAAATCGGGGTGTACGCGAGTCTAGTCCAACGCGATCCATTTTATCTCTAGGAGCCATTCAGAGATCACCTCGACCGAGGTTTACTACTCGTGGTATAGGATTAGCCCAGCGTGATCCCAGCCCAACGCACTCAAAATCATCGGTAAGCATTGCTCAAGATAACAACCCACCAAGATCAATGTTCCCTCCTCCACCTTCTACTGCATCAGGTGTGGGGGAGCGCGGGCGACATAAACTCTGGCGTTAAAAACTCAAGCTGCTTGCTGGTCAACGCCTTCAAAACCATCCTTGCTTTTTCGAGCCTTCTTTATTTATGCGATGTATCGATTTTATGGGCAAAGGGCTATGATATTCCATTTTGATTACTGTCTCTATACATGTATCCCTATGTACCGATCTCCTTCCGATATTAAACCCATATGCTTCTTGGAGACCATCTCTGCACTTGGTCTTGTACGCCTATTTCGGCAGATTTTGAAGCGAGCGCAGAGTGATTCCTTGTACCTAGTCTTGTATTATCACTGGCCGTGACATAGCAAGACGAGCCTCCCGCTTCCTGGGATCACCAGCTGAGCAGCACGCTCTAAATATCGCTCAGGTGTCTTTGCTACATCGAGAGAAATTGATCGGTATACACTTCAGAAGAAGCAGCTGGGACGTACCCAGATACTAGCTTTCAAGAATTTTGGTAATACTGCCATCCCACCCAGTTGGCGATGACAAAGTAAGCACTGGTGGGTATGATGAGTAGGGTGAAATATTTGTAATGCGTGTCTTGAGCTAAGACGTCTAATATCTTTATGGTATAGATCGTTTGTCAAGTTGCCAATAGGATTACCGCCTAGTAACAATTAGCACTCACATAAATGCCCGTCAAAGGGAGCATGGCGCTGAATAGTATGGCATAGCTCGCTAGCAAGAAAAAGGTGGCAGTGAAAATAATGATAAGATGACCTATGTCAAGTTTCATCGCGCCACTGACGGTGGTCGCGACTCAGGAAGAGACTCGAGTTCGGAGGCAATTCAAGTTACATTGAATTAAAAGTGAGAAAAACATTGAAACATAATTGAGTTGGATGGTCTATTTTCACTGAGTACTATGGAGCCTAGATAGTTACAGGATATAAAACCCGCAAAACCGTTCTGAGGAAATATGATGTACAAGTAGAGGAGTTAATTGAAAAATACAAGAGTCATGCATGGTTGTAGCGTACTGTGAGATTTACATCATTAGAGCATCTGTAAGTAACTAAAGGCACGAGAGTAATGATAAAAGCAGCGCCACGATAAGTAGTCAATAAAGCAATGAAAAAAAACTTACAACGAACGCCGCTACATAAAGTGAAAATACGATCGTTCATGTCCATCCATCCTATATCTCGATTTTCCAACAGTCGGATCATTCATTCTGCTTGAGTCTCTTTCTAACGTCGTCTTCGGAAAAATCAGAAAGTCGCTTTCGGTGCGAGCGAACTTCGGGATCTGATCTAGAATCAGATACAGGGAAATATTCCCTGGTGGTATTTTCAGTTTCCTGAATGAGTCCTCCACTCTCTTCTGTATTGTGGTGCATTGGCGCATTTTTCATCGCAGCAGCACGGTGGGAATGCAGAGATGAAATGAAGGTCGGAGAAACAGAAGCCACTGACTGAATTTCCGAGGAAGATGTACTTTCTGGCGTCATAGTACGGGGCTCCGAAATTGGATATGAAAAGTGCTGCATGTTATTCTCCAAGTCCTGTCCTTCTCCTATAGAAATGGGTTTAACCACCTGCGTGCAACTCGTACCGGCTCTCCTAGTCTTCCTTTTGCGAAGTGGCGGCAGTGCAATTGAGGGTGAGTGAGTATACTCCATTGCCTGAAAGGTAGGCATGTACACAGGCGCAGTTGCATTCGGATGCGGATGCGGTGATCCAGAAGTATGGATGCCAGTATCGCTCTCGGTGTTCGTCGAACCGAATGGATCGAGACTCGAATGCTTTCCACGGAGGAAAGGGCTTGCCCCTTTATTCTTTTTTATCTCCTCGATAATAATATCAAGGCCTTTTCCAGTGACACTTGTACTCTGCTCCTCAGTTGCCGCGTCTAGCGTTGTCAACATATTTTGGGTTGCATCAAGAGAGGAACAAGCAAGATTTTCGGCTCTGAGCCGCCGTTCAAGAGCTAACGCCACTGCGCGTAATCGATGGTCGTGCACTGCAAGCACTGATATTCCTTCAGAGCGGCGAGCCCAGTAAGAAAATTGGGTATTCGACCATCCTGAAAGTACCAGGACGGTAGAGCGTGTGAGGGTGACGTAACCCCCGGGCGAGCGTTCATAGGCATGTGAGAGGGACTTTAGGGGGTTGTAGGGATGACTAGCAGCAAAATAGTTGAACAAATATACGTGAAATCATTGAAAACATATTCAACAGTTGCTTAAACAATAACGTACGGAACGTAAGTCCTCAGGACCTCTTTGACAACTTCGACTTTGACTAGAAAATCGATGGCGGTGGCACCGCCACCGGAGCTGTTGAACTCGCTGTCGCCATTCTTGACCTTACTGCGAGATTTATTCCTTGAGCTACCGAGTCTGCGCTCAAAAAGGCGAGCGGAGAAAATACTCCACTTCGCTTCCCCAAGCTGCTCGTGCAGAAACGCAGCGGCGTAAGGGTCTGTTTGAGAGTTATTTCTCGACGTCGAATTCAAATTTAATGGGTGCATCTGAGGAGAGTTCAGCACGGAACGCGCACAGGCATCGACATGGTCTACGCACGCCTGAGTCGAAATCTGTGACAGGTTCCAAAGGACTAGGATGGATCATTGAAGGTGATATGGCGTCAGCTTGTCCATATACCTCTGCAGGTGGTGAGAGAACGTTGTACGACGATGTAGTTGAAAAAACAGGTGAATGTGTGAGTTCATGAAAGGAGGGCGGATAAGTGGGTGAAGAAGAGGTAGATGGGGAATGAAATTGGTGATCATGTTCAAGAGACTGCGCATTTATGGGCGCCTCTTGCATGTAGTCAGTGTCTTGAGTGTCCAAACCCGTATTATCATCGACATAAAGATTATGCGAATGCGAGAGGTTGTTAGCCAGGATATAATGAATGTCTATCGCATTTTCTTGGGGAGAATACGGATATGAACCAAGCTGCATTGAATCGGGGAAGGGCTGGTCTGAATATTGGTTGTAATACATAGATTGGAGTTCATTAACGGATACAGGAATACTGTTACCAGCAGCGTGAAGATACGAATGATGAAGAGCGGAGAGGTCGTCTGGCTGGGGAAGTGGGTGTGTATGATGGGTCAAAATGTTGTTGTCGTCGTTGAGCGGCGGTATCAAAGAACGCATGCTGACGACGCTGACGACGGCGACGACGACGACGACCGCAAGGACAGACAGCGATGGCCAATGGTAAGAACGACGTTCGGGTTGAGACGAGGACCGCCGGCTATGGTATCCCATATCTTATCGTGGGAGCTAATTGCCATTTGCAGCTACTACAGTCCATAAAGCACAGGTCACGCCCAGTCACGGTCATGTTCGCACCACCGTGACTGCAGTATTATAATAGCATATCCATCTTTCCTTTCGCTCTTTCACTACCATCCATATCTTCTTCGTATAACCATGGATTCGTCTTCTCGTATGGATCAGGGGTGCGCTTATTGTGTTCTATGTCGAAAAATAATTACGCATCTTACCTTTTGATGTGTGGCTAGTCTCCATTCCGCATCCTCACACCCACCCGACAGAAGATCCAGTTCATCATCGCCTTCGCTCCCAGAAATTCCACCTCCAGAGCTGGATCTCACGTTCTCACTTGACTCCATCTTGAACTCATCCGATAAATCAAAGCCAAACCCAGAGTAAGTCCTGCCATGTCATCCAACCTACGTCTCCGCTCTAGGTGTTCGGGAACGGTCAATCACGGTATTTCATTCTGCAGAGTTGAGAAAGTGCAGAAACGGGCAAGTAATGTATTCAAACTGACGCAGGAGAATGAGAAGCTGAAAGAGGAGCTGAGAGCAATGACGGCGAGATTAGAGGCTGCAGAGCGGAAACGAGCAGAGCTGGCTGCAAAACAGGCTCACGGTCAACCACAATCTTTCAAGGCAGATGGCCGTTTTTGATTTCACGTCGCGCTAAACGTTCTGGCCTACCATATTCCAAGTCTGCCTTCGAATTCGCCACCGCAAATAGCTACAGTTTAAACCTTTCTTTTTATAATACCCCGCACATTCCTTTTCGACTGTCCTGTTGTTTCTACACACGATTCGGCATCGTTGCGCTTTCTTACTTTCTTCGGTGGACATGCGTTTAATATCTTGATGCATTTGACTATCGATATAGCAATGATTATCGTGTTGCTGTCTGATATTAGATGTACAGTCGGCTGAGGTGTAGCCGCATCCAAGATTTGAAACTAATCTCATTGCAATAACAAAGTACCACGGACCGATCCGCTTGACCCACAAGCGTTTAAGTACCTGTCGCTCCAGTGTCGCTTTCCACGACGTCCCTTACCTACAACTCCCACTTTCTCCCCATACTTTCACTGAAAAATGGCCAGTCGCAGACCTTCCTCAAACCTGGAGATGACCTCGACCATTCCCAACCGTAGGGGATCAGAAAGACGAGGATCAGACAGGCGTGGTTCTGGTTTCTCGTCTCGGAGACCATCTATTGATCCATCGAGGCTTATTCCGATGGACAAGTCAGTTACCCCTTCATCTCTTTCGATAATCTAGCCATTCTCCATATGTATTATCTTGATGTATCACGATAGATTATTCGTCTCTTCTGATCGTTGACCATTGAGTTGAGTGGTTACAGGTAACTGATCTCTCTGCACAGAGCCTCCCATGTTGGTGGAACAGATGATTTCAATGTCGTCTTCATTGGCGCGGGAAATATCATGTTTGGTATGTCTTCCTTGATCTAACGGTCGTATCGGACCTTAAGATCACCCGCTATTCCTAGGCTCTGACGAAGGTCCTTGGAACCATTCTTTCCGTTTCGAGCAGTAAGCCTTATTCAGTCTTCCACTAAGGGCGTCTCTCATCTGTATACTAGCAAACTGGGTCTCCGTCTTAAAGTCGTTGCCCTCATCGATCCCGCAATTGAGCGGGCCAGAGCAGTCCTGCAGAAGAAATGCGACTCTTTCGTCGTCTCTGCCTACCAAGGCACTCGTGTATTCAAGACACTTGACGACTTTGTCAAGAACATGTCCTCAAAGGACCGTCCCCGTGCGGTCATTGTTGGCTCCCCACCGATGTTTAGAGGGACTATCCAACCCGGCCGTGACGTTGAAATGCAGATCCTCAAATATTTTCCAGGTGTAGCGATGTTTATTGAGAAGCCCATCGCAACTGGTCCAAAGGCAGAAATTGAGCAGGCTTTCACGATCGCTAAGCGTATCTCCGATAGCAAAGCTGTCTGTTCTGTCGGGTATGTCGTGCTACATCCTCTATTATACATGCCACTCAATATTGCTTGCTATATGCACTAACTTCAGATATATGCTGAGGTATTTGAAGGCTGTTCAGATGATGAAACGAATCATCGAAGAAAATGATCTCACTGTCATGGCTACTATTGCCCGCTATGCTTGTGCCTACGAGGCTATCGCTAAGCTTGACTGGTGGGACAAGTCCAAGAGGTAGTTTTGATCCCAAATATGCTACACGGCTTTACTCACTGCAATTCTAGTGCAGGACCTATTGTCGAGCAGGGGACCCACTTCTGTGATCTCTCACGCTACTTCGGTGGTGAGGTCGACATCTCCTCGGTCACTGCACACTCCTTGGAATGGGATGAAAATGCAGGGCATTTGTCCAAAATGTCGGTTGACGAAAGCCAGATTGCACCTGAGAACAGGATTCCTCGTGTCACAGCCGCGACCTGGTTGGTTTAATGGCATATCTTGTCTTTCTCGTCGTATTTACACCGCAGTACAGGAAATACGACTCCGGGGCCGTGGGCAGTTTCACCCATGTCGCCACACTCCAAGGCCACAACTACAGCTGCGAGCTCGAGGTTCATGCCGACGGCTATTCATTGAAGTACTTTCGGTTTTTCTCCCCAATAAATACCGAGTCTGACCTCGTTTGGCTGTCACAGGCTAGTGAACCCTTATGTTCAACCTATGCTTTACGTCCGCAAGCCTGGTGATGATCATGAGCAGATGATAACTTTCCCTGATGATGACCCATTCTTCTCTGAGGTCCGCTTTACTCTCTCACATACCTTAATGCCACGATACCAAAATATCTCTTTATTAGATCTCCAACCTGATCGACATCATTGAGGACATTGAAGAAGATCCGGAAGCTGCTCAAATTCTCAGCACCTACGAAGGTAATTATTACCGACGACCTTGTACGACACGTCGAACTGATTGGCATTTAATCTTTCAGATGCTTGCAAGACCTATGAGCTGACTTGGGCCATCCGCGAGGCCAGTGAGCGTTCCCGTGATGCTAAATTGGCTAGGAGCAAAGCTGCAGCTGAGGCCGTGAAAGAAAGCACTTGAATGAAAACGAGCTTAATGAGTAATGCTCCAAACAAAGAAGTTTGTAAGACATATTTAGACTGGGCGGCTTCTAAATAGAAAGTGGTCTCACTTGTAAAAGGAGTGTAATAGAATCATTTCTTGCGTACTTGGAACCTCATAGAATTTTTATGCCTTGAGGTTATGCCCCCGACGAAATGCAAGTAACTTTTCCATTGGATAGTTTTTCCATAAGCACTTCTTTTGATGATCAGGCTCTACATATAGTACAAAGTTAAGAATTTATTTAGAGACAAGATCACAACACCTTCTCTACACCATCAGGTAACTTGTAATTACCTTGACGTCGAACCTACCAGTGTGTCAGTAAAAAAAAAGTGTCCGCTTGTTGTAATTTAGCATACTTACCTCATCAAAAACTTCCATCTCCAGAATACTTTTGTCATGCCCCCAGAGTGCACTCTCAAGTTTTCCATCCCTCACACAACGGGCAACCTCGTCGGCCTGGAAATGCCATCCGCTACCGACATAGTCAAACTTCCTCGTTTCTTCTCGCGCAACGACTCCAGGCTTTCCCGGAGCGAAATACTGCACGGTGAACGACCTGGGACAAGGTACCGGAGCCGCGATGATAATTGTACCTTTCTCATAGCGGATAGTAACTCCTGGACTGTGCGATGCAACATTCATGCTACAGCTCAACACCGCTTGGGCAGCTAGTGTGGAGCCTGTGGCAGGGTTAGGCGCAAAGGTAACAGTGTATGAGGTATTGCAGTCGACGCCGGTTGCGGGCAGCTTGTACATTGTTGCGGTGATATTAGAGGGTTTTGTACTCTTGTTTGAGGGGTGTTCGTAAAGCGCGATGGTAGCCTATGAGAAAGCACAGTATAAGCGCTAACGCTAATTTTTTTTCCTGAATTTAACTTACCCAGACTAGAGGATAAGGACCCCTATAGTTCGGGAAAAAATGAGGAACAGTTTTCCATGAATTACCTTGCGTACTTACAAATCTAAGATTGCGCCTCCTCCAAGGGCAGGGTCCATCATCCTGTGGGTCTTAGGAAGTCCTTGACAATGTTTTAGCCAAGTTGAGTCAATTCTAATGCATAAAGTATACATACTACTGATGCCAAAGTCGTTGGAAAAGTCCGCATGTACAACAACAGGGGCGCCTAGAGTGCCATCTTCCGCGAGTTTCTTGAGTTCTAGGGTGAGTGGCTGGAAACGCGTCCAAAGGGCTTCCATGAAGAATACGCCTTGTTTCTTCGCCTCTGCTATGAGCGAGCGCAGCTCGGCGGAATTGACAGTCACGGGTTTTTCGCAGAGGACGTGCTTCTTGGCTCGGATCGCATCAAGGGCATTGACGTAGTGATAGGTATGAGGAGTACCTATATCAACATTGGTAAGAAATTCCAAGTTCCTGGCCAAACAACTTTTGACAAACCAATATAGATAGCATCGACGTTCTAACCAAAGATTTCGATGAGCAACTTGTGCGACCGAAGTTGGCGGGTTCCTCTTACCTTATCAGCGTATACTTCTTCGTAAGTTCCGTATGCCTTCACAGATTTATCTCCTTCAACATACTCGGTGATAAATTTCTGTGCCTTTTCCACGCTACGGGACCCCACGGCAGTTACTTTATGAACTACGTCATGCACATCTCGGCTTCATAGTTTACATCAAGCTTAGGAGCAACGGGTTGAAAATGCTACGAAGGAGAACATACGTTTTTGGATCAACTAAAAGATCCTATAATATTGTACGATGCCGGGCGCTCAGAACACTTCCACATTATTCAAAAAATAGTTTATCAAGCTCACCGAGACGACGCGTTCGGCAATCCAGCCTGTTGATATGATACCCCAGCGAAGAACGAATGGTGAAGAGGGTGCCATGAGAGATATGAGTGCACTGACGGGATTGTTGAATCAAAGGCTGCCCGTGTTTCCAGTATATTATACAAGGTGGATATGATCCCATGACCAGTGAATAACATGTCCGGCCCAGTCCGGAAGAACGTCGCAGAATTGCCGAATAAATATAGATAGGTCCTATCAAGAAAGTGACCTGGACTGTGGCACAACAGGGACTGAATGATTGCATGAGTGAGGACAAGAATATAAAATGAATATACATGATCTCGATGCGATGAGTACGTACATTGAGACATTGAGACAGGGCAGCTTGAGATAAAATACAAATACATAGAGCCCAAACTTTCACGGACAGCAACATTGTAGGGTCACTTGTATGATGTTTGCAGCCAGCTAGCCAGAACATTGCAGTGTAAAGCACATATGCTCCATTGTGATCAGGTCTGGAGCGTCCAAATTTCCATGAGTTTTGCTTCTTCTAAGCTGCATCTGGCGACCTCCTTTCCTTTGGCACTGTTTCCAACGCGTCTGTCCCTTTGGCAGTCGGGAGGTCTGGGCTTTTTTGTTTCCTCTTCAGCTTCGCTGTTTCCCTTTGCATTTCCTTATCCCACTCTTCTTGCAGGTGGCTTTTTAGTGCTGGCATATTGGCGATGACTCGTTCACATTTCCAACATTCGAAATCTCCTTTCAAAAGCGGCTCATACTGGGACTTCTTTAATTGAGACACCTGAGAGTCAGATCAGATGTGATAGACCATGACAAGCATGGTTAGCATTGGCCGATGTTTGGTTCAGAGGCAAAACGTACAGTATCATAATAAGAAGGTTCGGCGTCAAACCATGAAAGAACGTCGTCCAGGTGAAGAAAGAACCCATGCTTTGGATGAAACGATTGGTAGTGCTGTTTCTTTCTCATCCTGGGAGAACACAGGTCGTTCGAAAGGACATGAAGATGAAGATGCCTAGACGCTGTCTTATAAATTTGAGATAATGGGAGCAAAACGAAACACACTCCATGCTCGGCACTGCATGGAACCCTGTCCATATCCCCCACTTGAAGCCATACCGCTTCATCATCTCAGACTCAATCATGTCCTTCACGGACTGTGCTTCTTCTTTCATTGTCAGTAGAACGCTCTTTGCTTTCGAATTGTCGCATTTCAACAGTGACGATAGGTTCGCAAGATCAAAAATACTCAGCGAAGGTTGAGGGCGCGGCAAGATTAGAAAGTGGAATATTGACTTTGGAAACGCGTCGAACAGCGTCACAGACGTCTCAGAGTGAGATAGCAGAACAGATGGTGGAAGTGTTGCAGGATTGGACTTTAACGCATAACTTCGTAGCACGGTCAGTTGAGACATGGCAATTCTTTGACAAGTAATAGTTCAGTACAGAGGATCCTCAGTGACTCTTCAGTTCAGATGTAGAACACCGAATAGGGAAGGCTGACATAATGCAGCGTTTTCGATTGCAGCTGTACAGTTTATCGTTCGAGTATCCCACGCATCCTATCGCCAACGTCAAAGTACTCTATCCCAGTCCAAAACTCATAGCTCACGATGGAAAACGATCAGGTGAGCAAGCTCAAGGATATTACAGTATATGACTGACTGACAAGGATACGTATAGGGTGTTCTTGTTGATCTCTACGTTCCCCGCAAATGCGCGGCTACCAGTATGTTATACAAGCAAACACCATGGGATATTGAGATATTGACCTAGCGTGTGCCAGACCGTCTCATTACTTCCAAGGATCACGCTTCGGTCCAAGTCAATGTCGCTGATGTTGACGCCGATGGCAAGGCTTTGAGCACTTACACTTCGTTTGCCCTGTGCGGCCAGGTTAGATCGCAGGGTGAGAGTGATGACTCTGTTAACCGGTTAGCAACCAAGGCTGGATGTGAGTTATGCCTTCTGTGTTTTACTGTGGGATTCTTTTGACGCGAGTTTCTTGTAGTGCTTCGGAATGTGTGGTCGTATCAAAAGTAAACAGCCTCTTGTAGACCATTATACTGCATTTATTTGCTTTTACATCGTTTGGGCTGGCTGTTCAGTTATCCATTTACTTGCATATGGCAAGCTAGGAGACGTAGGATGTGAATGTTGTGGCTGCTGATAAAGTGATACCTGGTAGTCGAAAACTTGTCAAAAATGTGCACTATCTTGCCGAATGTTGACATCCGCTAAATCCATCGTACGCGAATGCAAGTGCTACATCTGTGCCCATTGATAGTCATGTGAGATTAGAGTCGACATCCATATTGTATGATATTCCATGTGTTTCCTTGTTGCATACATGATGAGAAATGCTGCAGCACCCGAGGAATGCAGACATGACCATATATGGCGTTATCCGGTTGCAGCAAATGCTCCCAAGTCAGGCCGACGCCGCCAGCCCAGCCTCAACTTACCGTCACACCGGCCGCAGCGCTAACGCAGTCCACGACTGTGGATATAAGATTGCAGGCTTATGGTTCAAGGCATCCGTCCAACTTCATACGACAGTTCGTTGTCTACACTATCAGTGAGTTGCATGTTGTTCCACACATGCTCATCCTTACCTTCAAGCCCCTTTGTATACAGTCTGGCTCAATGGTTGAAATTCAGCGTCACGACGATGACTTTGCGCCGCAGTCTATGTTCCCACCTGGCCAGGACGGCGACAAGTACCGTCTCGTGTATAGCAAATCTAAAGTGTATGTCAATCCCACAGCTTATGCTAGAGACAACATCCCTGGTTTCGTGGCACTGGTCAAACGAGTTCGTTACCTTCTCTGTCCCACTGCCACTAGATCTCATCTTTGAAACATACAGGAAGCTATCAACCCTACCTATCTACTTGCTTGGATACCCGAGACCCTGCTAAACGAGAAAGGAACAGCGGAATGGGATAAGTTTGTCAAGATCGAAGAGAAAGCTGTTTTAGACGAAGAGGACGATGGTTCGTTTACTTTTATCTCATCTCGCCATATTATCGTCTTACGTCTTTTGTAGACGCTGTCCTCATAGATCTTCCTACTCAACGGCCGGAGTCATACGCTTTCTCAGTACCCCTGACAGCCATTTACTCTCTTATTGTATTGCAGCCTTCTTTATCGTCGTGGTGTGAGTACGCCACTATCGTGTATTTTTGTATTTAAAAAAAACTGACTGTTGATTCAGATGGATCTATTGGCATTAACCTCATAAACGGATCCACGCTCCCCACACTCCATTTCCATGATGATGAATCACTTTCGTTCATTTTACCTTCTCGTCGCAATCGTCAAAGTTCCCCAGCCTCTACATCTTACCGTCCTGCTTCTCCTATCTCTCCAACGTTATCCAGACCTTCCAACTCATGGGGCGGGGAAGATCTTCTGTCGCGCCTGCGCTCGTATGCACATATCATGCGTTCGACCTTGCAACCAACTTTATTCCTAGTAGACCCTTCCCGAGCTGACGTGGAAACCCACTCTGTGCAAGTATTCTCTGACGATGCCGTTGACGATATTCTGGCCCAATCCTCGTATGCAAACTCGCACTCACCAGTCCCAGCGCATCGCCGACCACGTCCACTTTCATCATCAGAATCACCAAACCCCTACTCCGCTCGACCATCCGTTCTACATCGCTCTCTCTATCCTCCATCTATCTCATCCTCTCCAGAGTCATCTCGAGCACGCATGGCTCTTCTGCAGTCGTTCTCGAATATAACACGAGCCACGAGACACGCTGCGCAGAACATTCTTTCTCATCCACTAGCGAAGCCCATCATCCCTCACCTGCCAGATCCAGTCAAAAGCCTTGTAAACGCGAATGGTGAATGGGAATGGGGAAGCTGGGTGGAGAAGGGTGGCGTTGGAGAATTTGAGAGCGCGCGTGTCTATCTCGCACGATGGGCGCGTATTGTAGCGGAGGAGGGTGAACGCTCGCGACGAAAGGAGGCACAGACACTGCCCTCTGTGTCTTCATCAGATGTGGCTGAAGAGACCTCTTCGCTGGGTGTCTTCGAGCTGCTACACTCTACGATCAATCTACCCCCTCCAAATACTTCCAGGGATCCAACGCACCCTATAGATGAGAAGACCTGGGAGAAGTGGTTTGCGGACGATGGAAGGCCAAAGATACGGGTCGAGGAAATGAAGCGGGAGATATTCAGGAGGGGTATATCTTCTCAAGGGAACCTGAGGCGGATAATCTGGCCTTTCCTCCTAGGAGTACACGAATGGAACACCAGCTCCAAAGAAAGGGAAAGGAAATGGGAAGCCAAACGGTAGTTTCTTTATTCTTTTTCAAACTTCCCAGCGATATTGAGTATGGACCACTTAGAGCGCTCTATCAACAAACAAAGGACGAGTGGTGTGGCGTTCCTGAAGTATTTGATCGTCCAGATATCGTAGAGGTTCGGATGAGTCTCGTACCTGGTGCTGGTATATACTAAACTAGTTTTCCCTTAGGAGCGTCACCGAATTGACGTGGATTGCCGTCGAACAGACAGGAATCAGCCCTTATTTTCTGCTCCAACTCAGTCTTCTAGCGACAATAGTGACGAAATAAAACACCAACGGTATTCTACTATTTCGCCCCAGATGAATGACATCGGTGCACAATCCCCCAGTAACGAGCATATCGACCGGTTAGCTGGCATCTTGCTGACGTACAATTTTTATGAAAAGAGTCTTGGTGAGTTCATAGTGTCATACCGTACAATTCATGTTGTTTTGTGCTCACCATAAGAACGACAAAAGGTTACGTCCAGGGCATGTCTGATCTTTGTGCCCCTTTGTATGTCGTGTTGGGTTCTGATGAAGAGCTTACCTTTTGGTGTTTCGTGGAGGTCATGGATGGCATGGTCAGTGTATCCAGCTTTGACCTAGCATTTATGGTTCTGAGGCCCTTGCACAGAAACAGAATTTCCTCCGAGATCAAAGTGGGATGAAGAGACAGCTGACGATGTTGCAAGAGCTCATCAGTGTTATGGACCCGGAGCTGTATCGGCATTTAGGTTCTGAAATACCATCTCTCAGACTATTTCATACAACTGACACCAATATGTGCAGAGAAAACCGATGGTCTCAACCTATTCTTCTGCTTTAGGTATGTTCCGTAGCTACCCTGCTAAGGACGCCATTCATAAAATGATGATCGCAGATGGGTCCTTATCGCTTTCAAACGTGAATTTCCGTTCGATGACGTCCTTCGACTCTGGGAAGTTCTCTGGACTAATTATTATAGCAACAATTTCGTCCTTTTCGTGGCACTTGCTGTGCTAGAATCTCACAGAGATATGATCTTGCGATACTTGGTCGAGGTCGGTGTTTCATCTCTCGATAAGTTCAAATTGCTTACATTCGTATCACAGTTTGACGAACTACTAAAGGTTATTTTCTTTGAATGCGTGTTATTGTTATTTCGTTCAAATCATCTAATCAACCCTTGCTCTAGTACTGCAACGAGCTCAGCATGACGATCGAACTTGATTCTACCCTCGCCCAAGCAGAAGTCTTGTTCTTATCATTCGCTCAACTTGTCGCCGACATCGATCGACGTCGGGCTGAAGAGTCTAGTAATACCAAGTCTACTGATGGGCTACGACGTCGGGGGACAACGGGGAACATTGGCACTATCAGCACGAGCACGGTCGCGAAGATATCCATACCTGCTCTGAGCGACAATCTAAGAGATTTCTTGAAGATGGAAAGTTAGCGGTCAGTAGTTCGTTATATTGTTTTTGAGGGTTTAGTTTCGTTTCCGCGCATATATTTGTAGCAATAAACAATTGAAATGCAGCATATTTACAAAGCGTAGGTTGCAAAGGACGCTCAGGCCTGGTCCAACAGCATGTACATATGGCATAACCTGATTTATAGAACTACGAATGCACGCTGCCAAAGGAAGTATACATCGTGGCTGCAAAATCTCACGTGTAAATGGATGCTTTCCAAGTAAATCGTAAATAATTATTATTACTAGTGTCCTTGTGATCCGCAATAAGCACTAAACCTGACGGTATCGAGAGTAGTCCATGGAGTGAAAACGTTATACTATGTTCTGCCATTACTCGTATGGTGGTCTTCCTCCCTCCATATCTCCTCCAAGGGACCAGGATCAGGCTTTCGGACAGTCCCATTCATCAGCTCTACGTTGTCGCCACCCATCTCGCTGCTATCCCTATACCCATGATTGTGCGGCAAAGTAGTCTCTGTGTGGTAGGTGGGCAGAACTTCATCATCGCGTGCGATACGAGGCGAGTATGGGCTATGAGAGTTTGGAGAGGCGAGATCGGGGTAGTATTGGCGGTAAGTAAAGTATGATACGACGAGTCCGAGGATGGAGCCGGCTAAGACGTCCTGCCAGTGATCTGCAAAAGAAAATGTTTCCCGTTTTGGTTATTTTCCTGGGCTTCAAAGGTCAAAAGAGGTAGTTGACTACTTACGCCTGTAGTCCATTGTGCGGGAGATCGCGACTAGACTAGCACCAGCGAGAGGGGCTACTGATAGCCATGCTTTCCCCTGTGTCAAGCGAATCAGCACATAAACGACTGGTAGATGGGCCAACGGGAACACGTACAGCGTGACCCCTTTTATCAAACAAATGGAGCTTTCCCGCTAGGTAAAACGATAAAAACCCGAGTCCAGCGAATGATACTGCAAGATTATCCACAAATTATGAGCAATGAATTTAAAGAGACACTGTGGATTGGCATACAGCTAGAATGGCCACTTGGGAAACTTCTCCAGCCATCTAACATCATAGCGCTATCTGTCTGAGTACATATAGCATCTGTTGACAGCCCATAAGTTGGGTCGGTGGATCCGGGGATGGGTATGCATCTAGATAGTAGGTCTGTGCAGATATGGATGACATTCAACTCTAGGCAGCAGGTATATGCGTCAAGTGTGACCAACCGGGACGAGGACGGCCGACGGTGATCTTCGTAAACTGCGTGATACCTCCAGTAATTGCCAATCCCAATATCACTGAAGCGCATATAGTAAGTGTGGCTGACCTGCGGCGTAAACGTGAATAAGCTTACACCCTAAAACACTGTTATGGAAGTCCCAAAATGATCGGACGGTAAAGAGGTTAATGACAAGCTGGAGTACGATTGGTGAAGCTACAGCGATCATGTACAACGCGACATCCTACAAGCGAGGCATATCAGTAAGAAGTTGATACGGTTATAAGGTCCTTCTCACCGGTACGCGCTCGTGTACAGCATAGCTAGATTTGGTCAGAAATGGATGCTCAAGAACCAGACGTTGATAACTTACGGGTGGCGTATCCTGGATTGCAAATGCCAATTGTGAATAATCGAGAGTCAAAATCATACGAATGAAGGTACATACGAGATGTCATTAACTGAGAAGTCTCTTCTGAATCCATGAATATCATTGAGAGCGAAGAAGACGATACTGATCACACGGCGTGAGACTCGGCCATTTGAATAGAATGGATTCTGATCTTACGCAAGTACTATAGTTATGATCCTGTACCAGTGTCAGTGACTGCTTTCCATTATGATAGAAATGTAATATACCAGTCGGGGGCATATGACTTGACGAGCTTGATTCGCCTTTTCCTGTCTGTTGTTTTTCCGGAAGATCTATCCATGCCATTGGTGTTGCGAGTGAAGAGACTTCTCATTGGTATTTCCTCTTGCTCTGGGCTTGATGAACGTCGATAAGAAGTGGTGGGATATGAAGGGGACTTTGGATGTTCAGAAAGAAAAGAAGAGTACGGGGAAGTCATTTAAATTTATTGTGTGCTATACATAAGAAGGGTTCCCACCAGACAAGGACAAGCACACACAGCCGTGGCTGGCGAGTCTCTTGGCTGCCACCACGTTTGCACAGCGAGTTAGCTATAGTCGTCAATTCGGATGTCTCCACAGTTCGGACCAGACTGCGGACATCGGAACGTCACTGCCCTTACTGCACCCGACCGCGCCTCTTCTGTTCAGCAGCAAACATGAGCGATGTCGACGGCGCGTATCACATATCTCCCAATTTTGAATGGAAAGCAGGCAGGTCGTCGTTTGCTCGTCGTAGCACGGGTTCGTAATGAGTGTTTGAGCTTTCAGATTACGATGCCGTCCTGGACGGTATAGCCACCACCGACGTCGTACAGTTAGTCTCCAATCAGTCTTATATCTGTCTTCATTGTTTATAATGCCAAACTCTAGCACAGAATGGACTACGCTACGAGATATCATCAAATATAAGATTAACCAGGTGTTGCTTCTTCACATCATCTTTCATCCGTCTCGAATCTGATTCCGAATGACAGAATACTGGACTCTTCCCTTCCAATGCCGATCAATTAATGGCCCCAATAGTGCCCTCTCAAAACTATGCAGACATAGACTCAGGAAATCTGAAGTTGCCACCCTTCCCTCCTCGAAGACGTAACGAGTTGAATCCCGTGGAGGTACCCAAAGTTCACCTCAACCAACAAGAGACGAATGAGATGAAAAGTTACATCTTCAAGCAGCTACACGAGTTCGATGAGTGCGTCCATTTCTGTTGCTCGGCTATAATCGATAGTCTGACTGCGGACAAGAACTCCTCCATTCACAATACAACGTTTATGCGAGCTGTGCTTACAGCCAAAACAACACTACCGCGCTCTCGGGAAATATCTCAGAGCCGTGGAAAAGACGCTTCTTGTCACATCTAGTTGGAATTCTTTCCCCATTGAATCCAATAATAACGGTCCAAATACAACATCCATTTCACTAAGTGGTACCATACGAACTGTTCCCACCACTCCTTTATTCTCGCCCATTCCTTTCTTACACGATGATGCAAGACGCTCCAAATCACGTAGTCCGCCTCCCTCACCACTTGCACTGAACGCAATGGAAGCCGGTGGCCCGGTGGAATCACTTACAGAAGGAATGCCCCAGAGAGCGCTAGGACTGGTGGACGAACTGGATGACCCCAACCCAGGCCACATGAGTGACCATCCGACGGCTTTGACAGCCGTAACAACTGTGACTCCACAGCCATTTCTTGGAAGCCTTGAGCAGAGATTTGTTAAAGCAGAGGGGGGTCCAGGAACGCAGGAAGGAGAGTCTCGTACTGATATGGCGGTTGATGGTGCAGATGATAAAGAAAACAAATGACGAAGAACCCAGTATACACATCGTCCGCAAGTATACTGACAGGTGGCCGGGGCCCGTATCATTCTAATCCAACGCGTCAGTGGCGATGAACGCTCATTCACTCGTTTCATGGAAGGAGAAATACCTTAAGTCTCAAGAGACAATCAACTAAGATCGCGTTTGATTTTCTCTAACATAGCAGACATCCGTAGTTTCATATCGGGCTGTCCCTTGCCATTATGACTTCGCTCTCTCGACTGTTTCCTACCATCTCGATCTGCTCCATGTCTCCCTTGCGAACGATTTGAATTCGATTTCTTCGTGTGTAGAGAACTAGGTGAAAAAGCTAGCTTTCTCAATTCACGTTTAGATAAATCTTGGTTGCGCTGAGTGTTTTGAGAATGTTCTTTCTTTGGATCTGTGTGTTGTTTGGCATCATAAGATGGAGGTCGCTGGGGGTGTCCTTTCATTGGACCGCGGGTAGATTTTTGATCTCTGTCAGCGTTCTTAGAACCAAGATTGTCGCTCTCTACGTTCTCGCCATCGTTGCCTTCAACAATGTCGACGCCTTCAGTTATCGGCGTATCTCTCCTCTGAAGCAAGCCTTCTTTCTTCTTCTGCGCTCTCCATTGGCTCTTCACTTTTTTAGTATCCACCCATGTTTGTTTCAGCTTTCTAGCTGTGGCAGGTCATGAAACCAGTAATGTGTCAGCATAGAAAGCAGACTCACCCCGATTAGTTGGAAGGTGCTGGAATGTAGGGGGCTTTCTTTTACCGGAAGTTTGAGTGGAGACCATACCTGCTGAAGCCGTGCAAGTTATTGTTGGACTGATAGTTCTAGTGAAAATTATGTCACTAAGGTCAGTATTCCTGGAGGACCCCGGTACCTGATGAGGGATTAATGAATCAGATTCCTGCAGTGCACGGGGTCCACAGTTGAATATGTAATGATTGTGGCTAGATAAATCAAGCCCTCAATCGTTTCTTTCCTCAACTTTCACGTTGTCTTCGAATCAGAAAACACTCCCCACTCAATCCTCAGATCTATATATTTCTAGCTATCGCATGAGCGTGCAGAACCTCAATTCCTTTGGTGGGCAACGCACCTAGTTTTGTACTTTTTCGCTGGCACTGATTCGTCACTTCCCTTCTCAGACCCCTTCGCTGATGAGGGCGACCCCCTCGGAGGCAACAACGACGTCGGATCTCAGCAGAATTACATTCACATTCGTATTCAGCAGAGAAACGGGAGAAAGACACTCACCACTTTACAGGGATTGCCTAAGGGTCAGTTATCTTACCCCCGTCCTACTCTCGGAACTGACTCAGCAATTCATTATTAGAGTATGATTCGAAAAAACTTCTGAAGGCTTTCAAAAAGGTGTGTAATCGTGTCTAGAATGGTGTCGTTATGTGTTACTCATCTTCATTGCCATCAGGAATTCGCCTGTAATGGAACTCTCGTTGACGACGAAGAAATGGGTCAGGTCATTCAGCTTCAAGGTGATCAGCGGGTCAAGATAGCCAACTTCCTCACGGAAGAGGGTATCCCGAAGAACACTATCAAGTTGCATGGGTTCTAAGTGTGGTGTCAGAACGAACGGCGGAAGCTCTTCTTTTGCCGTAGCGTCCAGGTTGACGCCATGCGCACGTCTCACTGTACAGTTACAACTTCTTTTCTTATGTTTCATACGCGTGTATGTACTTTAAAGAATATCTTCCTGCTATGCATTATACGGACTAAATTTCCTGGATGGATTAAACATTTGAACATCAATACAAACAACAACGTGAAGTCGATTAGTACCTTCTCAGCACATGGATTTACGAATAGGTAAGTTGGAATTACAGATTCAGTGCCCATCATCTATGATGAGCCTGTATAACAGGTCAGGACGCAATTCCACCTAATATTGATCGAATATCCTTCATCAATCGAGGCAAGGAGATAACTACTTAATTTTGTCGAGAGGCCTGTAAAATAAAAACTTTAGCATAGGAACCTTGACGAGGAAGATATCTATTTACCTGTTGAATCCTCCGCGACTGTTTGAAAGTGATGTGAGAGACATGCACATTAAAGATATACAAGACGCACCGATTCATGTACTGACGCCATGTTCTCATTTTTTTAATATTGACAGAACCCTCCTGATTGCCCTCCACATGTCTCCCCTGTAAACAAAGGAGTAAACACAAAGCGCTAGGGGATATTTGGCCAGCTGATCTGACCTTGGTTGTTCCAAATCCATTAAGACCCATCATAGCCATCATGGCTTCGTCATCGGGATTAGTTGCATCTTCTGCTTCACCATCTTCCATAGCTGTATCTGCACTCTCCTCTGGTTTTGTGTGAGCAGAAGACTCCGCAGGGATAGACACTAAACCTTTAAATCAGACCAACAGAACAGAAATGACAAGGTATCCACTTACCTTGACGGAAGGGTACGTCCTTCACCGGTACACGTTCTCGGTCGCGCCTTGAAGCATCCCTAATGTCGGGTTGCTTGCCGTCATCCTTGTCCCAAACATCCTTTTCTCGAGGTTCCTCCTTTCGAGATGCCTCCCGCCTGTCGTCCCCGCCATCACGCTTCTCTACCTTTCTTTCACCACGTTCGCCATCCCTTCTCTCGTCCCGCCTCGAGTCTCTGTAGTCTCTATCTCTATCTTTACCATGATCACGTCTGTCTATCATACGTGTCAGTACATCAATCCATACTATAGTTCATGTAACGTACCCCTGCGTGGTGGGCTTCGTGACCGGCTGTCTCTTCTCCTAGGAGCATCGCGATATCCACCTCTGCCACCGCGGCTACTAGAATGACGATCACGGTCACGGTCTCTGTCCCTATCAACCCTCTCCCAGCTTCTGTCTCGCCGTCTGTGGTCGTGCCTTGAGGACATTGTCGCCGTCGGTGGACAAGCTTAGTGTGACGCTGTCACAGCGCTGTATTTCCTTTCCAAGTTCTTCTGCTTTCAGCGCACTTCCGAGTCCAAGTCTGACTAGATCTGACTTTTGACGCGCCTTCATCTGAGCAGACTCATTCCAGCTTTTTTTTTCGCTGGGCTTCTAGCATAGAGGTCATTATGAATACTTTCAGACAGGCTTCCCGGAGTACGGCACTCCATGCTGCTCGTACAGCACGTCAAGAAGGCGAGCAAGTCGAACTTGACATATATTTCAGCTTTTTGCAACGCTCATTGATCCAGCTCAGGACCGTACTAGGGTTCACATACAACTGAGAGGCTTGCCTCGCTCTGCACTCCCTTCAGACATACGACGAACCGTCATTCGCGAAAAGTTGACCGCTGTTACTGATAGTACGCCATACCATTATATATTTGCGGTCTTTTCTGACTTTTGTGGGTGTACCACAGTTGTTCTCGACTACCACCGCTTCAATCCAACGGGTCGAGCTTACTTGACAGTTTCCCATCCTGACTTTATGAAAACGAATCTGCATGCTCTGGAAAATGCTACCGTCGGCGGAATCCCATTCGAGTCTTATTCCGCACCACCTCCAGCGTCCGGTCCCCCTGAAAGAACGCGTGGACCGAAAGGACGTGCCGAGGCTGCAGATAGAGGGCTTATTACAGGCAATGGACCTCGAGGGGGCCTGCTAAAACCAGGAAAAAATGTCGTTATTTGGGGTTTCCCGGGGAGAATGACTCCGGACATGGTAAAAACCTTTCTGATAGGTTATAAACTAAGTGCGGAAGGGAGCAAACAGGAGGTACTCCAAGTTGGCATGTACGTCTTCATGGTCTCATAAAATCACTTATATCTCAGATTGACGGCCGGTTATTTCCTCAGTCCTCCAGGTGGCTTTTCCCTGTACACGAGATATCTTGTTCGCATGTCATCAGTGGCAGAGGCTCATCGTTTGGTTCGGAGGCTACATATGACGTTTTATGAGCCAGAGTCATGGGGGGAGAAGTATGAGATACGTGCGCGCGTCATATATTAAACGTCTTGGTTAGAGGTGCATTAACAAGAATATTACTGCATAATTTATTCTTTTTGTCTTTCAAGTCTATGACTAATTGAAAATCGCGCAAAACCTGTTGTACAACAGCAGCAACAAAATTACATTCTCTCAGCCTCAATGTCATCTATACGAGAACGGTGACCCTGTAGAGATAAAAAGTTGTCATACAAATGTACCAGAAGCAGCGTAAAAAGATGCATACCAATCTGGTGTTATCCCCTTCATCTTCAGGTGACCGTCCTCTTTTATGTGTAACTTCACCTGGTACCTCTGTTTCTTTCCAGTCTTCACCACCACCTGCCACAGCTCCAGGACCTTCCGTAGCATCAGCATAACGCTCTTCTACTTCTCTACGTCTCTCAATCTCTAGTCTCTGCGCTTGAGCACCCCATCCTCCACGACCAGGATCATAGTCTTGCCTGTGCTCGTCTCTCACCTGCAAACATCACATTTTAGAAAGTTTCAATTATGGCTATGCGAGTCAACATTACCTGTCCACCGCTCTTGCCTCGACCGAATTGCCTTCCTTCCTTGTAGCCTAAGTCCAAATCACAACGGATGATGCGCTCGTCCAACTTGGTACCACTAACATATCTCATGCTTGCCAAAGCCTCCGCATGGGTATAGTATTCAACGAAACAAAATCCACACGGCGTTCTATAATTCTCCACATGAGGGAGAGAGAATCACTAGGGGTAGGTGTTGCACACGAGAATTACTACAAACCTGGTATTGCGGTCGAGACCCATAATGATACGTTTGATACCTCCACCATCCTCCGGGCTGGCACATTTTGTAAACAACTCGTATATCTGCTCTTCTGTCGTATAGAAACTCAAATTACCAATCTGTATGTTCTCAAAGTTAGAGTGCACGTCGAGAAAATATATATATTACATACGTATAGTGTTGTTGATCTCGACAGCAGCTCATTTTGCTTACTTCTATCCACGCGGGCCTGTGAGTCCTTGTAATTTGACGGCTGGTCCAATGCCTGCACAACGTGCGCCATAGCAAATGTCGAATCAACAGAGGTTCAAGCAATTGAACAGCCACTGGGATGGGCTTAACCCATACATAAAAGGAAAGGTAGTCCCACGGCATACCCACCCTGCGATGGGACGCGTGAGCCGCGTCAGCTTTGGACGAGTACTTGAAAGTCACCAAACCAACTTTTACTCTTGACCGTTCAAAGCTATTCATCATGGACGAAATAGGGATTGAAATGCATGTACGTGACTATGTCTATCTAACTCTCCGACCACTGTGTGCTAATACTGTCGCAGGAACCAACCTTCGAGTCCGTTGTGACCGAGAAGGCAGCTTTCTACAAAGAACTGCATGAGGAGGATTTGTACACGAAGTACAAGAAGCTGGCACGGCACCTGGAAATGCTGGAGATCCAGGAAAGCTATATTAAAGATGAACAAGCAAACCTAAAGCGAGAGCTCATCCGTGCGCAGGAGGAAGTCAAGCGTATCAAGTCCGTACCACTTGTTATTGGCCAATTCCTCGAACCTATAGACCAGAGCACTGGAATTGTGGGGTCAACAACTGGTTCTAACTATGTTGTCCGGATTCTATCGACTCTAGACCGCGAACTCCTGAAACCATCCTCATCTGTTGCCTTGCATCGTCATTCAAATGCTCTGGTTGACATTCTTCCACCGGAAGCAGATTCTTCTATTTCCATGCTTGGTAAAGAAGAAAAACCAGATGTATCGTATTCGGATGTCGGTGGGATGGACGCACAAAAGCAGGAGATTAGAGAAGCAGTTGAGCTTCCTCTCACTCACTTCGATCTTTACAAAAAAATTGGAATCGATCCTCCTCGGGGTGTTCTGCTGTATGGTCCACCAGGTGAGTTTGGCACGCTGATTATTACCTCGTTCAATATTGATTATCGCTTCAGGAACCGGTAAGACTATGCTTGTAAAAGCCGTAGCCCACCACACAACAGCCGCATTTATCCGCGTCGTTGGAAGCGAGTTTGTGCAGAAGTACTTAGGTGAAGGTCCCCGCATGGTCAGAGATGTTTTCCGTCTCGCCCGGGAGAATTCTCCAGCTATCATCTTCATTGATGAAATCGATGCTATCGCTACGAAACGTTTTGATGCTCAAACCGGTGCGGACCGGGAGGTGCAACGTATTCTGCTTGAACTTCTCAATCAAATGGACGGTTTCGACCAAGGAAGCAATGTGAAGGTAAGCATCCTAGTGATATAAATCCAGCAATATATTAAGGTTCGATGACCTAGGTTATTATGGCCACAAATCGTGCCGACACTCTTGACCCTGCCTTGCTACGTCCCGGACGTCTGGACAGAAAAATAGAGTTCCCACTACCGTCTCGACGTGAAAAACGTCTCATCTTCCAGACTGTCACTAGCAAGATGAATCTAGGTCCTGATGTGGACTTGGAAGACTGTGCGTGCCGTGCTTATTTATTCAATCTCTTCATGTACTCATGCTAGCAACAGATGTTTCGAGACCCGACAGGTTATCTTCTGCAGAGATAACATCCATTGTACAAGCAGCTGGCCTTCAAGGTATGAGTGATATACTTAATGCCAGTAAATCAGTAACCCTAATCATCACTCAGCGGTACGGAAGAACCGGTATGTAATACTTCCGGTGGACTTTGAGGAGGCGTGGAAAGTAAGTTATTTGGTCTTTTATTTGGCACCGTCGCGTCAACTATATAAACTTTAAAACTGACCATCTTCTCAACCATTACCAGCAAACGGTCAAACGGTCAGACGACACCCACGAATTTTGTACGTTGTCCGTATTTCTGTTCCGTATTATATGCTAACTTTTTCATCGACCGATTCAGACCGATAGTAGTTTTATCATGGTACGTTCTCTCTCGATCAGTTCCTCGAATTTTGTTTACTTAAAAGTGTCTGTTGCAGTCATTGGCCTTGTATCCTATTTTCTGCAAATCGCATTTTCTCGATCTCTGTTTTGAGTGATGTCGCATGGATTTCCCTAGCAGCTCCCTTCACTTTAGCGTCATGCTGCATGTTTCACGGCATGGCGCTCATTCTTACGAGCAAGAGTTACATGCCTGTTCATTTATTTTGCCCCGCTCGTCCACTTTCGTAAGATTGGGCGTACCCATGGTTTCGTCCCCATGGGCAGCGAGGTTCACACGCAGGAGACATTTCTTTCTATTACAAGAATGTTGGTCTGAGATGTAATTATATGTGAGTAGTTTCTCCCTCCACGATCTCCGTGATTTCTGATATGTCATTTAGGACTGATAAGTAATGAAACAATTGAAATATTCCTTGTTTATTTCCGACATTATCCTTAAGTTTTTCTTTTTCTTTTCTTCCTCTTTGCTCCCCAACACTCTGGACGGCGTTCTTTCACCTACACGCACGTTCTCATTTTAAGGGAGCCATAGTGATACTACGACTGCGTCATTGTGCGCGGTCGCCCTACTTGTTAACGGGCTTTCATGACGATCAGGATGGGAGCTTCGAAGATTTGATTGGGAAACAATATACAATATATCCATCATCTACGGATTTATGTAAATACACTGATGTCTTTTAGAAATGTGATCAAATAATAACAGATTAGGCTATCATTATCCTTATTTTTTGGTGCTTGGTTGACCAAGCTCGCTCGCACGTTCTGTCGCCACCTGGATAGCTCGTGCAATGGTAGATCGAACCTTGCCATCTTCCATTGCCAACAACCCAGCAATGGTACAACCACCTGGAGCTGAGAGGAATTCAATGTGTGGTACAAAACAGAAATCAGTGGAACATACTCGTCACCGAGTCTTTGATTTGGGCGGGATGAGCACCAGGTTGGAGTGCCATGCGTGCAGCACCTTGCAAGGCTACATGAAAATTGCATCAAAACTGCTTTGCGAAAGCGATGTTCGGGACTCTCACTTTGGGATGCTAATTCAAGTGCTTCGGCTCGGGGGAGTCCCATCATCACACCACCATCTGCCATTGCCTCTAGGAAAATACAAGCGAACGCAGGGCCAGATCCAGACAATGCGGTGCAGGCATCGAAATGTTTCTCGTCAAGGAAGCGACATCGGCCAATTGAGGAGAAGATATTGAGGATGGTCGTGCGATCGAGATCCGCATGAGACGACTGTGGAAGGTTGCTCACTACAGTCATTCCTTCGCGAATCTGAAGAAACAAAGTTTGTCAGTTTTGAAACGATATGCAGGTACAATGTTTTGGAGCACCCTGCAGGGAGTGTTAGGCATGGCACGGACGACCTTTGTCGACGGAGAAACTAATGCAGTGAGTTGTGAAATAGTTACTCCAGCCAAGATGCTAATAACGAGTTTCCCTTCTAAAGCATCTGCCATGCCAGCCTCGGTGAGGATCGAGGATACCTGCTGCGGCTTGCAGCTTCGCCACGGTTCCTTTCAGCATTAAAATCTTGCAATTCACGACAAACTCTTACCAGAGAATAATGACGTCGGCATGTTGTGCAGCCTGCACATTTTCTGAGACCAAGATTTGTACCTGCGAGCCAAATCCTCCAAGAGCAGCGAAGGTGTGCCCAAGTTTTCTGGCGCTTTCCTCTCTGGTTACACAGGCAATGAAATATGAGGGCAGAGATGGGTCTGACTCGATATCGACAGCAGGTGTGGAAGTCCCAGGAGTATGCGACTCCCACTTTGGGAAAGAGCGAGCACGATCTTTTGATTGCAAGCTATCTATTACCCCAGATATGATAGCGATGCCCATCGTCCCGCATCCTAGATCAAGAGTAAGATCGGAATGAGCGTGCCAATGGGAAGATATAACAAGCTGCACCTATCACACATAACGTATAACCCATGTTGAAAGGATGAAAGCAAAAGTTTTAAAATTTTAAGATTCAAATCATGCGAAGTAACTCAAAAACTGTCACTGAGTCATTCCAAAAATCCATTCTGTAGTGTTTCTATCAAGAAGCAGTTTCTCCAGATATCGTCAGATTATGTAATTTCTGTAAAATTAATCGATTTACTAAGGTTAGCAACGTTGAGCTCAACAGTTTTCCTGGATGCTTGCCTTCGTGACCGTTGGCTCTACCAAGTTTGATCTGCTTGTACAAGCCATTTTTTCTGAACCAGTCCTTCGTATCTTACACGAGAAAGGATACACTCGTCTTGTTCTTCAACGTGGTAACTCTCAGGTCGACTTCGTCGGGACAACAGAGAGCTTCACTGTGCAGAAACATGGTGTAGATATCGAAATATGGAAATTCAAACCCTCTCTACAGGATGATTATATGAGAGCAGATTTGGTTATAAGCCATGCAGGTACTTTTCGATACCAGTAGCGCCATGATCCTCGATTCGAGTGTCTTTACAGGGTCTGGCACCATACTCGATGTCTTACGCCTCGGGAAGCCCTTGATAGTGATACCCAACCCTTCTCTACTGGACAACCATCAAGAAGAACTAGCCTCAGCTCTTGCTACTCTTGGTCACTTGAAAGCAACTCATGTGTAGTGAGCTTCAGATAAATCACCTCAGTGGAATGTTGTATCGACCTTGTACTTTCTTGTCAAACAGCGATTTATCGCAGGCAATCGCAACGTTTGAGCCGTCTTCGCTCGTGCCCTTTCCAGCATTTGATGGCAGCAAGTTTCAAAAGTTGTTGGATGAGGAGATGGGCTTTTAATATACGAATCCTGGGAGATTAGTGTTATAACACGCTACTACTACCAGTACTGCTGTGCATGCGTCGCGGTGGTCGCGGTACTCTCAGATTAAACCTTATCGACACTCTTTATCTTTGATGAATATCTCGAACAATGTCTTCCAAGGATGTCATTCGGGCTGCTGTTCTCGATGATCCCCAGTCACACGAAGATGTGCACGTCCACGCGATATATGATAAGATCGCGACACATTTTTCTTCTACGCGCTACAAGGCAAATATACATGCATTCATCGGACAGACGTTTTCTTTATAACTAACTAGTATCTTTCCAGCCATGGCCCATAGTAGCTCAGTTCCTTTCTGGACTTCCAACGGGCTGGATTGGTCTAGATTCTGGTACAGGAAACGGAAAATACCTACCACTTCCCTATGACCGCCCCGGAAGCGTGTTGACAATCGGGCTTGATAGGAGCCGCAATCTCTTGCATATAGCAAGGACGGCAGGGCAGAATCCCTCCCCCACCAGAGAGGTCGTATGGGGAGACGTACTCGGGAACGGATGGAGATCTGGGGCCTTTGTGAGTGAATATCTAAGGAACATGACGCAGCGCCTGAACGACATTAGGATTATGCCATCTCGATAGCGACTATACACCACTTAGCATCCTATGAACGACGCCAAATTGCTGTAGAGGTGATTCAGCCTCTTGTGGGTCCCCTTTGCTTCGCATTCAAACCTTTGATTTTATAGCGACTTCTCGAGTGCGTGTCACCATCACATGGCCGTATTCTCATCTACGTATGGGCCATCGAACAAGATCAACTCTCTAAAAGAAATGTTCCCCTGGATCATGAAGCCCTGAGTGAATCCACAGAACCTATAGTGGGGCAAGATGTCTTTGTTCCATGGGCTATGACACCACAAAATGTCAAGGCAAAAATAACAAGCAACTCAAAACTTCAGGCTGGCAGCAGTGATTCATCAGACGGGCCAGAAACCTGTCCACCTCCTGTGTACAACCGTTACTACCACATGTTCGCAAAAGGAGAGCTTACCATGTTGGTCCGCGACGCTGCAAAAGCTCTAAAGATCGAAGTGGGGGTGCCAGAAGAATATACAGAACCAGGAACGAGAGGGATTACAGTCACGCAAGATGGATGGGAGAGATCGAATTACTACGTAGAACTGAGGTGCTGGGAAATATGATTCCTTTGAATAATGGCTGGATCTCAATTGTAGACGTTCAACAACTCGCCCATTGAGACTGATGCGCGACCCAAATGGAATAGATTGTGCAAGGGCAAAAACAATGATACAACGATGCAGATCACAAAATCAATGACACGAAGGGAACAATCACTCGCTCGCAGCCATAACTGAAAAACACTAGGTTAGCATCGACTCAAAAATGAAGACCTAAGATAGACATACTGGCGTTGATCAAGTCCCCTCCACTCTCTTTGAGTACCCGAACTGCCTTCGCTCTCGAGCAGTTGACCTGAGCCATGACAAGTTCAATGTCTTTTGGGTCAACACCCGTCTCGTCAACCGGTCCATCGTCTTCAGGAGCTTCAAGCTCTGGCATGTCATCGTCATCGTCACCTTCTGCACCAGCAGGCGAGTTCTCAAGGTTGGCAACACCTCCACCTCCACCACCGGAAGCAAGTTGTTGTGCAGCCGACAACTGGGCTTGAGAGTTCATGTCCTCAATCTGATTTGGAAAATCTTTTAATATCTGATGAAGAGTAGGAGCAGGGACCATGTCATACCTTGGCTTCACCGAAGACGATGTAACAGTCGCTGTTAGGCGACTTGTAAACATCGGGAGCCGCCAGCACGAACAAAACCTAAAGGCGGGCTCTTGTGAGATTCGCATCGATCGTAATCAACGCAGTTTTCTTACGTTCTTTGGTCTCCGTAAAGTGACCCGCGTAATGCCAGGAACCTTCTTCAAGCCCAACCCGAGGAGAGCTTTTCTCGCTTTCCTTTCTGACCGAGACTGAATTTTGTCAAGAGCAGCTGCCGAAGTGGGGTCTTCGTCGTGGTCATGCTCATGATCGTGGTCAGAGTGGTCAGAGTGAATTTCCTCGATGGTTGCAGACATCTATAGGGCGGGGAGGTTGTAAGCATTGCGATCTATCCGATGAAGCTGGCAGCCATCCAACGTATAACAGCGGTTTCTAGCCACGATTCACGATGAAATGAATACCACTGTGTGTGGGATCTTACTTTTTGGTTTCAAGGGCTTGGGTAGAAGACAAAGACTGTGGACGCTATGGGCAACGATGAGGAAGAAGGCTAGCGCGTCGCTCGGCAATTGCCGGGTAAACGCGTAGACCCTCGCTTGACTCCGTGGCTGTGCCCAACTCTTTTGCCTGTACTAATCCGATCTACAACTGATGTATACTAATTGCAGTTGAGGACCTAGGACTCTGTATCTTCGTCAATATTGTGATATTTCTTGTTTAAGAGCTTCCGGATATCTCTATATACAGTAGGTAACCCTGACCTCTATGACCAGACTATGCGTACATGGCCAACTCGGTCTAGGAATCCTTCAGCCTCACGTTCAGCGATCTTGGTGTGTCACAAGTATTACATCGCTGTTCGTGTTTTCCAATCGCGCTAAGGACACAACTAGAAAAAGGAGTCCGCCGCTCTGCCGCCATCTCTGATTGTGTTCCGAGCTTTGGTATCAAATGGTTGACCCCTACGGTATCTGGTGGCGCCGCCAAAATGCATCTTGAAACTGGATATCGGTAGCGATCTTACAAGTTTTATCGATCTAGGTATCTGATCAACTTGTTCTAGTTATCTGCTGTGAGAAATCTAATTTTTTGACTGAGGTTTTAGCTGCTCATTGGATTGTTTCATTATGTTTAATTACTTTAGATCATGGTGAAACGAATGGGCTCTAGGCTAGTGTTTGTCAAGTAAGGAGGTTAGGGGTGCCGATCGTGATGGTATGCTCTTCGTCATCCCTGGATGACTTCACTCGACGTCATGGAATGTGTTCTAGACATATAAAATGCCTTTCACTTCCTTTGTTTTAGCCTCAACCCACCTGCTCATCATGGATACCAAAACTAAGCAAGCACTCTACCATTCCACTGCGTACGATGTCGCTGGTGAGAGCATGATGACGTTCAAGCCCATTAATGCTATCCACCAACATTTGTGTGGTTTCCACGTTTATGCGTATGTCTTCGGTCAAAATATGTTTCCCTGATTGACGATAACTCGTTTGAAGTCACGATCACACTCGTCACGTTGAAGCTCATCATTTTTGTACACATCGATCCAAGGATCTTCATCAATGTATCATCTATGATTCGGACGATGCAAATGCAAGATTAATTGGAATTGAATATCTAGTGTCCGAGAAGGTGCTTTTCTATCGTGCCTTCAACTCTCTTGCCTGATAATTACTAATTACCAGGTATTTAAAACACTACCTGAAGAAGAAAAGAGATACTGGCATTCTCATAAATATGAGGTAGCGTGTCTGTTTATTTGTGTAATGCTTTGCTCACCGCCATCAGGTGGCGAGTGGGACACTGCAACTTGAGGTAAGCGGTATACGGAAATTATCAACAACTTTTAACTAATGTCATTTCTAGAGCAAGCCATTGGTTCCTGGTTAGTCTTTGTGCCATAACCCTTCTTGATTACTCAATGGTCGTTTCTTCCAAAACTAGGCATCGTAGATGACATGGCAGAACAGCCAGCCATGTTGGAGCTATATCAGACCTATGGTAAAACTATCCATACATGGCCATTTGACACATCACCGGAGCTTCCTCTTGGTCCCCCCAATCTAATGATGGCGTACACCCAGGATGGTCAAGTAGCTGCAGATAAGCTGAAGGCGAGGGAGGAGAGAACGGGTGTATCTATCGAGGCGAAGAAGAAGTTACGCGCGGGGTATCTTCCTCCCTATGAACGTGCAGAAGGGGCGGATCAGTGGGAAAATAGTGGGAAAGGTATTAGCTTCAATGCTAAAGAAGTTGAGATCAAGAAGTGAACAATTGCAAATGTATGAACCGTTATCCATCCGATGTATTCTTACTGTAAAGTATTACATGCGAAATTAGTGCCAGTCTTTCTGAGAGCATGAAGTTACCACAGAAACTTGAATGAAAGACAGCTGAAAGGAGTATATAGTTACGTAACCTAGGCTTTATTGGCAAGCTGTGGGCGTTCGCGGCGAGTGCTATGTCGATTATTGCTCTTTCTCATCAAGTGCGGGTGGCCCTGCAAGAGTCAGCAGATGCTGAGGGCGTGTTGGCTCAAACATTGGCTGCTGTGGATGAATTCGTAGTTGACTGTTGCTCTTCGGACGAACCTGAAGTGCTGCTCTTTCACTTGGAAGAAGACTTACAAAACATACACAACGAGGCCGTGGATCATACATCTCTGTACCACACTGAAGTGTTTCTTGCTTTACTCTATCACCTTCGTCCTATCATCTCATCAACATCAATAATCTCGACTTGGTTTGACCTTGTTCTCCGCCCTGCTCTGCGAGAACCTAGGTTACCTACAATTGCTCTAAACCATGCCACAGAACTAATCATACATGCCGCCGAAAAAGTGGACGAGCGGTATCCAGAGAAAGTTGGAGAATTTCGCCGAAGATTACTGGACTTGTATTTATTAGATGCATATAACGAGGGGTCAGGTGAAGATATCTTGGAATGGGCCGAGTTGAGTCAGGTGCAAAGGGAGAAGAAATCTCTATGGAAATCTAATTTAGAAGACATTCTGGTGAAATTTGGACTGCAGCAACCACAGGTATGCCTTTATCGCAAAAATCATCCTGACTGTGCTAACTACCACGAAGGAGCTAATGACAGAAATCAATGAATGTTTCGCTACACCATCATCTCGCCTGCAACTGCTCATCCTGCTGAACTATTACACATCACAGGAGAAATTCCGATCTCCACTTGTTTTAGCAAATCACCCACTTATTTTCAGCCTTCTTTCATCTCTTCTTCTGGATAACTCTTCAACCATCTGTACAATCGGTCTTACCGTCCTGGTGAAATTACTTCCTATCTTTGCTGTTGAGGCATGCGATAATTTGAAATCTATTCTTCCTCAACTATTGGCCATTCTTGCTCGGATTATTTGCTGGAAGGAGCGGCCAGTCTCAGGACTTAGTACTGAGGGACAAGGCGATGAAACACAGGTCAGTGAGGAAGTGGACGCTGCACAAGATCTTGAAGAACCCTCTACTGTTCTTCAACTTCACCCTGAGCTCGATTGGAAGCGGCTCGAGTTGACGTTTAATGCAGCGCGCTCGTCCGCCCCTCCTCCCGAGAACTTCTTCTCCTGTCTTTACTATTTATTTCCCTCCAACCTGTTTCGATTTCTTCGCGGTCCCGCAATATATCTCAAGAATAACGGGTTTGATTCCCCGTATACTGTCAACTGGGAAGAGGCTCTTGACGAAGATAACATCCGTAGCAGATTCGAGGTATGTCCTGGCAATCGCAACCATCGGTTGGCTAACTGTACGTCAATGTCACTGTTAGTCACTTCTTCGGGGACGCGTTGTCAATTCACGAGTTATATGGCGTGACGCCACTGAGGAGCTCAGTCAACCAAACATTTGGGAACGATACGACGTTTCTCGCATCTCAAGTGAATGCTCGATGCTCGATGTTCGCAATGCAGTTTTAGGCAGTCACCAGGAATCACCCGAGATTTCCACCATGAAATCAACCGTTTCCTCCAGCTTGCTCCTAGGCGAAGACGAAACATCTGTTCCGACCCCCCACCCAGGTGTCGTGGAGCTGACTGTGAAGAAACCACGCATCTCTCTTCAAGACATGATCACGACTTCTGTTGCACTAAAATCTAATCTAGATGTAGAGATCGAGCAGCCATCGTCACAATGGTCGTCTGTGCTTTTCCCTCCCAGCACCAGCTCCCCTTCAAAAGGAAGCGTTCAATTACCTTCAGAGTCAGAAGTGGTATCTGAAAGTGGACACTTACCGACACATGTTGCAGAAGCGATCTCAGCTTTGCAACGTGAAGTCATCTTGTTGCGAAATGAATTGAATTTCGAACTTTGGCTGTCGCGCGAGAACATGCAGCATATTGGCAGGCTATATCAAGATCGTATACTATCCAAGAATGCGGAAGCTGAGAGGCAAGGTTTAGTAGGTACCATTCCTGGTCATCTCGGGCTGTTAGTCTGAATTTCGAGTCGTGCCAGTTTAATAAGCTTCGCCAGTACAGGGCTCAAGTTCAAAGCCTTGAACGAGAATTGAAAGAGCACAAAGCACAATCGTCGTCAGCCAGAAACAAATATGCAGACTGGAACACCGAGTTACAGAAGAAGTTGCGCGACTTCCGAGAGGAGAAAAAGTCATGGGTTACAGAAGCGGCTGCATTACGAAGTGCAGAAAAAGAAGCTAAAGTACGCTTTGGATGATTGCCCAATTACATCAGTAACGATCTTGCAGCTAACCTCGGCGTAGACTGCGTTCGTAGCTCAAGGGAAGCTACTTGCAGATGCCACGAAAGAAGTTTTCGAGCTCCAAACTCAGAAGAAAGAAAATCAGCACAAAATTGATCGACTGCACGATTATGAGCGGCAGATCGAGCAGCACATAAAGATGCAGCGGTTATGGTGCGCGCAGACGTCTCGGACATCTTTGAGATGAAATTCTAATGGAGCTGTATAGGGATTCGGATTTCGAAAAGTTCAATCAGCGCGCTGAAGAAATGCAGTCAATGATAACTGAGTACAGGAAGATGGAAATACGTCTCGAGTGTTACGAGAAGACACAAAGTGAGATGAATGATAATGCTCGGTGAGGCACAATTTTGTCGAAGCAAGATTTTTTGTTCATTTCCTTTATAGTTGTTATCGTCGCCAGATACAAGCTCTTGAAGCTCGTTTGACTCTCGTGCAGAAAAGGAACGAAGCATCGCGACATTTACCTCCGGCCGAGATTGCGGCGTTCATTGCTGAAAAATCTGCACTCATGAAGATGAACAAGGAGCTCCGAGATGAGAATGCGGATCTCAGGGACGAAGTGGAAGAGATGATGGCAATGCTAGAAGTGCTCAAAGCTCAGATCAGTGGACACCGAGGCTTGATATCTGAGCCTCGATCCAGCCCGACGTTATCTTCCAGCTTGCCGATGCCATTTTAACTGCTTCCACATATTACCTGTATCCGGATTACATTGCGGTATTTTCAATGTTTCAATGTACATGCTATTTATGTTCCCTAAGACACAATTTTACCAACAACGTACAGCCTTGAATGATATTATCGTGATAGCAGACGTTTGTGACAAGAAAGGCAAGAGCTACAGTAGCTTACCGAATGTTCTGGAAGACATCGAACTTTAGCAGGCGTGAGAAGCTACCTTTGGGGGCACGCGTCGAAACTTCGAGAACGAAAAAGTGGGAGTACAAAAGGATGGAGGACTGATCAAATTTCGTTGCTGGTTAAGCTTTCTTCATCGCATCTAACCCCCAATTCATCAGTGTTATATCTTAGCTTGTAAGTGCGATAGGTATCGATCCCATATACAAGCTCATAGTTTTCTTGCACAGCCTAAAATGGCCACCGAGAGCTTTGGATTCCAGGCTGAGATCAGTCAATTGCTTGACTTGATCATTAGTAAGTTATCGAATCTATAACAACATGCAAGCAGTAGATCTAATCATTGTCTCAAGACACCTTCTACTCCAACAAGGAGATCTTCCTTCGTGAAATCATCTCTAACGGATCCGATGCTCTCGATAAAATCCGTTATGCTTCCCTAACTGACCCATCCGCTCTCGACACTGAGAAGGAGCTCTACATTCGTATCGTTCCTGACAAGGAAAACGGCACCTTGACTCTCCGTGATACTGGTGTAGGTATGACCAAAGCTGATATGGTAAACAACCTTGGTACTATCGCCAAGTCCGGTACAAAGGTCAATTTTTATGTATCTATCTTCGATGTGTTTAACGTTTTCTAATATTCGATCAGGGTTTCATGGAGGCCTTGAGCTCTGGTGCTGATATTTCTATGATTGGTCAATTCGGTGTTGGTTTCTACTCTGCGTACCTTGTTGCCGAGCGTGTGCAGGTTATCTCTAAGCACAACGATGACGAGCAATACATTTGGGAGTCTGCTGCAGGTGGTACTTTCACCATTACCCCTGACACTGTCAACCCTCCTCTCGGTCGTGGTACTGAGATCCGCCTGTACCTCAAGGAGGATCAGCTCGAGTATCTGGAGGAGAAGAAGATCAAGGATATCGTCAAGAAGCACTCTGAGTTCATTTCATATCCCATTCAACTTGCCGTGACGAAAGAGGTCGAAAAGGTTAGTTAAACGTTTTCCTAGTTTTATTGGACATGTGTTGACCAGTCGCGAATTATAGGAGGTTGAGGATGACGAGGAAGCCGCTGAGGAGGAAGAGGATGCTGACAAGCCCAAGATTGAGGAGGTTGAAGATGAGGATGAGAAGCCCAAAGAGAAGAAGACCAAGAAGATCAAGGAGCAGGAGACTACCAACGAAGAGCTCAACAAGACGAAGCCTATCTGGACGCGCAATCCCCAGGACATCACGGCTGACGAGTACGGCGCTTTCTACAAATCGTTGACTAACGACTGGGAGGAGCATCTCGCTGTAAAGCATTTCTCCGTAGAAGGACAGCTCGAGTTCAAAGCTATTCTCTACATTCCTAAACGGCAAGAGTTTTTTTGTTGTGATCACGAGAGCAGATATTGACTTCTTGCCCCCTTAAGTGCACCTTTCGATCTCTTCGAGACGAAAAAGAAGCGCAACAACATCAAACTTTACGTTCGCCGTGTCTTCATCATGGACGACTGTGAAGATCTCATTCCCGAGTATCTCAACTTCGTGAAGGGTATCGTTGACTCAGAGGATCTTCCTCTCAACATCTCTCGTGAGACCCTTCAGCAGAACAAGATTCTCAAGGTCATCCGCAAGAACATTGTCAAGAAGTGCATGGACTTGTTCAGCGAGATCGCAGAGGACAAGGACAACTTTGCCAAATTTTACGAGTCTTTCGGAAAGAACTTGAAGCTCGGTATCCACGAAGACGCTCAGAACCGCAGCAAGCTTGCTGAGTTCTTGCGCTTCTACTCTACGAAAGCGACCGAAGAGCAGACCTCGTTGAAAGGTAGGCGGATTCTCTTCATTTTATGATGAGATGTATTGACATATTTTCAGATTACATCACTCGTATGCCGGAGGTGCAAAAGTCGGTTTACTATCTCACTGGTGAATCTCTGGCTGCCGTTCGCGATTCACCATTCCTTGAGGTCCTTAAGAAGAAGGGCTTCGAGGTTCTCCTGCTCGTTGACCCCATTGATGAATACGCCATTACTCAGCTGAAAGAGTTCGATGGCAAGAAGCTTATCTGTGTCTCGAAGGAAGGGCTGGAACTCGAGGAAACCGAGGAGGAGAAGAAAACTCGTGAAGAGGAGGCTGCTCAATTCAGCGACCTATGCACCACGATCAAGGAAGCCCTCGGTGACAAGGTTGAGAAGGTTGTTGTCTCGAACCGTATCACCGACTCTCCTTGCGTTCTTGTCACTGGTCAATTTGGATGGTCATCCAACATGGTGTGTGGATATTATTATCTTCGTATAGCGTAATCTAATTGCATTTCATCATAATAGGAACGAATCATGAAAGCCCAGGCTCTTCGTGACTCTTCGATGTCGTCATACATGGCCTCGAAGAAGACTCTTGAGCTTAACCCCTCGCATGCCATTATCAAAGAGCTTAAGAGAAAGGTCGCTGAGGACAAGGCTGACAAGTCTGTTCGCGATTTGACTTACCTTCTCTTCGAGACTGCTCTCCTTACCTCCGGCTTCTCGCTTGATGACCCCACGTCGTTCGCCAAACGTATTAACCGTATGATTTCGTAAGTGGATTTCATAAATCACTCTTGAGATACGTTATCTTATCAAAATATAATAGGCTTGGTCTTGACGTTGATGATGAAGAGGAGGAAGCTGAGCCAGCGGCTGGCGCTGATGCCTCTCCACCAGTGGAGACTGCTTCGACGTCTGCCATGGAGGAAATCGACTAAATGTAGCATATGTATTAACGACCCTTTTACTCTTTTTACTATTGTCATTGATATCGCACTTTTCTTTTTCACTTGGTTGCATCTTACGAGCTGGTATTAAAAAAATTCATCTAGTACTGCATGAATACAAGATATATTCCACATGATATTTTCTGCGTGATGTTTGCAAACCTTCGTGATTAAGTCGCCAGTCTATTCTGCACTGTATATTGAATTCATATGCAGAAGTTAGTTGACAGTTTATATGACAAAATCAAACAAATACCAGCATAAGATGAGAAACACGCAAGCAAAATGAAAAGAACGCCCAAGATATAAGATAGAAAAAATAATCTGCCCCAGTGAGGCTCGAACTCACGACCTTCCGATGAATCTGAAGTGATAACAGTCGGACGCTGTGACCAACTCAGCCATGGGGCATGTATTTTGCATTCGTTCCCCGCCATTATGACCGAGACATCATTCCCAATACATTTCACTCGAAGTTGTGTAGCCTATTTTTTCTTCTGTATCAATCTATGAACAGCAAGAATGCTAAGAGCTTCTTATTTTACCTTATATGTCTGTTGAGCTAAGTGATGAAGAAGTCTCCGTAATTCATTCGACACACTGTTTGCGGTATGAGTCATAGTGATGCAACTGATATGGAGTCATCCGAGTCGCTGATATGATGGCAGGATGATAGTAGGCCCTTTATTTTCGATTTCTTCGACTCGATAGCTACCACCAACGTCAAGTTTCTCTATGGACCACAGAGTAATAAATTTCGGTGCTGGACCTTCTGCACTGCCCGAGCCAGTACTCGAGGAAGCCATGAAAGGTCTCCTCAATTTCCAGGGCACTGGCATTGGAATAGCAGAGATTTCTCATCGCTCCAAGGAGTTTGGTGCATTCTTGTCTAATGTCGAATCTCTCATTCGATCCCAACTCGGCGTCCCTTCCACCCACTCCATCTTGTTTACTCAAGGTGGTGGTTCGGCTCAGTTCTCAGCGGTCGTGCTGAACTTCCTTGCAAGGCATCGGCTGCTTCATCCTGAGTTGAGTGGTGAGGATCCTGTTTTGGACTACGTCGTGACAGGGTCCTGGAGTAAGAAAGCTGCTGAGGAGGCCAAAAGACTCGGAGGTAGTAAAGTCAACATCGCAGCGGATGCCCGAAAACACTCGCAGGATCAGAAGTCCTTCGATAACATCCCTCCACACGATGCATATACGTTCTCTGCCGACCCTGCCCTTATCTATTATTGCGAAAACGAAACGGTTGATGGCGTGCAGTACTCGAACAATGAATCTGCGCCATCGTCCTTCCCTTTCCATCTCCTCAAACAGGGCAGTCTTCTACCTCTTGTCGCAGACTACTCGTCCTCCTTCATGTCTCGCCCCATCCCGCACTTGGCAGACCATGCTTTGATTTTTGCTGGCGCCCAAAAGAACATCGGTCCCGCAGGCCTTACTGTCCTGATCGTCAGACAGGACTGCATCGTCGATGTCGACGCTGCTGCTAAGCTCGGGGCAATCCCAGTCCCCCTGACAATGTCCTACAAAACGCTTGCAGATTCCAAGAGTCTCTACAACACACCTCCCGTGCTCACGATCTTCATCTCAGGGTTGGTGTTGCAGCGCATGAAGGACCAGGGTGGGGTCGAATACTACGCCGAGGTTAACAGACGGAAAGCAGAGAAGGTCTATGAAGTCTTGAAAACGGGTAAATCAAAGGGTGTTTTACACGGGAAGGTGAAAGAGGGTTCCGGTAGCTGGACGAACATCGTCTTTGATGTCCTCGGTGACGGGTTAGAAGCCAAGTTTTTGGCGGAGGCGGAGAAGCTAGGCATGAAATCTCTCAAAGGTCATCGGTAGGTCCCTTTTTCTCCATCTTTTGTTTCAAAATCAATGATTTATACAACGCGTTTTTCTTTATAGATCTATCGGAGGTGTGTAACGCAGCTTTCCCATCACCAAACAATCATTTTGCAAGATTCACTGACTTCTATATTTTTTCTAGGTATCCGTGTTTCATTGTACAATGCTATCACAGAAGAGCAGACAGATAAACTAGTCGCATATATTTTTGACTTTGTAGAACAGAATGCACCCCAAAGCGTCCAGTACTAGTCAAAGCAAATTAGCATGTACTATTGGTATGGTTGACTATTTACCCTTTATATGTCTTACTATTCAGTTACTTTCAATAAGTCACTTTGCCGGAGTGGTTAACGGGATCGCCTGCTATTTCATAGTTCAGCGGTTGGGCTTTGCCCGCGAGTGTTCGAATCGCTCAGGTGACGAAATTTTTGGCCTCTTTCCTGTTCCATATTACATAGCAAGGTAAAGGACCACCTTTCTCTCCTTCTCCTTCCACCGACTCATCGAATTCTAGTTTGAGATGACTTGAAAATGGGACAGCAAGCGTCAGTGAAATTGACGAACCATGCTTTTTTAATTAGTTACTTTATTCTATTCATCGGCATGGACATGTGTATGTACTCATCTGAAACATCAACAACGTAAATTGCAACTAACTTGAATGGAGCAGTAGACAAAGCTGAGCAATAAGCAACTGGCTGGTAGGAAGCTAGCAATAATGGGAAATCAGAGAAAACGAATCAAATCAAAGCTAAAAACTGCGCATGGAAATTAAAACGGGAGACATTGACATTTGACGTTGAGAGGCTGCAAAAGAAATATGCACTGAAGATATAGCAGAGCAAACACAGATATTACTGGTGGTCCAAATGACGAAAGAAATTCGTGCAAGTAAAAGATGCAAAGATCATGCGCTAAGGCTTCGTAACAAGGATACATTCGGGACCGATATATTATCAGAAATATTTGTTGAGTTGTTGAAAAATTCGTTATTAACTGCAGAAAAGATGCTGGTTCGATATTTCGATTATATGCTGATACGCATTGTTGCAATGATGAGATCGAAGGAGATATAAGGCGATAGGGACGTGATATGCCTGTAGTCGATTATTCCACCTTTACAGCATTCCGCTGCTACGGTGATTACTCCAGAGCAGGGAGTACAGGCATGAGGTTATAAAAGGCGATACGACTGGGATCAAACGCTGCATGTGGTGGAGGGGTCTGCGGGTTTACTGACATACAGTCAGGAGAATGATAGGAGGAAGAGATATTTCGCGGCGTGTGTACTTCTGAAGAATGAAGATCGGCAATGGTTCCCAAAGGATTGGAGCGTAAAGAAGTCTTTCGGCGGCGAACTGGCCCTGGGCCAGTGGGTATTATAGAATCAGGAAAATCTTCTGCCATTGGTATCTGGGAAGGATTTGCGGTGCAGCGTCGATGTGCTTCAATTGGAGAATCAAGGCCTGAAGCCCATTTGTCAAAGATAGCCGCCCCGAAGGAGTCGAAAGGGCAATCCAATCGGGGGGAGTGGTGTCGGAGCCTAGAAGAGCGAACGGTGCGCTTTTTCCCTCGACGCCTGGGAGTGGAGACACAAGGAGGCGGGGACTTGGATTTCTAAGAAATGAATCATCGTCAACGAAAATCACACAGGACATTAGCGATGAAACTTACGCAAGAAGGATAGATTGGCTCGACGAGAGTAATAGGCGACAACAGTCTCGGTGGGCTGACAGCGACGGGTGAAGAGGCTGGACGCTGTGATATACGTTAGTAAGCGACGACAGTAATAGGGGTTGGATGGTGGTCGATGTTGGCTACGTACCGAGGGCATTTCCATATCTTCAAGGATGTGTGAGTGCGAGTGTACGTGAGCGGGTACACGTTGCATTGCTGTGAGCTGGTAAGACGGAGAGGCGACACGCGGCAAAGGGGAGACTATGGAGGGCATTGTGTGTGAGAGATTGGAGGATAATGATACAGATGGTTAAAATAGGGCTGGTTTATGGTTTATAATCGGATGTAAAGATGGGGCATTATTGTGTTGGGAACGGGAAGACAGGCGAGGTTGTAGCTTAAGGGAGACAATGGGGAAGACCTGCGAGAAATTAAGGGAGCGTTCTGACCAGAGCTCGCCCAATTAGGAATCTGACTTTAAGTACGGGATTATGTCAGCAAGCGTCGAGGAGAGCGCGTCTCCCAACAACGATCAAACTCGATTTCTCGTATCCTCGTGGTCACCATCAATTCTGCTTATAGCCTTAAAGTAGTCATCATTTAATTTACACACATTCTCGCTGACATCCTTTCTTCACTTCAGCGAACCTATCGGGTCATGTCAGTTCAGCATGTAGTCGTCACATACGCGACTCTCCACGCTTTTCGCGCTTCAGAAAGCTGGATTCATGTACATGATGCCCTCCGTTCACAACTACCTCTCCGCAACATTCACTGGAAGTCTGCTTCCCGCCCAACTCTCAGGACAATACAAGAACTGGGTGTCTCTTTGGTCCCCCTAGACTCTATCCGTGACGAACTGACCTCACAGATACCAGTTACCTTGCTCGAGAAACCCTTCTTAAATCTCTACATCGTCTTTTGTGAGGTAATATACTCTTCATCTAAACTAATCGTTTCAATAGCATGACATATTTGTCCTCCTCCAGGATGTCGAAGCATATAGGACAACCGTAAAGAGGCAGATCAAGGATTGGCACAACTTAGTAATCCAAAAGAAAAACCAGGAGTGGCTCATACTACATATTGTGCGCCCCGATGCCAGAACAACAGATCGAAGTTTTTTCAACATGAAAGGATCCGTCTTGGACAAAATAAAAGCAGATTTCAATGTCGATAAGCGGGACAGGTCCTTGCAAAGCTCTTGTACTATTCGGCGTCATAGCTGAAGTGTTTGCTAGATGTGTTCAAATCGCGTGGTCTACCGGACTAAATAGTCCAGCAATATGGGCGGACCTCATAAACAAATTCAAGGATGGGTTACTTTCCGCGTTTGACTCTGCAGTTTCCCAGAGAGAGGATGAAGTCAAACGCTCTGAAAGTCAGAGGCACATGCCAGGCTGGAACTTCTGCACCTTCTTTATCCTCAAGGCATGTTTTCATGTTCTCAGTGCCACAATGTAGTCTTGTCTGTAGCTAATCAATGTACATGTCGTGTAGGAAAGCCTCGCTACCTCGTTTGAAGGAGTTAATTTATATGAAGACGCCTTAATACAATATAACGAACTCGAAGCTTCATTCCTTCAAGTTCTCAGAGAGAAAAATCTGTCCTGGTTTGGCAGCCTCATTCATCCTGCCCCAAAGGATGATTCATCACCTCTCCTTTCTGTCATCAAAAAACCTTATCGGGACCTTATCCTTGCCAACACCATCTCAATCTTTGACTTCCGTATATATCTTCTCGCACGCCAGTGTGCTCTGCTCAGTCAACTGCGGCAGCCAATTGAAATATGCAAGAAGACTATCAGTTTCCTGGAAACGGTTGGTAGGCGACTGCGGGAAGTAAAAGTGAGTTTCTAGGCATCTATCTTGATTAGATATCTCTGCAACTGGCTGTGTTCAATTCTAGGCCATATTGCCCGAGTATTTCATCGAAACATGGGTATTTTCGTCTGCTCTCAGTGTCGTAGATCAATGCGACGTGTGGGCGGCGGGCTGGAAAATGGAAGGTTCCTTTTTGGCCCACTTCAATGCCAATAAAGGGGAGCTTGTAGACGTTGCAAAACGTCAAGTCAGTGTCAATTGGTTGCATCCGGAGATTTTGGCTAACTTCTCTTAGCTCGACGTACTAGGTGTGGAAATTGGTCATTTGCCATCAAAGCTCCCATTTTCTTTGTCTCTGCCCAGTGTCCCGACACCTCCAACTTCATCTGCTGAAAAACGTAAATCCTCTCAACGAATAAGCCAAAGCGACATCATCTCGGCTATCGGCGACCGTGAACTGTTCTATGATCTGTACATTACTACCTGTAACCGTGCAATAGACTTGTACGCGAAAGCCGGGCGTCGAAAATTCGCTCTCAAGTTACATGGTGCTCTTGCAGCACTTGACGTGTACGTACCCAGTTCTATAAATTGTGACGATAGTATATATATCTGATCTGACTAGTCATCGTGAGCGTCTTTCGAATGCTCTAACCATCTTCGCGTCATTGCCAGCGCACTACGCCCCTCATATGTGGTCTTCTCTCGAGTCTTTCATGTTATTCCGTGCGATCGAGGTTCATGCAGGGCTGGGTAAGCCACATGATCGAGAATGGATCCACATCATACTGTCTTTTCTCAAGACACATGTAAATGACACGAGTAAGGAGCTATTGATGCCTGAGGATGACATGAGAACATATGTATCCCAGGTCGTTGGCGCTCTGAAGGCTGCTGCTTCTGAGCTTGATACAGGTAGAAGTTCCTTGAGCATATATTCAACCTGTGTTTTGACATTTAGCCGTCGATTTAGACCTGGCTCATCCCGATCATCCCGCCATATCAATGCGAGTCATGAACGGCGCCAAGAAACTGGAGACAGAGGATAGTTGTTCATTAGATATCGTCATCCATAATCATCTACCATGCGTCAGTGGCCTCGTATACCATGAAATCTGTTTGCTTACCGATTCATTAAGGACATACCTATCGATCAAGTAAGCGTAGTCTTGACTGGCCGTGATGGGGATCGTTTGTGTTTTAAAACCAATATGGATCAACTATCTCCAGGAAAGTCAAAGCTGACTTTATTCTGCCCAGTAAGTAAACTATCTACGGTTCTAAAGTAGTTATAAACGCGCGCATATATGTAGACTTCGTCTTGGGGTACGTATGTCCTTGAAAGTAGCGAAGTACAGATGTCGCGCTTGCAGTTCCAATGGAATCGCAAAGTTACTGCAGACAAGGCACCATCTTCGCGATATCGCAACATTACATTGGTGCGAATACCTCAAGATTCATCTTCCTTGGATATTCGCATTCAACAACCACGTCAAAGTGAGTCTACTTTCATAATTGAGATGACAAGAGTAATTTATTCATCGTTCTTAATGTAGTTGAGCTCGGATCAACTTCGAAAATCCTCCTGAAAATATTTACTGGTCGTAATGAGGTATCCAAGGCTTCAATCAAACTTTCACCTCCTCCTGGGATTCAGTTTAAATTTTCGGAGGCTCTATTGGAGAGTGATGGTAGATGGAAAACATTACTTTCATAGAACAGATCTAAATGTCTCTCGCTTTACTCAGGCATAGGAAAATTAGAAATTACGAATGACTCGCTCACGCTTTTAGACGCTCCTAAAGATTCAACTATCGCTATATCAGTCCCTCACTCTGATGCTTCAGCTTTTCATGCCATGGTCAGTCTGATATTTATGACTTTGCGATTTCAATAATTGATATGTTGAAACCAGAAAGTTGCAGTCGAAATTAACTATATTACGACTCACGGTGTACCACTTATGCGGACTCTCAGAGCAGCGAGAGTCGTCGCTGTCTCTTTGCCTATCTCGGTTAACGTAGAGGATTTTTTCCGTGGAAAAAGGTATGTGTGGCAACGATACAGATCGCATTAAGAGACCCTCTAAATTATTATTTGACAAGACTATTCTCAAAATTCACGGTCAGTACAACCACCCATCAGCACGTCCGGATACGCTCCGCACAGCTAGTGAATCCAGAAGGAGAACTTGAAAGCGTAAAGATCGCAGGATGTCGTCCTGGTCCACAACTCGTCGTAAGTAGTCAGGCCAATAACTGTGATGGTATATTAATCGAACTTAAGACGGTCACTCCCGCCATTCCCGCCAACTTCCTCTTTTCTATGGAATCTTCCAATGGCCCAGGTATGCTCGGCATGATTTTGTGCATGGAGATACTGATGAGTTGACGTAAATAGTGCGGGAGGCACTAAATCTCGTCATCAGATATAGACTACTACGAGAAGGTCTGCGGGAAACCACTATCATATAATTGTTTCGGTCACTCACTAGCATTCAAGAGGTCGAGTCTCTAATTCACAACTCTATCGAGGCAGTTATCCCAGATTACTCAAAGCTGCAGGCAAACCGACATCTACTTATCAAAAAGCTGGTGGCGATGTTGGAGGGCAATTCTAGCTGGGTTGAATTGTACAGTCTGACGGGCGAACTTAAGTTGCCTCCTCGAGCTGACCCAGATATTGAATTCGAAGAAGCAATCATTTCCGTAGACAAGGTATAATTTGACAAATATATTGCTATAGCATCCTTGATGACAAGCTCTTTACAGGTATTGTCGCAGATTCGACCGTCGGATTTACCGGATTCTTCATGGAGTGAAATCATAATTCCCGTTGATATGCCAGTAATGAATGTAGGGAGATTCGTTTGGAAAGGTTTCCAAGAAGAAGCACTCACATGTATTTCTCTGTCAGATTGTTGTCGCTGTCCAATTGCGTGTTCTGTCGACGCCCTTCTGTACGAAGGCGCAGAACGATAGTTTTCTTCCAGTATATGCGGGGCAGCCGATATCGGCGACGCTGACAATAAAAGCATCATTCCACTGGGGTGATGCCGATACAAAGCCACAAAGCTACACAATGCGATTTGACGTCGAAGAAACGTTGAGGGATTGGCTAATATGCGGAAGGAAACGTGGTGACCTATCAGTTCAAGTACGTTCGAAGTTGTCGCGTCTTCTCTTTTTCTGAGTTTACATCAGGATGGAGAGACCTATAGCATACCGGTAACGTTAATCGCACTGCGCCATGGCGAGCTGGCTTTACCTAAAGTTGCTGTTCGGCCTCTTCCCCTGGTTGGAGACAGTGGTTTGTCAACCTCCCTCCCCAGCACAGACACGTACCAACTACATGGTGCTGAGACGATTCTCGTACTTCCAAGAGGAGGAAGAAGCACATTCGTAGTAGATATGGGTGGGGAGAATTGATGAAAGTTTCACATTACACAACACATGGTGTGAATGATATGTTTGCGTGATGCTAAGACTATTTTGCATAGTATGCTTCGACACCGAGTGCGTTCTTATCGCAACGTGAGTAGTTCACCAACGAGTGAGATTAAAGCCTTCAGAATATGACCTTTCCATACAACTTTTAATTTACATTCAAGCAGTATCTTCCGTGCATGTCATCACCTTAACCACACCGATCAATTAATGAGAACCTATCAGTTATGCAGTAGCCATGGGAAGGCCACGGTAAGGGCGGGGTACTCTTGTACTCAGCATCCAGCAATCGAAATATCGAAATAGAGACGTGGCAGTCTCATACTCCCATCTGATTTGCCAGTTTTTCGATCCGTTCTGCAGTCAACCAAATCCGCCGCCTGTTCCTCATCGACCCACTTTGCGTGCATCTCTTCAAATATGCCCATCCCATTTTAGCTTCATTTGCTGCTGAGGATACGTCCCGTGGGATTTCATACCAGGGTGCCATATTTTTGATCCACATGCAAACCATAGCATCACGATCTGAAGCAAAACCCAAGAGTTGGAAACGAAGGCTGCGAGACGAGGCAGGAAAAGCGATAAAGGTGTTCAAGGGAAGAAGGAGTGCTATATCTGTCAGCACTTCAATAGGAAGTTTTTCAATCGAAGAAAGACCTGCTCGTGACGTCGGAGGCTCGAGTAGTATAGGAATGGCATCAGGATCCGAAGAATGCATGCCTATAGGGAATCTAAAATCACCAAGATAGCTCTTCAGCAAGGCTCGAAGAATACACAAGACCAAGCGTGCCTGTCTGGAGCCATCCAAATCCAAAAGTTTCCATCGTTTATGATAGCCTGCTTCACGAGTTTCACGTCTTCAAGTCTCTCGAGGTCGATCAGAGCATCACGCGATATACCGGGTATGGGATCGGGAAATTGTTCTCGCTTCAATGTTATTTCTCCGTAGTCAATCTCGGGCAGTCCATAATCACGTTGTGAGACAGATTTTCCTTGGTGCATAGCCAAACGCCAAAGACGTTCAGGAGTCACCCGTCCGTCTGTTGCGAGAGCTAGGATGGGCAAAGACGCTGTTTGCACCATGATGATTGCACCAAAGGAGACCAGATAATGAATATTCGATGGGTTAGGAAGAGGTGCAGCTACGCAACTAAAGTCCCAAAATTCGCCCATGGAGCAGTGTGGAATCACACGTATGGAAGAGTCTGGGATACGGAGAACGTCTTCCTGCCGCTCCACAGGGTCCTCGATTCGAAAGAAAGGCCTACCATCCTCGTTTATAGCGCCTTTTATACATAAGAAAATCAGGCTTTTAGACGATATGTAGTGTATATCGGAAGATTAGCCATACGCACCGATGACAGTCACGTCTTCCTGTCCTCTTCTTTCATCCCCATCAACCAGTGTGCGAAGGGCTTCCAGTAAGACGGCGCCAGGTTCTCCCTCTATACCGTCGACCTCAAAAATATCGGATATGCCGCTACTTGCGATTTCAGGAGTACATCCAGAAAGCTATTATGGATCCTCAGTGAACCAAGTTTGACATGTTCCTCTCAGAAAATATAGACTAACCAGGCAGAAAACCATGACTTTTCCCATTGCATTTCACTTGGTCGAGAAATGACACAGCGTTGATCTTACAGTTTAGTAAAGCTCCTGGTACACGACCTTGCCGCATGTGTTGTCATTCTGGCTTGCATTGTAGAGACAGGCGCCTGAGGCTAATAAGTCACATTTTAATGAGCACAGGATAGATCTGGCCGTGCCTCAATTTTCGCATTTATCTGGTGAAGGGAATTGTTGGGTCTGGCGTTTTAGCTATAAATAAGTTCTACATGCTATTATATCTCCCTCAGGCTTGCAGTGGTCTATACTATTGCATATTTGCTGCAGAAGCTGACTTCACTTGTGGTCCCGATTTCATCTGGTATGCAGGCAAAGTACCATCGGCGTGACCAAACCCAATGCCTAGCAGCAACAGAGCATTCCCTAACAGTAGCAAGCCAGACGACCTTGGAGTTGAAGGAAAAATATTCCACGCATACTCGATAGCCAATAGAATCGCGAGCCTGGTTGGTCTGGCGTTAGAAAAAATCATTTCCTTTGATAAAATAGAGCGAACTGCATACTTTAAGATGACAGGATAACGTGTCCTGAAAGTTAGATAAGGTAGCTGTTGCGCATACCACGCATAAAACTGATAGTGAAGAGAACGCGCGAAGAGAATGCCGATGAGGTTTGAGGTAAACAGTGTAGTTGCAACGACTGGCAGATAAAGGTGAGTTAGGTGGAGAATCAAGAGGCAGAAGAGAAACGAACAGTTCTGTGATATTGGAGCAAGACCAGCTGGAGCGGAAGGGCGTCGAAAGCCTTTGCGAAGCACACTCCAAACCCCACCGTCACCCCTACACCATCTAGACAAACCAAAAGCAATGAGTGTGGAAACGTGGCCAACGAGTAATCCTTTCGCCCATTTTGGGCTAAGAAACGTCTCTTCATCGACTATCCGCCAATTGACTGTCCATTTATACAAAAACACCCTTGAGAGATCGAAAGCACAATGAAGGTACGACCAAGGATTTTCGCGTAAGAAAGGGAAGGCCATGAGAACTTGGGTAGACGCTATAATGAATAGATGGTATAGGGTTGCAGTGAGGCCACAACGCTTGAAGAGGACCACCAAAAGCCCAGGGAGAAATAGTAGCACCGACATTTTTACTGATAACGCACAGCTGATAATGTTTTCCATTAGCGCTTTAGCTTTTATGGCTCTTTGCTTAAATTACCTGAAGAGCAAAATACCGATGGAATACCGACCACTCAAAAGAGCTAAGACTGCTGCCTGAGTAGCCACTACTGCCCAGCAATCATTAAAAAGTCGCAGAACAAAGATTGAATGCAGTCTTTTGCTGAGAGGCAATAGTAGCAGGGTCCAATTAGGAGTTTTGGTCTTGCTGTAGATGCCACATGTCAAAATGAGGGAAAGGATATATAGAGCACCATAGATCTGCTGAGCAAGTGGAAGGTTTTTCCCTCCGGAAGTGAGAATGTGAAGTAGATGGTGGATGTGAACGTGTCCGGCTGGGTAACTGCGTTTATAAGTCTTACTGGGGAACGTCAAAACACAAATAAAATAACTCACACAAGGGGTCCTGTAGGCCCAGTGATCTGCGAGTAGTCACGTTCTCCCTTCAGATACAGGTCGATATGGATCATGTAAGTTTCCCAGTCTATCTCCGTGTCTGTTCAATAAATCGGTTATGCGACGAAAAGGCGATACGAGGTATAGTGGATTCTGACATGGCACATAGCGAATTATGAGTTGTGTAAGCACAACATCGCCGAATATAACCAGGGTAGCCGTGTACCAGAAGTATTTCGGATTAAACAAAATGGTGTGTACTAGATTAAGTAGCAAATTCAGAGGAGAACGAGAGGACGCCGAGTTTTTTGTGGACATGAATGTGAGCTAACACAGGCAGCATTACGACCGCGAACATACTTGACAGGACCGATTTGGATGTCGCTAAATATAGCTAACACTGCAGCACACAACTGGCATGTAGTATTTAATATCCTAGTTCAATGCATTACATGTTTCTCCATTACATTTATTGAACATTGAGCAAATCCACCGGTGTTTGACACATTCTCTTTTATATTTCCCAGCTATCAGCCTGTAGGACTTGAGTGGGCGCATAGGGATGCAAAAATCTGTGCAATGACAGAAACTGCAATCATGTGTGTGCAATCACTTAGCCAAGGCAGCGCGTAGCACTGAAATCTGTCTCTCAAGCGTTTTGCGACTTGGTCCACCAATGGCGGTCCTTCTTTCTACGCTGGCTTCAAAGTCAAACACTTGGAGTACATCTTCAGAGAACTTCTCGTGCAAGCCTTGGTAGTCCTCTAAAGTGAGGTTATCGAGCTGACACTTGCGAGACTCGGCCAATGCTACGGCACGACCAGAGATGTGATGTGTTTCACGGAATGGTATCTGAAATAACTTGTTAGCTTAAACCAAACTTCAAACGATAAATGAAATACAAACCCCTTTTCGAACTAGATAGTCGGCCAAATCCGTGGCAAGGACATCCATAGTCAAGGCTGCTCGCATTTTATCTCCGTGAACCTTGATTTAACTTGACTTAACGACAAAATTGTGAGATACCAAATATCAGCTCGTACCTCCATCGTAGCGATAACACCCTCGGCTATCTTCAGTGACGCTGAAGTATGGTCGACCGCATCAAACAGCGGCTCTTTGTCCTCTTGCAGATCCTTGTTGTATGTCGACGGTAGCCCTTTCAATGTCATCATGAATCCAGCCATCTGCGGATATCGTCAGCTAAGACTAATTATGCATATCTTGTAAGAATACTCTACATTTCCAAAAATACGACCAGATTTTCCCCGAAGAAGTTCAAGCGAGTCGGGGTTTTTCTTCTGCGGCATTATACTGGAGCCAGTGCTGTAAAAGAAACCATCAAGAAAATATATCGAGCACGTTGTGTATGACATTACCTGTAGGCATCACTCAAGGTCACAAACCCAAATTCAGCAGTTGAGTAGATGATCAAGTCTTCCGCCAAACGGCTCATATGAGTCATGGTCAAACTTGACCACATCAAGAACTCGACAATGAAGTCGCGGTCCCCTACGCCCCACATACTGTTTTCAGCAACAGATGCGAAGCCTAGCTCCCTTGCGAGGAATTCTCTGTCGACACCAAAGGGGTTGCCTGCCAATGCACCGCTTCCTAGCGGTAGTACAGATACGCGAGGAATCAGTTGCTGAAGCCGCTCGAGGTCATTACGGAAGGAAAAGGCATGCGACAAGAGAAGATGGGACCAACGAATTGGTTGACCTCGCTATAACATGAGATGTATGAGCCTTTCAGTGTAACAGCAGTGCAATATTTTAACGCACCTGCAGATGAGTGTATCCGGGCATGAGGATGTCTCTCTCATTATCAGCGCGTTCTACCATCACACGAATCAAGCCCTTGAGGCCAGACTCAATGTCAGCGACCTCGTCAAGGAGCCACAGGCGCATGTCAGTCGCGACTTGATCATTTCGAGAGCGTCCGGTATGCAACTTTCCTCCGAGAGGACCTATGAGCTCACTAAGACGTCTCTCGTTCGCTGTGTGGATGTCCTCATCGTCAGCTTCTGGTTTAAACTAGAAAAGGCGTGTACGGTGAGATGCCAGGATGATCATATCATAACATGTACTGATGCTTACGGTGCCAGCCTTCCATTCTTCGCCAACAGTTAGCAAGCCTTCAGTGATCTTTACCTCTTCCTCCTTGGTCAGGATACCGACCAGAGTAAGTGCTTTTGCGTAGGCGATGGATCCACGGATATCGGCATCATGCATGCGCTGGTCATACTTGAGCGATTGATTAAATGCATGCATGCTAACTGATTATTAGCTTTGAAAACAGTATGAAAAGAGATCGACATACAGGGGGTCTGTCTTCCCTGTAAACCTTCCACCCCATAGCTTTTGTTTTGTTGGTTGGTCTGTCATGGGAGATGTGGGTAGAAAATGTGGTTGGGGCTGGCTGGTACGACTTTTAAGACTGAGTCAGTCGGATCAGTGATTAGATGGACTTAAGACTGCCATCGCTTGATACTGTCGTTTCCCCGGATAGCCTACACATGGCATGCCGTTCAAACGCTCACGTTCCCACACTGTAAATGGTATACAGACTAAAGCCAGATATTGTTCACAGCCCGCTGGAATTAATTCATATGGTTCAGACAAACCAAATTATATACTTTGGCTTATACACACCATATGAATGCTACCTGATATGGGCTGTATAAACTATATCCAAAAGTAATAATATAGTTGCACAAAACTGTACTTAGATAAATAGTTTACTAGAACTATACTGTAATGTAACAATTTGGTTTTCCAAGACTATACCATGGAAACAGGGTATTAAAACCATACCATAGTGATATGTATATATACAACTATACTTTGATAAATAGTGTGGTAAAATCATACTGTAATACACTACTATAGTTGCATAAGACTGTATCTGGGTAAACAGTGTATCAAAACTATACTACAGTAAAGTAATATGGGTGTATGGGACTGTACTTCAGTAAACAGTATATTGAAACCATACTATAACATACTACTATGGTCATATAAGACCATACCTTAGTAAACAGTGTATCAGAACTAAACCATAGTACAGTAATATGGTCGTATAAGACCATATTTTAGTATATAGTATATTAAACCCATACTGTAAGATAACTACTATGATCATATAAAACTATACCTTAGGAAACAGTATGTCAGAACTGTACTGTAGCATAGTAATATGGTTATATGGGACCATACTTTAGTAGACAGTGTATCAGAACCACCTCATATTTAGATTATATGGTTTCACAAGACCATACTTCAATAAATAGAATATAGAAACTATATTGTATTTGAGTAATATGGTTGCATAAAACTATACTATGATAAACAGTTTATAAACACTATACATGTTTTTTTTAGTATGGTTTTGATATACCATTGCAAATGTTATGGTTATATAATACTATATCAATATGGTTGCAGAAAACTAAACTTAAATAATAATATATAAAAATACAAACCCAGGATTTGAACTTGAGGCCTCATAGTATTGTAAGAGTAAGACAACCAGATTTAACCACTGCACTATTACCACTATATATATTGTCCAAATATTACATGCTATAAGCCTATAAAGTTGTCTAGTTTTAATGGACTTAGAATAATTTTGTGAAAAAGTGTAGCAATATAGTTTCCCCACACCATATCCAAACAATATTATAGCACCATACTACTAATATGGTTTCTCAAAACCATAATAATAAAATAGTGCATAAAAACCATTTCACACAATATAGTCACCTAAAACCATATTATTGTATAGTTGTCAGATACTATTTCAGATATAGTTTCTACAAACCATATTGGTAAAAAATAATATAGTGGTATAAAACCATATCATAACCAACATGTAGGTATAGTTTCTCTAAACCATAATAATCCACTTGTATAGTTTGTACACACTATACAGGTACTTTTGTACATTTATTTAAATACCTTGAATATAATTTTTATCCACCTTGTGGCTCAGTGGTTTAGTTTTCTACTCAAAATATTGACTGACAACAAGGCCTTTGGTTCAATTTTTGATGGTGACAATTTTTTTGAAATACAATGAGATAGTCTCTAGGAACCATATCACTGAATTAATTACAGCCAGCTGTGAATGCAATGTGGCTAAATGCTGTATACATCCTAAAGTGGTAAACTCCCCTCCAAGTTTTTCCAGCTCGAAAAACAACATAGTTGTCGAGTCCCGCTTTTTTCCTCACTCGTCACGCAGAAATCACGTGTTTCTGCCAGTTCCGCAGGTATCATGGGTTGTGACCATGTGATGTCCGTATAGCAGTAGGCACATCCGGGAAAAGGGGGCAGGCAACGCAGGCCCGGCTGTTCAAACGCTCACTGTCTACCACTTTAGGACGTATACAGCATTTAGCCACATTGCATTCACAGCTGGCTGTAATTAATTCAGTGATATGGTTCCTAGAGACTATCTCATTGTATTTCAAAAAAATTGTCACCATCAAAAATTGAACCAAAGGCCTTGTTGTCAGTCAATATTTTGAGTAGAAAACTAAACCACTGAGCCACAAGGTGGATAAAAATTATATTCAAGGTATTTGGGGTGAATGTACAAAAGTACCTGTATAGTGTGTACAAACTATACAAGTGGATTATTATGGTTTAGAGAAACTATACCTACATGTTGGTTATGATATGGTTTTATACCACTATATTATTTTTTACCAATATGATTTGTAGAAACTATATCTGAAATAGTATCTGACAACTATACAATAATATGGTTTTAGGTGACTATTATAACGACTGAGCTGCACTACTGGAAGAAACCAGGCAGACCCAACGTCAATCTCAAGCAGGTAGTTGAACAGGTTGTATAAAGACTAAATCAAAAGCTAAGGTATGTACATTGTCGAGTGTCTACTTATATATGTAAGAACTCATGTCAGCCATGAGGCGCTGACTGATAGACATGAGGATGTAGCGTGTAGCTTGGTAAGATGATTTGTAAGTAATCACATGACTTGATGTCACGTGTAAGGAGATAAAGGAAAAGCTATGTGATAAGATAAGGAGAGATAAGAGTCTCGATGTCTGAGTTTGAGAGGAAAGGTGAAGTGTCAGGTGTGAGAGAAAGAGATCGTGACATTACCCCCCCTTTAGGATTTTCGTCCCGAAAGGTTGGGTCAAATTTGCCATTTTCCCAATTGAATATTTTACGATTGTGAGATGGTGTAGTAAAGTTTTCGAACATTTTGTAACGAAGTAAGATATTTATTCGGCGTGGGGCAGATGGGAAATGATTGTGGAAGTCTTTGACTAATTCTGGCGAGTTTTTGACATTTCACTCAGGCTCCCATGTTTGTTCTTCTTTTCCGTATCCTTTCCAGTGTACCAAATATTCTAACTTGTCACGTTTCAATCGTGAGTCAAGTATTTGTTCTACTTCGTATTCTCTTTGTCCGTCAACTTCTGCAGGAGGTGGAGGTTTAGGTTTTTGTTGTCCCAAAAAAGTCGGTTCTTTATAAGGATGTAGGATTTTTTCGTTGAATACCGGTGTCATGCACCAAAGTTGATTGGTAGCATGGACAGGTGTCAATAACGAAGCAAATATTCAAAAAGACTCGCCTTTGCGCCACACAGGCACAGTGCCACGTGGAATAGTAATTAATATTGCCCTTTTTGAACTTGTGGCTGATCAGCACCACCTCTATTAGGCAATCCAGTCACGCTCACCTTTGCTTTTCCATCCGGTACTTTCCGTGTTTTGGCATTTCGGCAAATTTTCGCGTCGCCACTGGCTACACATTGCATTGCGCCCTCGCTTTTGTCGTTTCCCTTACTCCCCTTCCTTTGCCTAGCCCCACCATGGGCCCCTTCCTCTCCTTTTTATTCTCACCTGACGGTCGTTTCTGGATCCCCATTCTAATCCACTTTTCCGTCACCTCCACCCTCCTCCTCCTCATCTTATTTGCACCCCCACCATTTCTGATGTCACCACTTCCTATCCGCTTCCGTCGCTGATCCGTTGACTACCACGTGCCACTGCTGATATCAGCAAAGCCCCGGCGGCCGGTTCAAATAGGGCAACAGGTCCATCTTTATGACGTCAATCTACCATCATATACTATCAAAACATTGGTCGCTCGTCTTGCCTGGTTGGAGCGTGGGTGGGTAGTTTTTGAGCTGGAGAAGGTTCATCCCCTTGCATCGCCCATGTTCATCGCTGTCCCATTCACTTGGGTACACTTATCTTTTGTCCATCGTCTTTGCTACAGCTACACCTATCACACGCTGCCTGGGACTCACTTGTTCGTTCAAATCCTGTGTTTGTATTTTTATATATTTTTATTTAAGTTTAGTTTTCTGCAACCATATTGATATAGTATTATATAACCATAACATTTGCAATGGTATATCAAAACCATACTAAAAAAAACATGTATAGTGTTTATAAACTGTTTATCATAGTATAGTTTTATGCAACCATATTACTCAAATACAATATAGTTTCTATATTCTATTTATTGAAGTATGGTCTTGTGAAACCATATAATCTAAATATGAGGTGGTTCTGATACACTGTCTACTAAAGTATGGTCCCATATAACCATATTACTATGCTACAGTACAGTTCTGACATACTGTTTCCTAAGGTATAGTTTTATATGATCATAGTAGTTATCTTACAGTATGGGTTTAATATACTATATACTAAAATATGGTCTTATACGACCATATTACTGTACTATGGTTTAGTTCTGATACACTGTTTACTAAGGTATGGTCTTATATGACCATAGTAGTATGTTATAGTATGGTTTCAATATACTGTTTACTGAAGTACAGTCCCATACACCCATATTACTTTACTGTAGTATAGTTTTGATACACTGTTTACCCAGATACAGTCTTATGCAACTATAGTAGTGTATTACAGTATGATTTTACCACACTATTTATCAAAGTATAGTTGTATATATACATATCACTATGGTATGGTTTTAATACCCTGTTTCCATGGTATAGTCTTGGAAAACCAAATTGTTACATTACAGTATAGTTCTAGTAAACTATTTATCTAAGTACAGTTTTGTGCAACTATATTATTACTTTTGGATATAGTTTATACAGCCCATATCAGGTAGCATTCATATGGTGTGTATAAGCCAAAGTATATAATTTGGTTTGTCTGAACCATATGAATTAATTCCAGCGGGCTGTGAACAATATCTGGCTTTAGTCTGTATCACCGCAGAAAAAGTCAGATTTTCCACGATCAACATGTGGCGAAAATCTAGACATTTTCGCCACATGTTGATCAGATGTTAATCAGATGTTGAAGGATCAAAATGTGATCAAAATAAGCATATGTTACACCACATATCTATGAAATATTAAGCACATTTTGACAGTCTATTTGTGCATGAATATCTCCGAATTCCATTATAATTACTGAATAATATTGTACATATTATGTAATTACCATACTTATTCCTATATACTGCTTTTTCGTTGGCAAAAATGTTCTTATAATTGTCCCTAGCTTGGGATCGTCATCCTTGTCGATGGCAGGCAATAAAATATGATTCGTTCTCCTTTATATATACAAGTCTGCAAAGAAAAAACCCCCCAACCTGCAAAAACCCCATGTCCTCCACACCAAACCAAAATATCCAACGGCTGAATGCTTTAGTTGAGCTTGTTGAAGAACTAAAGGCCGACCACGAAGGATTTAAAGGGCTTGCAGCGAAACGATTCCAGGTTTTGAGTGCCGAGGTTCAGCTCCTACAGACCAACAACAAACATCTGAAGCATGAGAATCAAGACCTTAAGAAACAAATCAATGTACTTACTGATATATTAGGTGTCCAGTATGTTGACAATGAAAATGCTGGCGAGGATAGTGATGACAGGACAGTGTTGGAGGGCTCCAGTGATCTGCGAGAGGGAGCGTTCCAGATTCCTAACGACGGTGCAATGTCTGCTGACCAAGCGCAGAAGAGCCTTGGTGCCGTTTCATCAAAGCCTGTCAGAGTGAGTGTCGAGATAGAAAAAAACTCACCCACTAATAACCCAACAAGGATGCAATCCTCGAGGCCTTTTCCCATTACATGGGGATAAGCAATGTCCAGCCAAAAAATCTACCCGCCTTCCCATTCGGCATATCCAAAGATCACCAAAAATGGCCTAAGGATCCTTCAACTCAGAAACCGTATCACCGTTACAATTGGACACTTACCGCAGATGACCCAACCAATGCAGAGTCTCTTCAAGAGATCCAAGCCTGGGTCATGGATAATGCGCCCACTGAGATTCCAGAGGCCGCCCCAATGATCCAGACTGTTCTCCCTAAAGACCTGAGGCAAAAAATTCGCAAAAAATATCAGTACCTGTCAAGGAAATATTGCAAAAGGCATGACAAAGGAGCCGACGTAGTGGAAGAGGGTCTTGAAGATGAAGGAGATGTCCGCAAGGCCTTAAGCAAGGCTGTGAGAGACTCAAGAGCTGAATCAGTAAGTCTTCACCGTCACCTAGAAACGATTACTCACCTAAATCAGAAACTTGAACAACACATCCGGAAACGCCCATTATCGTGGTATGAAGACTCCAAGTACGATGTGGCCTTTATCATCAATGCCATGTCAGATGATGAAGATGATCCTGACTGGAGACCGACATCAGCTGAAATCAAAAACTATATAAGTCATGCACCTGACTATCGCAGTCCATTAGTAAGTTCTTGCTTCAAGATACAACAAACTCAACTCACCAGTATAAAGCTCCACCAAATCCTCACCGAAATTGATAAAATCCCTGACCCAAATCCTACCAAAGCGAAAGCCATGACAACACACATTTGAGGTGATACAATCAGCAATTATAAATTGCCTACAGCAAAATTACTCAAAAACCGGCTACGTGCATGGCAAATTCGAGAGGACTTACTCGAGCGTCCTGACTACCAAATTGGTTCCCTCCAAATTGCACCAAACGGAAAGGCCTGGGGAGACAACAGTGACCCGGTGGATGATGACCAGACAGGTGGTAAAAATTGTAAGAGAGCACATCCTGGAAATGCAACTGAGAAGTTAGTCATCAAAATAAAACGACCTCATACTGTTGCTCAGCAAGAAGCTGGAAATGACCAAGGAGCTGTGACAAAAGCGCAGTTGAAGTTAACAAAAGCCCTTGAGGGAGGGAGTTGAGATGAGCTTTTTGACGAGGTTCTGTGAGGCAACAATAAACTATAACAAAAAACGAAACCTGTCTCCTTCTGCTCTTGCAGGGAGTAAGAGGTTTGATGAGCTTGAGGTCGACAGACGCTAGTAAATATAGCGAGTAGAGGATTTTGGGAGGTAAGCTCAAGGGTTTTTGGTTGAGGAGTAAAGCGGGTAAATTCAGTAATAGAAAATTAAGGAGCTATACATAAATAGGTAAGACTATATAGTGAACTGTTTGTTCCTCAGACCGAAAGGAGAATCAACGAAAAGTGGTCTGAGGAATCAATCGGCCAATAAGAAAAAGAGAGAACAACTATTGTACAACTTTTAACTTGATTAATCAGCAGGTGAGAGGTTTGTACTAATAATAGAGGTTTGTTACGCGTGTTTAGGAACCGTATCCTCATGATGAGGTACAATCCTGAACAAAGTGTTTATTAGTATATCCAGGCTGTACTGGGGCTTGGAGCTGGTTGGCGAGATGCCTACTACCAGTCCCTACTCAGTGTGCTGGCTGGCTGGGAATGATACCCAGTCTCTGATCTGTGATATAAAGTGGTAGCGATGGTTAAGAAAGCCTGTGAGGGCTATGAGAAGTAAAATGGCAAATGATACCTCTAGCCCTAGAGCCAGAGGTGTAATGGGAAAAGTGTTCGAGAACCAACACATAGAGAAGATAAGAAAATGATAAAATGGTCCTTACAGGTTCAAGCTGAGAACGAAGATGAGTAGAATAGTAGATTAAAAAAATATAGAAATACTGTACCTTAAATTGCTATTGATCCGCTTGTAGTTCTTGCTCAGCCTCGTCAATCCAATCATTGTCAGGAGGCTCCAGACCACTCTAATAAAATCAAGCAGAAGCTTAGTAAAATAAAGAAAGAGCAAGAAAGTATTCACCCGATCAAATGAATGAATGACCCATAGAGATAATCCATTGAGATGATTCAGTGTAACGGGAATTACTGCAACCGTACATGCAATCTGCGTGGTTTTGACTACCTCAAGCTCGCCCAACTTCTCCACATTTGTAACATACATGCCCAGATCTGTAGAACTATAGACACAAAATGAGAAAACAAAGGAATTAGAAAAAAACTTACTAAAGACTCCACGGCAAGAGAGGCACTGATTTGTCTGCTGATATTTGCTGAATAATTGACCAATAAACAATTTGCAGACCTGGCAATGCAACCTTGAAATGATATATTAGTTGGCAGGGCACACGAGAGCCATCAATATCGACGCAAGCAAAACGGTCAGCTTGAGTCCGAGTAGCACACAGACAGCCAAAACGGATACCATCCTTGATGATAAATGGTAAGAAATCCACAAATTTGGTTGCCGAGAATGGGATTGCGTTATCGCACACTGTGAAGTTGTCCACAATGGACAGTTCAGGGAAGGTAATCTGTGCAAAGTTGAACAGGAGCCTGTAAACCTCAACGTGAGGAAGCTTTCGAATGTTGTTCATTTTCTTCACAGGCTTTGCAGGTAGAATCTGACTTGTTGAAGCAAATCCTGCAATTTGACTGCGCAGAGTCCCCCTTGTGAGTCCTTTCTCCTTTGAAACTCAATTAAGAACTTGACGTTCTTTATCTGTAATATTATCAGGGAGACAAACAGACTAAATCAAATAAAATGTCAGTAAACGAATAATAGAAAAATGATGTACCATTTCGTAGAGACGATTCTTCTCAATCCAATCACGTAAAAGTGTATACTCCATCTCACCACCCCCATGCCCATTTAAGTTCATTTGCTCCAGCTCACCATTATATCGTTCAAATGCAAAGAGCCACCAACTATACGCTGGACCAAAGCGCTTAAAAATTGGAGCATAGTGCATGCTAAGATGATGATTGATGGTGAGATGAACTCCTAGGCCTTGAAGAGTGTTGCAGTGCTTCTGGAGATAATGTTGACCACGCTCAATGTCAGTGGATGAAATAGATTGATATGCAAATATACATCCAGCAAGAGAGAGATAGAGTGCCGCATTGTAAATGATTTGTAGGCCACACTTGAACTTTGGTGGGGATTTTGTTTGTGAGGGTACAGGTGGGGGTGTTTGTTTGATCTTGTCTTCATCATCCTTCCAGCAAAGCCATAGTATAGTGGGGAAAATATTGCAGAGTCGTCGCCACTGATACATTTTCTGCAGAGAATGATTCCCACCAAGCTATTTAAGATTAGTATATGAATATAGAATAATAAAAGACGTACATTATTTGGTAGTCTACCAATACCTGAGGGCCATATAACAGAATTGATTGCATCTTCAAATTGTCTCCAGCCAGCCGAATTGAGGAGATATCCTTTCACAATCACATCAAAGATTGAGTGTACAATACCTAAGCCGTGATTAGTTTGAATATTAAAGAGAAATATAAAAAGAAATGTACCGTAAAAATTGTGCATAAAATCTATAGGCGTGTTTTTGACTGGTAACCACCCAGGTAGACTGTTGAAGAGTGAATAACGTGAGCCGTAGTCATCTAACACTTTTGTTCGGGCTCGTTCTGTACTAGCTAGTAAGGATTGATGAGCATGCTTCAATTGTGCCCAATTATCTCGTATTTTGAAGTCTAAAAGAAGATATTTAGTAACGGTACAAAATGGTGTAGAGACTTACTCTTAATATCATATCCTTTGGGTGTATTGATGTCTTCAAGGGTGGTATCACAAACATTACATGGATGTTTTTTGTGGCTATGTCCTGCGGCACCAGTGAGTTTGCGTGATGCTGGCACATCTGAGGCATTAATGGCTGCAATACTATTAACTTGAGGTGGAATCTGATGACCGTGCATCCGCATTTTGATGCCATTGTAGAGAGTGTGGAGGTCGGTAACGAGTGGATCAAGTATGTGGTTGAGTTGTTCGAGGCTTGGTTCTTTTGGTCCAGGGATTGTCATGGCGAGGTGGATATTGTGCCAGAGGTAACGGACAGATCTGTGGAGGTTATTGAATGAAATGTAGATTGCCCCACTTGAATGGGGCCTATTGTCTGTGATGCCGAACCTGTGAAAACCCAGAGTTAGTTTTGAGACATTCACACAGAATAAACTATGCACCAATCAAGATTTATAGTCATACTTAGCCCGACTTCACATTCCACTAACTTCTGCCTTGATCCAGGTCTTGTTTTGATATCTTCATATGTTCCATTATGTTGCACTTTGCGTTCAATGCTGGAATGAGCTGTGTTTTGTGTCAGCCGAGAGCTTGATGTAGTGTGGTTTGAGGCCAAGGAAGTAACAAGTTCGTCGATTTGAGGCTTTGTGAGGCAGACAAGTAGCTCGTCTTCAGAGTCTTCTTTGGTAGTGGAACCCATGCTGAGTGGGCTGATTTTTGTGAGGGCACGCCGTTTAATAGATAAGCTGCTGCTTAGTCAATGTTAGCAATGAAGAGTGAAAGAGAAAGCTAAGACTTACATGGTGGGAGTTGGTTCATTCTCCATTGCAATCCGACTCCTCTCATAGTCCACGTTAATCTGGTGAACCGATCGTTTTGCCGATCGAATGATTGATAAGGCATTGCCAATGGCTTGATTTACCCGGCGATTGCAATCTTGCTCAAGTTGAAGGTGTTGGCGGATGGAAGCAATGGTCTTTCGTGCAGAGGAGAATGTAGAGGAAGCATCTTGAAGTGCTCTGGCAACCATTAGTGAGAAAAAACGCGAACAAGTGATGTGTCTTCGCATGATTGTTATCAGGTAAGGTGGGATTCGAGGAACTTCTCGTACATGTGTATGTGTGCCTTGGTAACCGGGGAAACTGCAGCTACTTTCATGCCCGGTGAAGCTGTGATCGAGCATGCTGTCCTCTTCGGCATTATAGACGAAGTTGAAGTGAGGTGCAATCAGTTGAGTTGATATACTGTCTTCATGATTGAACTGAGAGTCTTCAGTTTGAGAGTCCATCTTATGGTGGTATTTGATTAAACGAGTAATTTGACTTATCTTGTAGTGTACAGGACTTAGTCATCTAGATAAGTATGTATTTTTTCAAGATTTACAGGTCTACAAGTTGAAATGGCAAAACACCTAAGTCCTCGATGGATATCTTGTTGATATGCACCAAAAATGAGTGTATTCTCAGAAAATATCAACCTTCGGATATCCGGTCAATATCTCGTGGATATCACCAGAACATCCGGAGATTGGCTGGAAATATCCATGGTTGAAAATCCGACTTTTTTTGCGGTGTATACCATTTACAGTGTGGGAACGTGAGCGTTTGAACGGCATGCCATGTGTAGGCTATCCGACCTTCAAGCTCCTTCAAGCCACGGTTAAGTTTCTTCTTACACACGCTTATCCTTTGACCGCACACCCCGGAAACCAAAAATCTGGTTGCCAGTACTTTGAGGTTTGCAGATTCCATAGAGACTGGCTGCTAATAAATGCATGCGACGCACATGCCCTCTCCCTGACACTCATCCTGAGTTCTCGATCATAGAATGGCCAGGATTCTGGGAATATCGAGTTGAGAACTGGCATCTGGCCCGTGATGGAAGCGGCAGGGTCATCAACGGAGCCAAAACCTGGACTTGGTTTGACTCAGTCTTGCCTTTGGCGTTGTCTTTTGTATGGCTGACGGTCAGTACTCCTTCAAACAAGTCATGTCATGTTTTGTAGCGTGCTCATATCATTCCGCAGGTGTGGGACAGTACCCTTGCTTTATCGGCAATCGCTCTCGTTACTGCCTTACTCGCATGGTCTAGGTGTAACCAAGTCCTTTATGGTGTGTCATGTCTTCCTAAGCTTAGCGTGACCGCTTCTGACATTTACTCCAGAATCTGTGATGCTCTTTCCTCCCCATGGTGTTCAGATAGAATCACATCGCGGGTTCCCCTCTTTAGAGCCTTTCTTTGTGTCTCGAAACTTCATTCCACTGGATACGCTTGAAGACTTCGTCATCCATGAAGGACTACGCAGGTTCAATGTTCGGTTTTTCATCGCTGCCCTCAAGCGATCGGGATCATCTAATGAATTGTCAATACATGTTGCATTTGAGGTAGGTTTCGTTTGCTGAAGAACGAAGTAATCTCATATTTATTTTAGAATATTTTACCTTATTTTCCTGTCCTGCTTGAGGTATACCAGGGGGTACAGCGCGTCATGTTCCGTCGAGGTACAGATGCTGTAGATAGAAATTAGCACTACGATACCCTCGAGTAAGACTTGATAGACTTCAAATTGTGGATGACATCAAAACAGGCATGAATAGCATTAGCGTTACATCTGGGCTAGGATCTATATTACTACTACGATGTGTAAAAATTGCTCAGAGAATATCATCTTCATCGGTCTCGTTAGTTTTTCCGTTTTCAGAACATGAGACAGCAAGTTTCTTGCCGCTCTCCTCGCTTTCATAGGCGCTAAGCAAATCGTCGTATCCTTCGTCGTCACCTTCCTCGGCAGCACTATCCCTAGATCGTCTCACCTCTCTACTCCCGGTTGATACCTTTCGGACTCTTGGTGTAGCACCGTCTGTAGATACTTTGCGCAAACGTACCCCTTGTCCATCAGCTGATCGGCTTTCAGACCCATCTCCTGACGTTTTTCGAGCGGAGACTCGACGGAATGACCGGGGAGATGTGGGAGAAGCAGATGAAGGTTCACCAGAGCCAAAGTCAACTGCCCGTGGTGTTGGAGCTAAATCATGGTCCTCAGGCCATACTGGTACCAAGGACTGGGAGCTGGGGGATCTTTGTTCCGTCATGTTTGGCCGCGAATTCTCTCGTATTCGCAAATTGGCAGGCCGAGACGGGAATCTCTTTGAGCGTACGCGGGGACTCTTTGAGACCTGGGAAAATGAGGACGAGTCGGAAGTATCACCCTCTCTCGGCGCTGGAGGCGGCGTCTTCTTGCGGGCCCTTCGAGCCTGTACAGGCGATAGTGGAACGGTGTCACGCTTGAAGGAGGCCAGATCTTGATGATGCTCGCCATTGGTAATAACGACATCATTCTCGTGAGTGACTATAGTGACAGGCGTTGGAGGTACTGGCGGGGAAGATACCGTCGCAGGTGAGTCATAGCTATCGACGTTCCGCCATCCCTGCGTTGCATCAATGCTGTCCAATCTGTTCTGATGTGATGCTCGTTGGAAAGGACTACCTGCATCTGATAAGGCACCAGAGACAGAAGACCTAGGAGATATCCATCGCTCATGTGGTAAACGGAAGACAGGAGCCATGGGCGACACAGATTTACGATTGATGGGTACTTTGCGACCACCGTCTGAATCCCAGTCTGACCGTGCACCTCCCGCTCTGGAAGGAACTTTACCAAATGGTTCTGAAGGCGATAGTGATGACACCGATGACATGGACCCCTGTCGTAAGGCATGCGTTTTCGCTTTAAGTACTTCCGACCACTGGTCGCGGACGACTGGTGTACTCGTTTCCGACCGCGAAGGGACTGGGGCTTTGGCAGTAATGAGGGAATGTGAATTCAACAAAAGTGGGCGAGGTCCCGCTTTCGGGGGTGGTGGTGGTGGCGCTAATGTCTGTAAACCTGCCAACGATGCCAGCGAAGCCTTCGTCTTATGTACGAAATTGTTTTCAGGGACAGTAGACAGCTCTGGACTGGAAGGAGCTGTAGAGCCCATCCTGCGCGGTTGAGGGAGGAAGCTTTCTCGCGGAGACCGGAAATGTTTCGGGCGTGGTGGAGGTGAGTAGACACTGACCGGATTGGCCGGGAGAGAACCGGTTGACAGGCGATCTTGACTATGTGACATCCACCTGTTTGTTGCACTTGGTAGTTCTGACGTCGTACTCGCAGGTGACAGTAAGCCAACAGGTGTAACACTTCCTTTTCTAGAAGCCCACACATCCATGGCTTTCGCTCTCCAGTTAGTGCTGGCCTTAGTGAGGGCGGCGACGGTGTCTGACTCTGTCAATTTTCCTGCGTAGCTCCAAAGGGGGGATGAAGGCTGAGGTGAAAGATTGCGTTGAAGACTTTCATTAGGAACAAGAATAGGAGAGGTTGGCAGTGATGGAGGAGGCGAAGAGGCAGGTGAAAGTGGTTCCGTTGGTGACGGAGGAGCTTCCATTGAACTTTGGTTAGTAATTCCTCTCCATACTGTATTAGCCAGCCGCGATGTCAGACCAGGAGCAGATGGCGTTTCTGTTTCGTTCCCTTCGTCATGAGTATCTTCCTCATCACTTTCTGTGTCTTCTTCATCCTCTTCGACGTCTTCCTCCGGAGATGCTTCGTCTACTACTATAGTAACCTGATTGGTGAACCCTCTCCACATAGTATCCTTGATCCGAGCGCCTAGGCTGAGATTTTCAACTTTCTGATTTCTGCTATTTTCATCCCGACGACTAGCCAAATCAGATGCCGCCCGAAGAACCCCATCTATACCACCAGCAGCTTCGATGGGGTAAAGCTTGAGTATAGTCATCCCTTGAAGGAAGGCATCACTAAGTTCCCACGGACGTAATGGTGAAGGGGGACGTCTAGAATACTCGGCAGCCCAAAGGTCGTGACTATTAACAGCTGGCTTCCCAAGTCTACGCAACTCATCAATTAGAAACGAATGTTTGAAGGACATGAATGTGAAACGAACCGTAATAAGGGAGCTCTTGCCCGGATGAGCAAGCTTGTGCACATGTCAACCAGGAACTCTAGTTTCGGATTCGCGTCGCGCGTCATGGTGGGCAAAGAAAATAGAGCATCCCATATAGGAAGCACTGAGGATAGAGGCAATGTCTGCGTTAGAAGACATGCTAACCAATGGCTAATAGTGCATTAGTGTTGGGAGTTTTCTCGGAGAGGAAATAAGCATACTATGAATAATGAGGAAGGGCAGGATCAAGACCCTTGGCATGCTAAAGACACAAAGGTCAATAGACATATTAGGGCAAAGAAAAAACATAATACCAAATCCGCCGCCAGTTCTGGATCAACAAGTACCAATCTTTCACTAATTTTTTTCATCCACACTTTCGCACCTTCTTCATCTTCCAACTCAGAAACTTCTCCTATAACAGCTTCGAATAGCCAGAATGTGTCGGCTTCCGCATGTGCCACGTCTTCCAGTTCAGCCTCCTGCAGGAGCACCGAGTACAATGGTACAAGTATAGACGGTATATGAGGTGATTGGTTGGCAGGGTTGAGACATGAGTGCAGGTATAGGAGACGATGCAAAGCAGAAATGTGTTTTGCATGAGGTTTTGCGTGAGTTCCGTTCAATACTTTTCCAGATGGTAGCGATGCAGGAGCTCCGGGCCTGCGAAATGAAAAGGAACCAGCCTTTTCTGATAAAATCTCCGAATCATGAACGTTGGCCTCCAGACGTATTTCTGGTATACTGATAGCTTGTAGTACATTCGCGTTTCGACTGCCAATAAGCTCAAGTCGCGAGTCCAGGTTGCCTGCACAATCAATCCTGATTTTCTCGTCTGTAGTGTCATCCAGAGGGCAGATAGACGATTCCTCTAATACGGCAGCCAGGCCCCTGAACAAATGTGGAGGTAAACGAGATATTGAATTTGCAACATTGACTAAAGTTGCGTCAGGTCCACTTGGAGGTGTGGTCGGTGGGTGCAGATTAGCCAAAGGAGGTAAAAGTCGACGAACAAGGTCCTAAAATATCTCAATTAAATTAAAAGGCGAACCTGATGTTAAAAACGTACATAATAACTGTCTCGTTGTTTGTCAATAGTCTTCCCCCATGATGACTTTAGCACGGGTAATATTCCAAAAAAGAGCCTTGCGTTGTTGAAGTCAGAACAGGACACTGCATAGCGGACAAAGCATGAGACTTACTTCCATATTCGCGGTCTGAGCCATGGAGGATCGTCAGGGAGGCCTGATGATATATTTAGTAGGTCTGAGTATGGTATCTTATTCCCTACGTACCCTGAGCGCACAACTTGCGAAGACGTGGAAGATCCACTAACGGTGATAGTTGAATGTCAAGTATCTCTGAGACCGTGCTCACACTGTTGGGACGCGGCATTTAGTCCAATATTGACGCATATAATTATCACGAACATACATATCCTGCCTCAAAGGCTCAGATTGCCATCTGATACCATGTATTTCGGCAATGTTCATCAAATAACTGTTTACTTTCTCTGCAGAAGGAAGAGAAGTAGATAAAGCTTGAGTTACCTAGAGGATGGCTCAAAAACAAAGGAAAGGTGTGGTGTGGTGATAGACATACTCGTAAAGAGACATAACTTTCGTAATTTCCCGTGATAGAGCGAACGAGGTTCGGATCCATACGCTGAACAAGAACGTCGCGAACAACGTTCAAGTCTACCCAGACCGTGTGAGGCTGTGAGTGCCAGATAGGAGTAACATAGAACTGCAGACCTTTGGACTCTATGTGTGGAGCAGCATATATGATAGTTGATGCTGCTTCCACAAATGGTGGACTCGACGTCTTACCACTGGCAAAATGACCAATACCTATCAGGCATCACCACCACATTCTCTTGACCCGGCTTACCTTTCTAATTCACCGAATCGCTCCAGGATGACGCCAACCTGCATCTCTAACACCTCCAGTACATCTCCGATGGCATCGTCATGAAGCAAGTTTTGTGTCTTCGCGCGAGCAACACTAACATTGCCTTTATTCAACAAAGCAGCAATATCACTTCTAGCATTGTGGGTTTCAGAGTCTTTTTTCCCTTGCAGTTGGCCGAGTCGTTGCGTTGTCAATCTAAGGAGAGCCTCCAAAGTATTTCAGCTTATGTGAAGGAACGCGTACCGAGTCTGCTATGTCAACTGACCTTCACTGCAACTGGATCCCAATTCGACGTGGACATTTACGCGGACCAATGTTAGCTACGCAGAAGTTAGTTGAATAGGACGTTTCCAAACGTAGAACGTCGGTTACAGAGTAACTGGATGGTCAGAGGGCATGCAATAGAGGTTTTGCGGTGAATGCCAGCACCAAGGCTTTTAGCAAAAGGTACAGATCAGTATACCAGTGCCTCTCGCCAATGCTTCTGTCTAAATCGGTCACAAACTGGTTCCACACTTCGGAATGTTCTTATAATACTACATTTTTCATTGATTTCCCTTACACTTGCAAAATTAGTACAGTAATACATCCAGTATTTTATTATATTGATACAGTAGCTGCCTCAGTGGTGCGCAGCGTCTTTAAAAATACCATGGCGGTAAGGGCTTGGAAAGCCGTCCCGCTGACCGGCGACTATTGCCCGCAATAGGTTCTTTCTGATACATGTCAACCTGCATGCGATCAGGGTTGAAAGAAGATGCAGGACTGGATATATGTCGTCGTAGTGCAGCATCAGCAGCAGAAGTCAATGATTTGTGGTCGGCAGTAAACCTCCTTACATCACGGCTAGCGGGTGTAAGGTGCTTGCTGGAAATTCGATGTGGATCCAAGCTCAACCGACCAACCGGGGAAGACGAAGAGCATGAGGGCATGCTGAATGAGATATGGGCTGGCTTTGATAAGGGCGATATACTTGAATTGCTGGTAGTAGAAGGCCGCCGTTCCTTCTCGGGATTCATGATAGGTAGTATGGACTGTCGTCCCACTGTAGAATTGTCGATACCTTGCATTTCTTCCTCCATAGGATACCCACGGTAAATCGTAAATGCAAGAATACCAGAATATAGGACCACTGAAGGAAATGACATGAGATAGGACGGAGTTATCAGTTGCGAAATGAAACTCACAAACAACAGGGATTATCCAGCACCCTATCAGTGTATAAATATTGATGAGTTTACATACGCCATATTGGTCGGGAGCTAAACGGATATGTCAGTCTAATAGCACATTAGGTGACCAGACGAAACTTACTCTGGTCTGGACATTGAAATTTAGGGTTCCAATAGGTGAACGCCGCGGCCGTTCCTAAAAGAGTATTCATTATAACCGTCGACCCATACAAAACAAGCTGGTACATACCTATGTGAGCTATCAAGAGAAAAAATAGGCGAGCTGCATCTAGCCACACGCGAAAGCCAAGCAATAAACTGTTCATTGAGCAGCATATACGTTGATCCATCCATTTTTAAGATAGGGTATATAACTCACAGTACAGGAAGCATAATGATCGTAATCGTATTGACCAATAATAATACAACAACCAGCGATCCTGCCACCCGTGTTAGTCGTTGTAATTTACTTGGGGCCCTAGTCCACTCACTGTTTGAGGTGCTTGATACATCCCATCGAGTAAATAGCTCTAACGATAACAGTATGACCCACAAAAAACTCGCGATAATGATAAAGGCTAGATATTAAAAGAGGGTCAGAATACTGGCAAGGATGGAATGGAATAGCACGAACAGAATGCCACAGCCCGTGTTTTCATGAATACGTTAGGAAATTCCATCAGGTCAGAGAAGTAAAGAGAGGAAGAGCGGCAGCTGCGAAGAGAGATGAACGTATCCAAGCGATAGAAGAAAATAACGATCTCTCAAAGATACGCAGTATGGATAAAAGTAATGAAGCTAAGGAGGAGAAGGAGGAATGGGCTTCAAGCTAGTGAATTCCGATGGTGATGCACGTTTTACATTACTTTGCTCATTGTCTCTGACACGCGCTGGGAAGTGAATCGAGGGCGACTCAAGACAATGGCTTTTGTACGACTTTCAAGTTTGCTTTTGTCAAGAAAATCAGTTGTGCCTTTTTCGGTTCGCTGACATAATCCGGCACTTCCCAGATTAACAGCCTTGGCTCCTCGGACAGTCCTCGGAACACCGCTCAACAGTAGTACTAGCGCTACTAGCACTCGTCACGGTCAGGTATCCTGCCAGCCAGAACCACAACCACCACATCGTTATCGAGGGCTGGTACCATCATCTGGTATCCGCAAGACCACACAATCAACTTACTATGGATATTTCTACACAACCTACTTCTCCTGTACTGACCAACAGGTCTTATCTACGCCATGCACGACTGGTTCTCACTTGTATCTCGATTGGAGCAAATGCGTTCGTCATATCTTACATTTCTAGTGCAAATATTGAATTGTTGCTTGGCTAGCATCTTTGCAGGAGGAGTCTTCACTTTCGCACTAATGTCACCGGCTTTAGTGACTCACCTCAAGCTCACACAACCTCAGCTCACGACGATAGCGCTGGCGTGCGTACTGCCTTTCTCTCACTCGATTACTGAAGTGATGTATGAACTAGTGGAATGATGGGGCAGTATCCATTTGCCGCCGTCGTGGGCAAGATAGTCGATCGTTTTGGCCCCTGGGCTTGCTCCCTCATATCTGCTTGCCTGTTCTCAACGGGATATGGCATGTTCTCGTGGGAGATAGCGAAGACCCCTGACGACATAACTCAGCCTTCCGCTAGTTCATTCCATCGTCTTACAGGGTTCTTCTTTATGGCCGGTCTCGCAACAGTCTTCTCGTGAGTTTCCATTCCATTAAATCAAACTCTAGTCAACAACTAATAATGCATGGCGCCAGATATTTCTCGTCGGTATTTGCAGCGTCTAAGAACTTCCCAAACTATATAGGAATCGCTTCCGGAACCAGCATGGCATTATTTGGATTATCTCCTATGTTCTTATCTATCATAGCGTCGAGATTCTTTTCGTATGAGGACTCGGGTCTCGACGTAACTAGTTTCCTCAGATTCCTGGCTATCACCTGCGGATGCGTTCATGTTTTTGGAGCCATGACTTTACGGATACCTGATCTCGCTGACAATACGAGGCTGCAATTAACAGTGGAGGACACTGAGGAACAAGCTGATGTTGATGAACGCACTGCCCTTCTTCAAGCCCCCCACAAATCTATCCCCGGAGTAGAAGTCCAAGTGGTTCCAGTTGAAGTAAATGGTTCTGCTTTGGATTTACTTAAGGATCGGAACTTTTGGTTATTGGCCTTCGTTGTTTTTGTTATTCTTGGATCGGTGGGTACTACAAGGAGTAATCATATCCGATTTACTGACGGATAGTTATATACAGAGCGAGATGATCATTTCCAATATTGGAACTATTGTCCTTTCTCTCCCATCAGCTAAAGGGACTCCAGTTATCACCCGGGTACCTTCGGCAGACATCATGACATCTACACAAGTTAGACTTCTTTCAGTCGCAAACACCGTTTCTCGTTTGCTTGTTGGACCTCTAGCAGACTTTATCTCGCCTGTTGCATCCTATCTACCGTCCGGTGCCATAAGCTTCCCGCGTAAACATATCGTGAGCCGCATGTCGTTCCTTACTGGAGCCACATTGGTACTTGCTTTCACATACCTGTGGATGACCCTCGTTACTAGATCACAAGAAGCTCTCTGGCTTCTGAGGTAAATTTTCATAAAATTAATCTGATACTCAGTTCTAACCTACGTCTAGTATCGGAACCGGTATTGCATATGGTGCTGCATTCACAGTCTTGTATGTTTCTCCTCTATTTCTTGCATCGACAAAACACTCATAGCGACCATCAGACCAAGCATTGTTTCATCCGTGTGGGGTCTCTCGAACCTCGGACGAAACTACGGCATTCTCACTTACGCACCCTTCCTTGGTACCCCATCTTTTTCCTACCTGTACGCATTTGTCGCGGAACACAATACTGAAGGCGGAGGTGTTTGTGAGGGCGTGAGATGTTGGCAGCCGACGTTCTGGTTGAGCAGTGGAGCAGCTATCGCTGCGTGCTGTGGCACCCTCGCATTGTGGAGGACGTGGAAAGGAAGGGTGTGATTTGAGCTGGGACATGAATGGTTTTATTTAAGGGTTTTACTTTACCCCACCGTTTCATAGAACGATTTATTACATTGTATATTTATTCAACCATGCACATGTTAGATCTACTAGTCTTATATTTCCGAACGCATATGTTCCAGATTTCCGAACCACAATTGTCTTCTGCGATTTCTACAAACCTGGAATTAGCCACAAGTTCACTTCACTTTCACCTCAGGTGCACAACTAGCTTATGCGAAGTGTCAAGTACGGACTGCCTAGTAGGCTGACACCTGAGCAGGTAGGCCCTGTGGAAATATCTGCTTGAACAGATCAGGGTAGTGGCGTTCTGCAACGTCCGGATGGCTCCTATGACCAATGGTCAAAAGATATACAACAATCAGTATTAGCAGGGGAGAGAGATGTGGCCTCAAACTCAACTTGACCCTTCCAATAAGATTAACTTTTCCAGACGGTTCCCGGTCAAACTCGGTAAAGTTTACAGCTGTAGGAAGGCAACCAACAGATATCAACTCTCTGCGGCAAGGCAACGTAAGCTCACTTACAGTCAGTAGCAGCCGCCTCGCCTCTCAGTTCCTTCAGCTTCAAAACCTCGGGGGGGACTAAGTATATTAAAGACTCAGGGTGAGTGAGTGAACGAGATCAAAGAAGGAAGACGTACATTCAAGCACCTCATCAACAAGGCGAGCATTCAAACTGATGTTCTGGAAGAAGGGGACCGAGTACCGAGGAGTCGACCCTATGGGCGGGGACAGGACACGGTGGGACGTAGCACGCGCCAAGCCCTGGGTGGCAAACTCAAGCGCTGTTATCCAGGGGGTTAAGATATGGGACTAAAATACATCACATGCTGTGACGCCAACGGACCTTTCCCGATATTCACCACGAAGGTCCCAGGGATGGGAGGTGCATCGATCCATTCCCCTGATAGATTTTGCACCTGAAGGCCAGGATGCGCAGAAGCTTGCAAGAGCTTAACATGAAGCAGCATCTAAGTATCAATTTCTCTCGCATAAAACGCTATGTACTCACGAAGGTTAAGAAACCTGCATCATAGTGAGGCCCGACTCCTTGATCAGATAGAGAGCCATCATTGGCAGGGTACTTTACAACCTTGAAATTTGATGTTAGTCTACTGAGTGTCAGGGAGAGACTCCGAACATACTTTTCCGCGATGTTGCATGAACTCGTCTGAGTCATAAAAGTGGGCGAGAGCGTCGGGAGCCAGAGAAAATGCTTCAGCAAGCAAGCGACTGAAATCGTAGCTCAGCGACTGGACTTGAGCCAGGTATCGCTCCATTGTGTCCTTGAAGCCAGGCAACTGATCCTCATCAGGCCACTATGACAACTCGATAAGTTCATATTCCTTCGGCTTTGACGAGCGAGAAACGTACCTGCGATGGGCCCCAAAGCCGGAGGTACTCAGGAGCACCAGGTCGCCACTGCGTTTCATGGGGCGTCGCGAAGTCGAACTGCTCCCTATAATCAGTCTTCCCCTTGGTGAATTCGGCACCAAGCTTGGAGTAGCCAAGGAAATGAGGAGAGTTGGCCATACGAATGCTATCTTTGGCCTGTTGGGGCAGAGCGAACAGACGGGGTATGTAGTCGATCAGGGCATCGATATCTTTTCGTGCTACAGGTGGGTTCTTCAGATAGAGGAAACCGACGTTGATGAGAGCGTGCCGCAGCTGCAAGATGAACTCTGGCTTCCTTGCCGGATCAGAGACAAGAGCAAAATCAAGTATCGGGACACTGGAAAAGTTAGCAGCCATGATCGCTTTATGTTTACTTCAACGTATCTAGCGTGAAGAAGTCTTAGGATGCAATGTAAACAAAATAGCATTGATAATGCTTTGATAAAGGTCCGTGGTGAGAATATGACGCGATCCAGAAGTGAGTTTGTTAGAAATACGCCGTGACACTGCAGAACACATGACCTACTTACTACATTAGCCTACCAGTTATGCAGTAGCTATAGGAAGGTGAAGGCGGGGTAATCTTGTGCTCAGCACCCATTTAGCGATCAAACACAGACGAGAGGCAGTCTCAAACTCCCGTCTTATCTGCCAACTTTTCGATACGCTCTGCAGTCAACCAAATCCGCCGCCTATTCCTCATCGACCCACTTTCCGTGCATCTCTTCAAATATGCCCACCCCATTTTATCTTCATTTGCTGCTGAGGATACGTCCCGTGGGATTTCATACCAGGGTGCCATATTTTTGATCCACTTGCGAACCATAGCATCGCGATCTGAAGCGAAACCCCAAAGCTGGAAACGAAGGCTTCGGGACGAGGCAGGAAAAGCGATAAAGGTGTTCAAGGGAAGAAGGAGCGCTATATCTGTCAGCAATTCAACAGGAAGTTTTTCAATCGAAGAAAGACCTGCTCGTGAAGTCGGAGGCTCGAGTAGTATAGGAATGGCATCAGGATCTGAAGAATGCATGCCTATAGGGAATCTAAAATCACCAAGATAGCTCTTCAGCAAGGCTCGACGAAGACACAAGACCGAGCGTGCCTGTCTGGTGCCATCCAAATCCAGAATTTTCCATCGTTTATGATAGCCCTCTTCACGAGCTCTACATCTTCAAGTCTCTCGAGGTCGACCAGAGCGTCACGCGATATACCGGGTATGGGATCGGGAAATTGCTCTCTCTCCAATGTAATCTCTCCATAGTCAATGTCGGGCAGTCCATAATCATTGCATCCATTTAACTTTCCTTGGTGCATAGCCAAACGCCAGAGACGCTCAGGAGTCACCCGTCCGTCTGTTGCGAGAGCTAGGATGGGCAAGGACGCTGTTTGCACCATGATGATTGCACCAAAGGAGACCAGGTAATTAATATTCAGTGGGTTAGAAAGAGGGGCATCTACAAAACCAAAGTCCCATGAACCGCCCATGAAGCAGTGCGGAACCACACGGATGGAAGAGTCTGGGATACGGAGGACATATTCTCGCTCCATGTCCTCAAATTGAAAGAAAGGCCTGCCATCCTCATGTATAGCGCCTTTTTATATATAATAAAATCAGCTTTTAGACGATGTGTAGTGTATATGGGAAGATGAGCCATACGCACCGATGACGGTCACGTCTTCCTGTCCTCTTCTTCCATCCTCATCGACCAGTGTGCGAAGGGCTTCCAGCAAGACGGGACCAGGCTCTCTCTCTATATCCTCGAGCTCGAAAATATCGGATACGCTACTCGCGATTTCAGGAGTACACCCCGAGAGCTATTATGGATCCTCAGTAAACCAAGTTTGAATGTTCCTCTCAGAAAATATTGACCAACCAGGCAGAAAACTGTGACTTTTCCCATTAACGTATTGCGCGCTTCGCTTGGCCTCCCCCAGTGAGAAAGAACAGAATTGTGAACTTGAGTTTACGTAGTAGAGCATTCTGCGCATGCAACTGGTAGGATATTGCCGGCCCTTCTATGTCGCGGTGACCTAGGCTGTGCTACTAATATCAAGTACCCGTGAGGATAACTGCTACGTATACCAGCACCACTACAGCGATGTCTCGTCGTTTTGGAGCTCTTTTCTTGCACGGTTCCGCTGCAGCCATAATGGCGTATGGGTTTACCAGTTTACAGCACTTGCCCATAGACGAGTGGATCAGCAAGCAAAAAGGCGGACATCTCCAATATCTGACCATCCAAGGGTGCGTTATAACATGAACTCCCGTCGCACCACCCAAACCACTTAAACTGACACATTGCGCTGTGTAGTCTGGCGTTGGCATGGTTCACGATGACTCTCAGTTTTATGATGGACGTGTTGCCCCCGAGCTCGAGTGAGTTTTCGTTTTCTGAGTTTAATGCGACGATCACTTGGGAGGACTGAAGCGCGTGGCTGGTGCAGTTCTTCGCAGTGTCAAACGAACCTTGTTGATGGTCTCTCTACCAGTAAGGAAACCCGATTACCTGCATGAGAATCATTGATCTGCTAACGTGCTCGGTGTTCAATTTCCGCAGTTAGCCATCGTCGTCTCCGCTGTGTACTGGTCTCTGCTTCTGTTATTCCCCAGTCTCATCCTCCAACGCAAACTGGAAAGCGAACCCTCCTCCTCATCTCAAGTGCCAGAGATCATCCGTATACCCTTGAACATAGATCTCGCTTTACACGCCGTCCCAGCTCTCACTCTCCTCGTTGACTTCTTGTTTTTGGAACGCAAATATACCAAAGGTCAGGTTCGCTTCGGAGCCCCCCTTGCTGTTATTGTTTCAGGGACTTGGTATGCATGCTGGGTAGAATACTGTGCAAGCTATAACGGATTTTGTCAGTGTTTTATTCTTGTGGGCCGCTCTCACTTCCACGTCAAAACCTGACTGCTTTCGCTATAGTCCCCTACCCTTTCCTCACCGAGAATACATTTGGAGTCCGCATTGGAATATATACCACAGTTTCTCTCATCGCGCTCTTCTCCTTCAAGCTCATCAACGCGTTACACCCGACCAAGTCAAAGTCAAAGACCACCAAGCGCGCCTAGAGGCAAATAATTGCAAGTACAGTAATAATTATCTAGCTACGGTGTTCCTTTGAGAGTTTGCTTTGCTTCATACAGATTTATATTATACCGTTTGTAACTTATTGTGCAGGTCCTTGATATCGAGAAAATATGCAATCTACTTATTTCATTGAATGCGTGCTGAGACCACTTCAAGTGCAGTTCTCCTATCCATGTTAGTGAGCAAGAACCCCATATGGCGAGTTAATCGAATAATCTTGCAAATTGCAGGGGTATATTATCCCTGTCCATGGGTTTATGGATAGCATTACCCGAGGACGATGCCTACTACAGGAATTAAGGGTAGATGATATCATTTGAATGTGAAAATGGCAAAAGACCTAGACGTGGAAGGGGGGGACATCTACTAGCATGTTCAATGGAGAAAATTAAACAAATTCAAAGGAGTGTGTGGAGGTACCGATCGAGCCAAATAGGAAACAAAGTAGTCCGTGACGTTTAATGAGGAAAAAAATTGAAAACATAATAGATAGATGCAAAACAACGTCTCGCAAACTGGAGACTATATCACCAACGAACGGGATATTCTTAATTAGAAGACGTCGCTACGAGAGAAGCATTGAGCATAATATCAAGGTTATGATGGGACCTTTATACGTACTTTTCTTCGCGTTGGTTACGAGTACAGCGACAACAATGGCAACAATGATGAGGATAACCAGTACGAGAATGAAGCAGATCCAGCGCTTTTTACGGGCAGAACGGGCAGAATCAACAGCTTTTTCTGTATATCCAAGGCTGTTATCGTGGATGTAAGCCGGTTTGTCTCAGAAGTAAATGTAGTTGTGCATACCCAACTTCTGTATCCTTCTCAACCGCACCTGTGGTAGCTTCAATAACATTGATAGTCTCATCCTGTTGTTCAACAAGGACGCTCATCTGAAACATAGGATTAGATATGGGTTGGGCAATAGATGGATACTACATACATCGTTAAACAGTTGGGCCAATTCACCGAGCGTCCGCTCAATACGTTTTATGTCTTCATGTCTTTCTTGTACCTCTCGGTATGCTGCTCGTGATTCACCGTATCTATTGGAGTTCATCAACTAGACGGAGAATGTTAACGACGACATATGATAAGGTATTCAGAACTTACAGCTTGACTGAAGATTTGTCCGCCACTCTCATCATTCACAACAGCCATAATTTCTTCTGGTGAGGCATCCGGTTTTACTAAAGGAAGAGGCTAAATAAAGAAACAAGTTTAGAGAAGCGGGGTCCGTACCGATTTTAAACTGCCTCTCCATTCTCTGCTTGTACTTCTGTCGGTATTGTTGTTCCACCCCTTGGTAATTTTGGATTGCGTCAACAAATTTTGACTTCACCAAGGCAGTCTACAATCGTTAATATATGAACATTAGCCGTGAGTTAGTACTACAACCACATGTTGGTCTGACCTGCTGTTTGCGTATCTGTCCATCCCGCCCACTTCCACTTTGTTTTTCCAGCGCCTTGACCCGACGCTTAAGCGTCGCACTTAAAGCACTGGTGTCCTCCACAAGCTCGTCCAGTTGAGCGGCATTTCGCTGCGCAGCAGCATCATCCGTGTTGTTAAGCGAACGTGAATGAAGCTCGTCGATGCTAGAGATATTTTCGTTGAAAGTTTTGATACTATCTTGAAGGGACGATATCTTATACGACCAAAGAGGTTAGTTAATTGTGGATACAAAATATATGGGTGAACGGACCTCTGCATAAAAAGCAGACATGCTGTCGCCCATATCCGCAGTCAAGTTCGTCGTACTCGACTCCTTGACTTCTGCCATTTCATAGGCATGATCATCCTGTTGTGCAAAAGGGTTTGCCGCTCTGCGACTCTGATACCCAGCCGACGACTGCGTGGGGTATGAGTTACTGAAATGTGAAAAATGAGACGAATTTTAACAGGGGCGGTGTATCAAGTGAACGACGTACGTGGAAGCATTGCTGCCCTGTTGTTGAGCCTGCAGAACAAAATTTTATATTTTAGCTATGCCAACACGGCTGAGAAGTTGCCAGCGCTCACTCTCAACGCAGCCAGTCTGTCCCTTGCCATGTTGTGGTGTTGTCGTCAAGGCGGTGCTTTGAAAAGGAAAAACGTGTATCACGCAGATAAAGACTATCGCAGCGTGAATATGGATGAGATTACTGAACTGTGCAGAAAGATAAGGTATGAAACCGTAGAAGGGTGAAGGAGATGGGTGTCAACTAGCTACTATACCAGTATGTCGCTAGCCGTTCGTCAAAGGGACAGGTAAGACAAATTGCAACAAACAAGGCGTTTACAGTAACACGCCATGACATGTCTGCACCGCAACGTCAGGCAGTACTATTTCGATAGCAAACCTGTTGCTTTAGAACACTAAATACAGCGGTAATCATTGCCATTTGAAAACATCGCAATTCGCAGACAGCTGTCCAGTGTAGTAGAACGACGGGCTTGTGTGCCACCGTTGCTCCCTGTCTCTGCTGGGTATGCTTGGCACACTTATCCATAAACAATCATAGGCTGTCAATATGCCCCATGGTGCCCACGAGTTTAAGTCAATGTCTGGCATAAATATACTGCGACTGCATTAATGTTCGCCCTATGGCGAGTTACTAAAAGTTACTATTAGCGACCGCACTTGTCGCCGGGATATTCCGGTGGAGGTGGAGGTGGAGGAGATTTGTGGCTAGGGTTCCGTCTCTGCAGGCTCTCCACATCAGTCGACGTCGACGTGGCTCCCGTGGGCTCACACAGAACCCCAAGCCATATTACCCTGTTTAGTTGAAATCCCATTTGGACTGATTCAACACCCATGGCATTATTGAATAAGCTTGCTCTCAGTTCATCATGGTCAGGCTATACAGCGCTGTCAATAACTAGTATCGGAATATTGCTAGGATTCTTTCGCTTTTTCTTTTTAGGTACGTCCCAATTACCTTACAACTCGTAGTCGTCAGTCATTAATAATTATAGATCGACTGGACCCTTTACGCTGCGATGAAATGTTGGGACGTGGAAGATGGCTGGATGATAGATATCTCAATTGGCAACCAAATGGTCGGGATATGGAGTGTTTTCTCGTGGTTTCGAGCTGACTTATTTGGCTAGGATGCATGCTTCACAAGTATCAACCTGATGACGCGTTGGCCTGTCTTCGGTCTCAAAAGGTTACCTTTGTCGGTGACTCGGTTACACGTTTGCTATACTTCCAGTTCGCTCAAGTTATAGACTCCAACCTTCCGGCAGCCCCTCCAGACGACGAGCAGAAGCATGCAGATCATTCACTTATTTCAGATTCAGGCATTCAAATAGATTTTATCTGGGACCCATTTCTCAACACTTCCCTTCATCAGCTATTCGTCGATCCATCACCAAGCTCCTCTGCCAATTGGGGTACAGAGCAAGATTCAGCGATGATCGTACTCGGTTCTGGCTTATGGTATTTACGATATGCGAATAGTTCTGGAAGCCTCTCTGCATGGGAAGCTAACATATCTGGGGCGTTGAATATGGTTCGGAAGGCTTATCCAAAGTCTACAAAAAACATTGTTATACTGCCCGTCGAGGAAGTCGTCCCAGAAAAACTAACGGTCGATCGTTATGAGACTTTGCGCCCTTCTGATATAGATGCCATGAATTACGACCTCAGCTACCTAATCAAACCGTCGCTCAGCGACCACACACAGTCTCCTATTAAATCCATTGACCTGCCAGTATCATTTCCTCTTGTGTTCAATCATATGCTGGACTCGTCACAAACGGAGGACGGCCTTCACTTTTCGGATTCTGTCGTTCGGACGCAAGCAAATATACTCTTTAACTTACAATGCAACGATTTGTTGCCCAAGACATCGCCATTAGATAAAACATGCTGTCGGAGCTATCCAAAGCCTCGAATTCTACAGCTTGTAGTCCTTGCAGCGGTTGTCCTGTGGGGTCCTTTTGCGTGGTCTGTTTCTCGTAAATCCAGTATGCCGCCTTCTTCCTTGTGTAGGCCTCGTATTGCTCAGCATTTTTCCAGAATGGCAGCCCACATCTGTTGGAAATGGAGGATATTCTGCGCTAACTTTTAGTGCAGCTATTGGTGTTATCTTCATTGCTGACAGGACTGGATTTTGGCTGAAGGAGCAGAAAGAGTTCGATGTTTGGATATTTACTTTTCTCAGCCTAGCGTCTTTAGCCGTTGGGCTAGTTAAGGTGAAACACTCGGATAAAGATCCAGGCTTTTTGAGTAGGGAACAAACTGAGGAATGGAAAGGTTGGATGCAAAGTAGGTTGTTAACTTTTGTCTTGCTGGCATTCTAATAATAACAAACCCAGTTTCGATTCTCATATACCACTACTTGGGTGCTTCCAAAATACCAGCCATCTATAATCCCATTCGCGTCCTTGTCGCATCTTATCTGTTTATGACAGGTTACGGTCACACAACATTCTATATAAAGAAAGCAGACTTCGGTCTTTTACGCATTGCTCAAGTAAGTTTCGGCTGGGTTCATTACTTGCTGCTCTTTGAAACTTGCTCTAGGTCATGATCAGATTGAATATATTGACGTTGACGCTCGCGTATACGATGAATACAGACTACCTCTCCTACTATTTTTCGCCATTGGTTTCCATGTGGTTCTTCATCATATATGGCACAATGGCCTTGGGCTCTCGATTCAATAACTATACCCCATTTGTGGTCTTCAAGATTATCGCCTCGATGGGCATCGTGACGTGGTTCTTCAAGGAGACATGGTTATTGAATGTTTTGTTCGACTTTCTAGAGCGGATTTTTGCTATACACTGGTCTGCTCGAGAATGGACATTCCGAGTGACATTGGATCAGTTTATAGTGTATTTCGGCATGCTTGCTGCCCTGGCAGTGATAAAGATCCGGGAACATCGCCTCACGGACCACGTATACTGGCCCCCACTGGTTAAAATTGCCAACGGTTTATCCGCCATCATTCTGCTGTGCTTCCTATCGTTCGCACTCACGGAGAAAAACAAGGTTGCCTACAATGCTTGGCATCCATACATTTCAATCCTCCCTATAGCGTCATTCGTCACGCTCAGAAACGCCAACCCTGTCTTACGATCAGCATCATCTCGTGCATTTGCTTTTGTGGGCACATGCTCACTCGAGACCTTCATCATTCAATTCCACCTGTGGCTTGCTGCTGATACGAAGGGCCTCCTTATGATGATCCCAGGCGAGAATTTGCGACCAGTCAACTTTTTGATTACTAGCATTATCTTTATATACGTATCACATCAAGTTGCACGGGCCACAGGGGACATCACCAACTGGATCTGTGGCGGACCCGAAAAGAGCCTACCCACGGCCCGTAGCTCAAGCTCACCTACGAGGAGTCCCAGAGATGAGCCGAGATCATCGATGGATGGTCCAAAAGAGTCGGAAGCAAGTACCCTTGGTCGTGGATATATACCATGGCAATGGGTGGATCGATTGGGCGGAGATTTTCTGGCGGGTCAAAAGCTTGGAATCAAAACGAAACTTGCATTAGGAGTCGCAGTCATGTGGGTTGTAAATATCCTATGGACTTCTTTCTGATTATTCTGCTCCGAGTATCAATTCTCAAAAATCTGATAGGAACGCGTGTCGTTCTTCAAATTGTTAGGTGCAGGAGATAACTAATTTTCTAATAATTACTTACTGCATTTTCGGAAAAGAACTTGGACTTCCAGCACTGTTCTTTTTGTCACACACCTTAGTGTTACGGTCGCCAGTATGCAGCGTGTTGATTAAATTATCATGACCCTATTTTGACTAGAGGTACGCTAGCACGACGGTCACCCTACTACTTGTCAAGACAAATACTGGATGTGTTGGTCCCGATATCAATACCCATTGACAAACACATTTAAAATTTCGGGTCGTTGAAGTTGTCCCCCGTTCCGCCAAAACAACTCGCCCCGCATCGATCGGTGCACTGGTAGTGGCGTTTTCCGACGGCATGCCGGATAAGGCCGGTGGTTTTGCCTCGATATAAAATATATTGGCCCGGCATCTGCAGAGAATCCGGCCTAGCTATCTATGAAAAGCAACTGCCGCACTTCGTCTACACGTGCTTTCATGTGGCAGATCTCAGATTGGGGCCTCCTAGCTGGCTGACGCGTCCCCCAAGCTGTGCTGCGATTATAAGAACGCATCTCTCCTACTTAGCCAGCCACTTTGTTTTCTCCCCCATCTTCGCTTTCGCCTTGCAGTCTCGCTTGCCCTTCCTCCGTACGTTTATTGAGTCAACCCCCAGCTTATTATGTGCTGATATGTATGCGCTTCACAGGTCTCAGTATATCTCAACACCATCTACTTCTATTACCATGCCTGCCAAGAAACGTTGCTCGTTCTTCAGCGAAACCCGATGCAGCTCTGCTGTAGTCCGTATAGTAGGACAATGCCCACTTTGTCGAGCAGATTTTTGCGGGGAGGTAAGCTCTTGTTACACCATCTATAACCCCCTCGTGTGACTCATTGCCGCCCTATATTCTACTATAGCACCGATTGCCCGAACACCACAACTGCAATAACCTCGAGGATTGTCGGCAGCAAGCTTTCGAGCGGAACAAGGCTAAACTCGAGAGCGAGCGGACAGTAGCCTCCAAGATGGCAATGGCATGATCTTTGTTCCGCGTCCCCTTATCACCCCCACACATCCCCTGGTGACACCCTATACTTCCGACACTATCTTGCTACACCGTCGTCCTTGCCCACCCCTTGATCGCTGTCTCCTCTTACTCCTCTCACAGTCCCCTATACCACCGATGCGACTGTTGTCTTCACTATTGACGTTCCATCTACGACCGGACGATTTCCCTTCCCACCCTACATTGGTTGTTTGTATAGAATTTCTGTCTTATAATAACATTTATTGTTAAACCTCGTATCATTTGCTGGATCTTTTCTCCCGTGTGTGTCAGTGGTCTGTATTGACACCATAAGAGAAACGAATGAACAGTCATCTGGCTGGGCATGCTATGATTATAGCGGCTGTCCGAAGCCCGGTTGGGTTTTGTATCGTGTTAGTTGACCTGATAGTTGCCACCTGATTGAAAGTTAGCATCTAGAGGCCTAGTTAGAAACATCGAATCAGAATGGCGACCTGACTACGAGTGAGCATGACGTTTCCCACTGTGGGGAAGTTACGTGAAATGGGTAAATACACTTTTCAGTCGGCCGCACAGCGCAGCCGAGCAACCCGAGCTAACGCTGTAAAACATTCTCAAAACTCTCGTCCGAGTCGTCATCAGTCGGCCGAATGCTGTGGGCATCGATGGATCAATGTTCTGCTTCAAATCTCCGCATGATTCGGTTCAGACTTCCAAGAGCAGTTTCTGGAGTAATCTAGACAAGTACTAGAGTAGCGGGCGTTGAGCGGACTGCTACATTTTATGAAAATGCGTAAGATGGCGATAATCTATCCATCTCCGAGGTCTAGTTAGTATATAGAGCCAGGCTTGTGAGTCAAGTGTCTATAAGTGCTGACCGTGTGGAACCTGTGGCCGTCCGCGCGGAGACTACTGATCATCGCACTCGTTCGATTTTCCTTCCAAGTATTCCCCCAGGTCAGTTTGTACCTCCTTGTAGTTTGTTTCATAGTCCTGCGCTCTCTTGCTGACGGCTATCCTTGTTTCTTTTCCGTCCGTCGATTGGGAAATCACGTGTATCACCCTCTGACGTTTGACTCCGGAAAGAAAAGCTGTGAGTACTATAGGCTCTAACTTTGAAATTTAACCACCCTTTCATCCATGACATCGTGAACCTTTCCCATCTTCATTCGCATTCTCGCATTTTATTGTACCATTGCCATACATACTGCTTACACGATGGCGTCTAGAATCAAACAAGTGTACCAACACCTTTCTTATAAATCAGAAATGTCGGCAGGTGAGTGACGTTCAAGTTTCCCTTTCCTGAAAGCATAATAGCAGCCTTGCATTTGTCAGAAACCTGGCAGGACGTGCCCCTCGCACCCCCCGATAGGTTCGCTTTACCAAACTTCTTGTTTCAGATTTGAAATAAGACTGAATGCTGTGACAGCATCTTTAAGCTCACTGCAGCATACAAGGCAGATCCGTACCCACAGAAAGTTAACCTCGGGGTCGGAGCATACAGGGATGACGACAACAACCCTTGGGTCCTGCCTGTCATTAAAAAAGTGCGTCAACATCGAGTTAAACCTTGGGATGTCACCCTTCATTTATACAAATTATAGGCGACGCAAATTTTGCTGAATGACCCCACTCTTGATCATGAGTACCTACCCATCACCGGCTTACCGGAGTTCACGGCTGCAGCTGCGAGGCTCATTCTCAGCCCCACTTCACCTGCTCTTGCCGAAGGACGTGTGGTCAGTGTGCAGACCATTTCCGGGACAGGGGCAAACCATCTCGGTGCTCTGTTCTTGAGCAAGTTTTACAACTGGGATGGACCGAAGCAGGTGTATCTGAGTGATCCTACTTGGGGTAAGAAACATGCTCGTTATAACCATTTATGCTAGGTGATCTAATGACATAATGTACCGCGTCGACAGCCAATCATCACGCCATCTTCAGAAACGTAGGAATTGAGCCGCTCAATTACCCGTATTACGATCCGAAAACGATTGGATTAGACTTTAATGGTTTCATCGGAACACTGGAGAGTGCAGCCCCTCGCTCTGTGTTCCTACTCCACGCCTGCGCCCACAACCCAACGGGGGTCGACCCGACCGGTGAGGAATGGGAGAAGATAGCGGAAATCATGTTGTCGAAGAAACATTACGCGTTCTTCGACTGTGCTTATCAGGGATTCGCGAGCGGGGACCTTGATAAGGACTCATCCGCGGTACGGTACTTTGTGGAGAAGGGAGTGCCGATGCTGGTGTGCCAGGTGGGAGAAAGTGAATGTGATCTGACTTGACGGCAAACTTACGTGTGGTTAACAGAGTTTCGCAAAGAATGCGGGTTTATACGGCGAGCGAGTAGGAGCGCTGCATGTTGTGCCTCCGACGAAGGATGCAGCTGATAGGGTGAAGAGCCAGCTGTCGGTGATACAGCGGAGTGAAATTAGCAATCCGCCATCGCACGGAGCACGACTGGTGAGGAGGAGATGGTGTTTGAGTGAATGATCTGACTGAGAGAGTATGAACAGGTGGCGCTGATCCTGAATGACGCGGGGCTGTTCGAGGAGTGGAAACGGGACATCAAGACGATGGCAGGACGTATTATTGATATGCGCCAGGAGCTGTACTCGGTGTTGAGTGATGAGCTGAAGACGCCGGGAAGCTGGGAGCACATCATTAACCAGATTGGGATGTTCAGGTGAGTTGAAATAAGATTTGTTACGTGTGAGCCGGGTGTGCCGAGGGTGTGGGAGGTGACGGCAGGGTGGAGCAGGAACTGAACTAACAGACGCTTGCAGTTTCACGGGAATCAGCGCAGAGCAGTCGAGGGAGCTGACGGAGAAGGCACACATCTACCTGACAACAAACGGGAGGATATCGATGGCTGGGCTGAACAGCCACAACCTGAGGTATTTTGCGGAGAATCTGGACAAAGTGGTGAGGGGCGAGCTGTAGGATACGGGGAAATAGGCCGGATTGTGTGCGAAAGTGAAAGATGACGTAGCTGTACCTCGTGGCATAATAATAAACAATGACATCACTGTGATTTGAGTCGTGATTCTGGACTTGGCCACTCTATTTGGCCCTCGTCCTCCGTCTCGCTCTCCAGACTCCGTCCCGGTCTGTGTTTTAGCCTCCCCGTGCCATCTCTCCTCCATTTTCTCTCCCGCCCAAGCTTCGTCTCTTCACCACCACACACGCATGCAACCATATTAATATCACCAGCTCTCTGGCGTAATCCTCTCCCAGTCCTTTCTTATTCCTCGCCGCTCCTCCTCGTGTCCTCCTCACCCCCCTGCGTGCTAGATCACCTTTGTAAACTCCCGTTTGCAAAGTCCGTCCTCTTTCCTCTCTCCTTTTGATTTTTGTCCCATGGGTATCGCAGTGTCCTTCGTCGACTTCCACTCCTCCTCATCTGATGATTCTCAGTCACAACAACAGCCAAACATGTCCGCTCCTCCATCACACATAAGCCTCGCCCCTCCCCAGCTCCTCGGCGCCTTCTCCATGTCCCCCACCTCCTCTCCTTCCCCAAGAGACAATCCCTTTGACTCACCGCCTCTTTCTCCCGCCCTCTCCTTCTTCACCGCTCCCTCAACGCCTATACCTTCCCCTCACCTCGAAGATCCTCCCCCTCAGCCTCCTCCCCCACAAGTCGACCTTTACGTCAGGTCCCCATCACCCCCTCGCACCGATCATCGCGTCACCACTTCGTCATCTTTCGAACTCGAAACCATCCCTCCACTTGACGCTCTCTCTTCCCCAGACTTCTCCCTAGATTTCACCCTCGATGACGAGGGTTTGAGTACCCTAGAAAAAATATATCTCTTTTGTCGAAGTAAATCCGCTTATCATAGGTACGCTCTTTTCTATTTTATTCAGTTCACTTTTCAGCTTCATATTCCATTCCTGCCGTTATTCGTTTCAGGGTCTTTATCGCACATGCCCTGCACTCCTTTTTGGAGCTGGTAACTCCTCTAGAAGCTGTTGAGTATGTACTCCCTCTTCTTCCAGGTCTCGCAATCGACGAAGGTGAGCCCTTATCAACCTTCATGATTGAATCTGATATCTGATTTTATAATCTTCGGTTATAGATGAGACCGTTAAAGAAGCCCTTGCTTCTGAGCTAGTCAAAATCTTGTGGTGGTTCCTGACGGTTGGTTTTCTGCCTCCACTTTGTCTCATTTGGCCCTCTGAGATAAAGGCACGCAGCATTGTCGCCTTGTCGAAGAACCTGCAGATCACATGATTGCTTATTCAAGCCCGGACCACCAACATGCAGAAGGTGAAACCCTTATTTCAGTACAAGCGTTCACTCCTGTTCTAGGCACTCTGCTGCTCAGCCCTAATGGCATGGTCAGTAGCTCTGCCAGATATGCGGTCGTCGAGGTCTTGAGAAAAATGCGTCAAATGGATGAGCTTGATATCAACGACGAAGCCATGCAGACTAATGATCGCAGCGAAGAGATTCAAAACGGTGTGTTTGGACCGTACGAACGGAATATATTTGAAGAAGAAATTGTCCAGCAAATTATCATTGGCATGGGACGATTGGATACAGAGGACGAAGAAGCTAGGTGGGTGAGTGATAACGACAGTGCCAGTGGAAACGAAGTATGGTATGATGCAGGTGCTGGAGAACGATCCGAGGGTGTATCTCCAGCTTGCGACATACTGGCTTCGAATGATTTCGAGCATGATTCACCCATGTCGAGCAATTTCAACCCTTACTTCCCGGCAATATCTTCTTGGCCTGCTGCTGCTAGTCCTGTACAGCCATCAATATCGCAAGTTCCTCCTGCATTGAATGCGCTTTCGACTCGTGGCATAGATCGCGGTTCGGATAACCAGCCTATGACCGCTCTATCATTCGTTGCCGAGACTGTCGGGTCATCGACAGATCCTTGGGTGTCGACCCAAGGGCCGCAGCCTGAAGCTGTGCCGTGTCCAACGCACGTGGATGACGACCCTATGGAACTCAGTCATGAGCAAGATAACGACGACGACGAAATTGACCCAAGTGAACAGGCTGCTGTAGGGCGTCTGTCCAGCATGAGTCTGATAGCCGCTGTCACAGCTGGCGGTGTGTTGTTTCAGCTTGATAAATGACATTATTGACTAACGGTCATACTATTAGGAACATTAAGAGAAGAGACAAAGACTGCGTTCGTCAGGGAAGTAGAGCGGGTGGGACGCGACTCCATTTACTGGGTACGACGGGAAGCGTCTTTTGCGTTGGGAGCGCTTGCCAAAGTGGTTCCTGCAGAGGTCGCTGTTTTCTCTTTGGTAAATGGCTATTTTTATTGTTTTTTGTTATTGACTTCATGTTGATGCATCACTTGTTCCACAGCTTCCTTTGTTTGAATCCCTACGATCGGATCCTGTATGGCACGTGCGGCATTCATCTTTGTTCGCACTGCCCGCCCTTCTGTCTCGATTGTCTCCTGCACAACGTAGAGCGGTTTCTCTTGCCAGTATAGTGCCCCTATCGCGGGATGAATCTGCACCAGTTCGTTCTGGTGTATTAGAAGCCTTAGGAGAGGTCGTGTATACCTTTCACGAGGACGAAGACGGTCCACCGCACGAGCTCCTTAGGCTCTTTCTCGGAAGAGAGGAAGATCGACGAGCAAGAGAAGCACAACAACAAAATCCTAGTCCGCAGTCGTCAGGATCATTAGGTATAATGCATTGTCTATTAGCGAGTATGGTGACGTAATTCCTCCTCCGCAGGTACTCCCACTTTAGATCCGTTCTATGATGACCCAGCACGGCCACTTGCCTGCGCGTTTAATATTCCTGCCGTAGCGCTCACTCTCGGTCGAGCGCGATGGGGAGAATTACGTGCACTTTTTCTAACGCTTGCGCAAAACCGTTCGATAAAAGTTCGGAGAACACTCGCTGCAAGTCTAGGCGAATTAGCCAAAGTTATCGGACCGGAACATGCTCAAAGAGATTTAATTGGTGTATGGTGGGATGCCATGCGTTGCGAAGAAGAAAGTGATATAAGGATGAAAGCCATCGAAGGGGTTCAAACTTTTGTAATGGCGCTGGGCCACGGGGAAGGGAGAGACACCGTTATGAAAGGCCTTTTGGATATATGGGAAGAAGGATGGTTGAGGAAGTGGCGGGAAAGAGAAGGTGTTGTGAAAGCCCTGATTACTTTGGACGGTGCGCCTGGAAGACCTGAGGTTATTAGCCAGATTTTGAAAAAGGGGCTAGAGGATGCTGTGGGAGGAGTGAGGGAGGCAGCCATCATGATGGTTTGTTCTCAACTGCGCCGCCGTGCCCCACTTTGCTGATGTTTTCTGTGCTTTGTTTAGGTTTATCAGATGTCGCAAGCACTGGATGTGTGGAAACATATATTTGACATTGTCTGGGCCGACATTTTGGCATTCGCCGAGCACCCGTCCCATAGAAAGCGCATGACGTACGAATTGTCTTTTCATGTTTATATAAAATGTTAACGCTTTCTCCCTCCTTTAGCTTCGTTGCGTGCCAGCAAGCGCTGGTTTTTGCTACGCAATCCGGCAAATCAGTGCTTATGGTAAATGATATGGTGCATTGGAGGGCGTTTAGCCAACTTGCTAATGACCATATTATCGGCGTACGTATTGGCGTTGCACGATTGACAGGTATCATATGCTGTGAGTTCCGCCGATGGTTCTCGAGTGGAATGGACTGAATCGATCCATATTTTCGTCAGACAAGCTCAGTGGTGATTCGAAACCAGTTCCACAGCACATTCTAGACTTGGTAAAGCATCTTCTGCAGGATTCCTGTCAGGAGGTGCGATCTTTTGTCTCGTGCCTTGAACTGCAGAACAGATATCGCACGAACAGCGTTTTCCCGACACATGTAGACACATTTTTGACATTCTCGCGCCCGCCTCCTCCTTCGGAACAAAATACAAGCTCTGATAACACTGGACAAGATCCTAGGACCGACACTGCCTCGGTCAATCTCATTGGTCAGATACAGCTTGCGGAAACACTGTAGCCGATACTGGGTTAATGTCAATGATCTTCGACCCATCTTTTGATGGAGGACTGTCCGACCATCAAGGTCAATGTCTGGTAACAGATATAAATCATTCATAGGTATGACACTCCCAGGATACCAAGGAAATCACATTTTGTTTGATTATCGCCTCATAATTTAATCTGGTGTGGTTGCAGATTGGAATCGCATTCATGGTTGTCTTTTCGGACGTTCACACACCACAGTCTTGGCCATACATTATCTTATATGATCTGTAGTAGTTATACTTGCTGTTCCTGGCACATCCCTTTGAAGCCACGCATATTCTTTGCTGGTGATTTTTACCGCATGTTCCCGTCAAAGGCGTGACTGTACCAGAAATGCAGTGGGATCACCTGAAGCTGGAAGATGGAAAGCAGTACCAGGCGCGCCGCGGACTTGTAATTTTAGGACAAAGCGTCGGGGCTTTCCATTGTCCATCAGCCATCAACACATGTCCATCTGAATTCCCAACCTGTTTCGAGCTGCAGTAGCGCTGGTGCTTACTGTACAAAGTGCCTTGTGAGAGTTTGGGATGCACAGGATTGGTCTGTTTCTGTTATCATCAAACCGCTGAACGGTTCTCTCGCTCTTTCCTCGAGTCACTTGGTAGCCTGAGGCTCATATGTATACGTATTCAGCATGAGATCCACGCTGCTCCTCGTTCGTTACCTGGTTTTTGGTAATTGCTTCTGTTATGCTCAGCCAATTGGGAGGTTCTGACATTCTCACATCCGTTGTAAAGGTCTTTTTATAATCTGCAATGCAGTCGTTTGCTCAGCGGCTGTCTGGAATCGTAGCCTTGTACCGGCTGAGGGCCAAATGAGTACGTGTTCAGTTATTACTCTCTGACAGTTCGCCTTTATGGTTCGTATTTGTCCAGTGCAAATTGATATTTATTTGATTTTCCTTGGCGCTCTTGGTATCGTCTTCATTTTTTCAATGTATGTTCTTCAAGGACTTGTATGGCGCCTGACGTTGACTTGATGCCACCTTAGCATCTTCCTGGAGATACTCTCTAGCAACCATTTCACTGGCTTGGTATGGTTTGAGTGCACGTGGATAGTATTATTCTGGCTCTTGGAACTTGGTCTGTGGTCGCTGTTTTGCCTGAGAAGTGTTCGTATTGACCTATGTGGAACAGCTGGTGCCGCCGCCATCACTGCAGTTTCGCCTGGTTGGTTCTGCGGAAGTGGAGGTAAGAGATGTCAAATGTACAACGTATCTGTTCGTTAAGCGTCTGTTTAAGGTTCAAGAAGCCTTTGCGTTTCTACACAAGTGTTACAGGCGTTTACTTGGATATGTACAATCACCAGTCAGTGACACTCAAAGTCATTGACATTTACCGATGCTGATCGACTGCGCTCACAGTGCTGGCCTATGTTTGCTTTTTGATGCTGTCCATAATTTCGCACTACAAGACGGACCCTGATGTGTGGCATCTTTGTATCCGAAATCTCAAATGGTCCCAAACGCGACAATGTTTGAGGAGTATGCCAAATTCACCGGTCTCTTCGGGTTTCAAAACCAAGGCTCCCGTCACATTCGCTGCTCCGTTACCTCGACGCCCGGTTCCAAATGCGATTTATACCCACCGCGTCGGATTAAGCTCCGAATACGAGATTGAGCTTTTCGGAGACCCGTGCTCACCGTCTGTAGAGACCTTTACTGCGTCACCAATGGCGATAATGGTACCACCTGCTCTTCCGCCTCCTGCCCGAGTTCATCACCCCCGAAGCTCTGATGCCGCTGTCGTTGAGCCTGCGCCTTCCTTGTACCCCATTTCCATGCAATCTCATATTTCATCCCACCGAAAAACACCATCACTGCCTGCGACACCGTCTCCTCTTGGCGAGTGGCCAAGATCGAATGCTCTAGATCAAACTACCACCAGTCGCGCCAACAGAGTCTTCCCTCCTACTTCTTTCACTTTTCCTTCTAACACTCGTACGAGTTCTGAGGTAGCATCCGCCGAGACGGCGCCTTCTTCATCGTCTCAAAACTTACTTCCTCGCACGAGAAAGCCATCGGGTCCGAGGAGCAGATCAAGCTCGACAGAATCGCAGCATAAACCACCACCGCTGGATTTGTCTTCTGTAAGCGCCTTCAAGGAGCCGAGATGATACAATTACTTGATGGACTGAAGGCAAGAGTCTTACGGACGCCGGCGTCTGTTTAGCTTGGCTCGTCTTTGACTTGTTCTTGTCGGTATTTCTGCTAAATCGGCCGCGCACCCTGATTGAAAGCTATGATCTTGATGTTGTGACGAGTAGACTAGCCTGGTGTTTTTACCTGACTGTAATTTGTTACGAGTCGTGTATCTTGGCTTTCAAGGACGATGGGTTGGATGATATCCATGTTCCCCCTTATTCTCATTGTATGGCCACTGCCAAGTTTTTGAATCGTGAATGTCTTTTACACTTGTTGTGTGTCAACCTGTTGTACAGAGCACCATGCTTATATATACGTAGAAGATCACTTGAGCGCTTACTATCGGTGGCCGATGAGCTTGTACCGAGCATGTAAGAATCTACTTTAGAACTGCATTGGTCTCGATGTCGATTCATCGAAACTTGAAAATATACTAGATGATCCAAAGTTCGTTTGTTTCCGGAGACGTTGCCCTTCAAGTTGCCGGATAAACCCCGGGCCCGCTTCCGAGTCTTTGCTTTTGGTTCTTCAAGCTTCAATGTCAACATCTCTTTCGTCTGCTCCTTATACGTTGCATATATGGCCCGGAAAATGGAATTTATCGTCTATTGATCCAATATGCCTGGCTGCTGTGTTGTACCTTCAACTAACAATACCAGGAAAGTTCCAAATTGTCGAATGCGTCAATCCCGACTTGTCTTCGAGTGGTGAGTAGTTATAAATCATTCCATACCAACTTCACTCAACACGTAGCTTATATATACCACAATCAGGTTACCTTCCTTTCCTGACCCATGGACATGTACACGTGTCAACACTATCTGCCATTATTTCATTCGTCACGTCTCTGTCAAAATCGTCACCGGCATCCGGAGCAACTGATATTGAAGCCTCTCTCAACAACTCTGACAAGGCCAAAAGGACGGCCTGGTTCGCACATGTGGAGTCAGGTGTGGGCGACTTAGTCGTAAGTCCAATTTTGTGGATTCTGGTTACAAGTCTAATTACCTGGTCTAGTCCCATATGTTCTACTCTTTAGATGCAAACTATCGGGGGTTGACTCATCCCACACTGGCATCTATGTTGCCTATACCTCAGCGGTACTACGTGCCTGGTCGTATACGTGATTCGTATAAACCAAGGCTAGAAGCTTCAGAGCTCTGGAGTCTCCCTGGCATTGAACAGGAGAAGGAGAGTCCTTTCGGTGAGAAGGAAAAGAAAAAGGATAATTCCAAAGATAAGTATGTTCGTGTTTTCGAGCAGGAAAAGGTATTGGACCAACGGAATGTGAATACGACACTCTGACTCATTTCATATGATTAGGTACTCGCGAAAGCGCGTTCTTGCTTAGATTTATATGCAAATCTGCTGCAAGGAAAACCATTTTTCTTTGGTGATCGGTAGGTGCAGTTTTCTAATATCATCAGAAGCCCACTCATTAATCGTTCGTTAGAATCGCCGTTCTCGACGTCTATTTCGCAGCCCATGTTTTGTTGTTGCTGGACGCGCCATTCCCAGATCCACTGATTTCAAGCCTCCTTAAGGAATCGTATCCAAGCTTGGTTGATCATGCTCGCCTAGTGAAGACGGAGACCTCCGCCCATGGTGCCACCCATACATTGGAAACTTCGCTATCTCAGTCACTGTCCGCTGTAATTCCGCGACTTTTCAGTAGCACGCAGAAAGCGGAAGTGAAGTCTGATGCTGATGACGTTCGATTCTCGAGAATGCGTTGGGCCTGGATTACCTTGGCTATAGGCGCTGTGATATACCGTCTATCACAGACCGATTTGATAATACGGTTTTCTCTAGATGAAGACACTCCAGCAGATTCAGAAGAAAATGTGGAATTAGAGCTAGAGGAAGAGGAAGAGGTAGAGGTGGAAGAAGATGAGGAAGGTGATGAATCTGATTAAACACTCTCGGTGATTAGTTTCATATTCATACATCGGTATCCTCGATATGTTGAGCACAATATAATGGACGGGGTACTTGCCTACAGTTGTAGCTTGGGTAGTTGCACTACTTGTAACTGTTGTTGACATAAGTAATATGTGTGTAATATGCACTATAAGTAGTTGAGTCACGCTGTGACATGCCTATTTTGGTAGGTTCGCTTCATATGTTTTCCTTTTTGGGCACAATAGCTGGTGAGTGTATCTTCACGTTAGGTTCCCTTTATTGTTCTCCTTTATCTTCGCATACAACCCACAGCCACGCTTCGACAATGAAGAAGTTATATATTAGTATGGCCATTGCTCTAACCGATCCTTTGCCTTTTCGTCTCTGGTGGACCGAATAGTGGCCATTTTCGCAAACTTATCTTACGAATTCCAGGCCTCCATCTAGACGTTACTCTATTCCCCCTTCATCTCTCCAGATTCTCAGACAACACTCTCTAATACTCTGCACCTCTGTGGCTTAGACGCAATCTCTTCTTGATCAGTCATTTCCAGTTTGAATAAACACCACTTTCTCTTCCCTGTCAGTCACCATGCAGAATGCCTTCCTGACCATACGCACTGTCTTTCTCAGTAAGTTTTTCTGTTACATGGCATTCTCTTGCCTGTACTGAATCATACACGTACTAGTCTCAATGTTTCTGTGGAGCCTGTTGTCGCTTATCTTCTCATCATGGAATATTGCAGCCACCAGGTCGTCAGGGATGCCGGGTATGTCTTCCTCATTTCTTTCCAGGTGGACTAGCTAGCTAAGTGAAGTCTGCATTCTTGGGAATATATCTAGTGCTAGGCTCTGCAGTTTTCTTGATATTTAATAGCTGCTTTACATGCTTTTTTGTGTTGATGTAAGCTTCAACAGTTGACGCGAGGGTGGTATGAAAGCTAATCTTTGACATTTCAGCGCGTTTGCAGGCGCTTTATGCCCTAAAGGCAGGAGCGCTCTAGTGAAGTTTGAGTGTGGCTGGACCCTCATTATGAGCGCCTTGCAACTTAGTAAGTCCTTGCTTTGTATTACACCTGGTATGATTATTTACGTTGTGACAGTTGCTAGCATCGATATCACTATTAATGGTCCCCCTATAATATGCAGGGGTATTAGAGGTATGTACACTACCATACTTGATATTTCGCACCAAGTTCTCATGTTCATTCTTGTCATAACGTACCCTTGTAGCTACCTGGGGAGCGTGTGCATCAACTAGTGTCTTGGTACCCATCAGCTGGCTAGCTGCTTTCATCAGTATGTATTTTTTTTTTGTCCCGCCTTGTCAAACCGACTCACTTATCACTCGGCATTTTAGCTATAACCTATTTCCTCACGCTTTTCGTCGCCAGCACTCTGCACGCCTGCGAGTTTCCCGCTGTATGGTGTCATACGGTGTACACGGTTCCTTGGTTCTCGCGGAGTGAAATGTTTCCTCAGTCCGATGTCAAACATCATGAAGTACCATCAGACATGGATATCACACCGACATCCAGTATGATGACTACAGATGAAGAATCGTGCGCTGTCATGCGATACATCGCAGAGCGCTGGGGAAAAGTTGGAGATATTGAGAAACAACCGCCGTCACATCCCATCTTGTTCTCACGAGAAGACGTCTCAGGAATCTCTGAGCGCCCTACTTGGGCGCAAGGAACACCGACACGACGTGGTGTTGATCAACCTTTCGCTGTTCGTCCTCGGACGCCAATGTCTAGCCAACTGAGCGCTCCCCCGTTGCCTCCGAAAGTCCGAGCGAGGGAAGTCGTCACTCCCAAGGACTCGCATTATGTTGAATCGGATCGTGAGGCAGAAGCTCAAGGAGAATACCGCCTGACCTTAACACCACGAACACCCACTGTCTTTCCCCCAAAGATTGCGGATCCTGATTTACCCATCCCCTTGCCACGGCTGTCGGAATGGATTCGAGCTGACCACAACGTGTTACCTGTCTCGACGTGAGAACATTGATTAATGACTGGACGATTTTTGTCACGTGAAGTAATGTTGAGCATCTTCGATTTCTTTTGCAAATTTGTTCTATAAAATATGTATCCTTAGGATTAGTTGTAGCTGATATTTCTGGAAATAAACAAGAACCAAAAACAATACATATCATTGAAATGTTTCAATAGGTATCAAGTGAGGACTGGACGGGGAAATGATAGCAGATATCCGTCAGACAGGGAAGTGCAGTTACTGTTCGGATCCCTCGGATCCGCCAGTTTCCAGCCAAACTACCCTAGACCTGAGCTTCCTGTTTTCTTCACGTGCTTTTGCCAGGGCAGTCGTGGTGCCCTCGAGTTGTCGCCTGATCTCCACTAATTCCTTTGCTACCTCCTCCTCGACCTCACCTGCACCTACGGCAATACCTAAAGAATACATTGAAATAATCAATCGAATAGATAATGATACGTGGAAGGCGACTAACCTCCAACCAGTTTGACGAGTCGCCATAAACGAAGGATAATCAGGAGGCCCGCAAGCTCCTTTTCGCGTCCTTTGAGAACAAACTCAAGGATAAATGTGGTGACGATGATGAATGCATCGAACAGATGGAATGCAGCATGAGGGTAGCCTGCGAAAGGGACGAAGAATCGTAGTCCATGGGCCCAGAGTGAAATAGGAATTTCGACCAAAAAGAAGGTGGTGATCACGAGTGAGATGGTTGCTAGAACTTCCAACCAGGCAGGTGCATCCGGGCCTTCTGGGGGCGTGCAGCTCTCAGAGAGAAAACTGTAGCCCAAGTCGGCAAGAACACAAACAGCATCAATTGTGATCTATCGACGCGGGTTACCAACAAATGGTATGAGAACGATAGTTTGTACTTACCAGCGATATAACAAAGGTGTGCAAAGGTGTGGACTCGAGAAAGCTGGCTGTTTTCTCGCGAAACAAAGACAAGGAGCTTTGCGGCCTTTCCGGAGACATTTCTTCAGCATCATCGTCATACGAATAGGAAAGCAGTGCTTGTTGTTCTCCTGGTTCAGACATGTTGGTTACAAGTCAACCTGGACGATGGCACTGCCAGCGCTCATCGTCCTTTTCGACCTTACCTTTCTGGGAAATAGAAATCAAAGAAGCAGTTCAATACTCGCATCACGTGGTGCCACATACTTAGTATGTGACCCACTACTAACCGACAGGTTCCGCTAGTACGAGGAGTGGTACTCTGCCACCAATATGAATGATGCAAATTGTCATACAAACATAATTGTCCTACCTGTATGGCATAGCCTGAATTAATTCCTGTCGCAACTACGTATCCCTTCACCGCCTGTGTCGCTTTCGTGTTACTCTGCAATTTGGCGCTCAACGTAACCTGCGCCAGTCCGTCGAGCAATTAACATCCTGTTTCTGCGAGTTATCTTCCCACTCATTGACTAAATGTCAGGAACAATTAACACTGTCGGCGGGCGTGGATTTCTGGCGAGTCTAATTGACAAATCCTGGGATATCTTGCTTGCTGGTGCAGGCGTGTCAATGTTATGCACTGCCCTCGACGCCGGATCGCCACCCATCAGGTAGTCAGGCTAATTATACCCCCTTTCTCAGCTCCTTAAACACCGCGTTCTAAAAACATGAAGATGGGTTTGCCCCTGCATCCGTCTGGCACTGATCAGGTTTGTTGTTGTCTTTCTCCGATTGTTTCTTCCTTTCTTCGCCCATACACTACCTTTTCATTCTACCCTTTCCACTTTTTTCGAATCATAATGGCATCAACAGACCGGTGGACTTCATTTCGCAACTTTCGCAAGTACATATTCTGTGAGTATCCTATCGATGAACATCGCAGTGGTCTTATGAATTATCCGCAGCTTTGGCCGCTATTCTTTGTTTGGTTTGGACCATCTTAATCTCTGTGTACTTGGCTCGTAACTGGTCTAGCTACGATGGTGCACAACGTGAGTGCTCGTGGTCGTCCTTTCATCCCAGTCCTGACTCCCGTGGCAGAGGGCATACTCATTGCAATGATTGTTTTGGATGCAATCAGTGCTATACTGCTGTATCTCATGTGAGTATCGCTTGAATTGCGACGTAGTATATTGGTTGAGCGCTACCTTACAGGATTGTGGTACACTACGATTTTTGGCCCGATGTTGCACGCACGACATTTCTCGTAGCTGCGCACGTAGGTGTGTAATCACTGAAACAAAATCATTGATGGAGGTATCTAAAGGAGATATACTAGCTACCTCCGCCGTGTTTACAGTGTTCACCGGCCGGTCGAATTTCCCCTGCAATGCCTTCGGTTCGTCTCCACATATCTTGGAGGCTACGTCGTTCGAACGTGATTTTTTTCAGGTTCTACATCCAATTGTCAACGCATGACCACCAGTGTGATAGTGGGCTCTTGGATCATATCGGGTTTATGTGAGCACCGCCCAGCTACCAGCTAATGTTGAACGACTAATATGATATATGTGCGAAGTGACTGCCGTGGCACTGTGTTTGCCCTTTATGGCCTTCATTCCACTTCCACCACGGCCGCAGAATGGCTCGGATGAGCCGGAAAACCCGTCAGATGATCCGATCGATGCATTACGCAAATCTCAGATGTCCTCTGGCTCACACGCTGGGCTTCTGAAACATCAAGGAGGCCTTTCTGTTGATGCTGCTAGTTTGCCTCCGCATCCTGGACTCCCAAATATGACACGTCCGCCAAGTCTATCATCGTCAAGGTCATCCTTGGTAGCCCAACGTCGACCCATGCAAGTGGAGGCGCCGAAGAGTGAATCTTCTGGCCACGAGCCGAATACCCCCAGTACTGGGTCGGTATATTCTGCAACGTCACCCAGGTCTAGCATGGTGCAAAACACTCCCGGTTTGATGATGGAGAGAAATGGGAGCATGGCTTCCTCTTTGCGCTATCCTGCTGTAATGCCTGCCGCTAGTTTTTCTGCATCATCATCGCGTCTTCCGCTTCCTAGACAAGTTACTGACGTTGCGGCAAACTCGAGGCCCCAGTCAGGTCAATCCAGCAGTACTGTTGGCACTTCGCTGAGCGCATTCGACGAATATACACGTATGAGTGGGGTCACTGAAGGCTTTGTTCCGCGTCCAAGCTTACCTGCTAGCCCTTCTCCGCGCTATAGTCCACCCTATGTCAGTGGGCCCCTGCGTAGACATCATAATGAGACAAGATCACTCTCTCCCAATTCGTCTGGTCCTCGTGTAAGTAATGGCGGCGCCCGCCACCTACCCAGCAGTTCTCTATCATCAGTCCACCGGCAAGCAACTCCAGCATCTGATTCAAACTCGATCCGTTCTATGTCAGCAAGTTTGCATAACCGTCCCGAATCGGCCGTGCTCTCTAATGGGGTAGATGGCAGTGAATACAGTCTACGTTATTCGCAGAACAGCGCTGTCTCACCGGCACTGACTGCGGTGGCTACTCCTCCATCCCTTGCGAACCAGCCACATTCGAGTTTTGAGTTGCGGCGATCGGAGTCTGCGCGTGTGGGGGATGTTCCCATTACCGAGTCCCCCACCGATGAGCGGGGTGCACAGCTTGACAACTATGAGGAGATGGAGGAAATCGTGGTCACACCTCGTCCTAATAGAGAAGCGCTGGCACGATTCCGTATGGACTCGACTGGGTCCATTGTCGATATGGAGGAGTGGAGGAAGCTTGTGTTCAACGCCGCGGGTAGAGCGCTGTGATTTATATATTCTGACAGTTTAGTTATATATAGGATATTATTATCTTTGATTTCAGGACTTGGTCTTTACTATTATATACTGTGTCCTGCGCACTGTATTTCACTCTGATTATGTTCTTTAAAAAAGCCACTGGCGTGGGGGGCGATCTCAGAGCTTAGTGCTTTAGTGGCGTGTCACAAATATGACCAAACGATCAAAATTTTGGAGAGCAGTTTAGCAAACTGAAGTTAGTGCTTTGGAAGGTACAGTTGTCTTATCAGCTTTGACAACATGGGAAGACGAGCAAAAAACAAGCAAGGCGCTCCAGCACCTCTTCCTGGCCAAGACACTGGACGTCCTTCAGCCAAAAAACTAGGCAAGCGGAAAGCCGAGGCGGGTGTGGAGGAAGGAAATCCCAGTGATCGGCCTGCAAAAAAAGTAAAAGAGGCAGTAACAAAGACTAGCCAGAAAATAAAGCCAACCTCCAAGGCTACAAAAACGCGGGAATCAAAGCCAAAGTCGGGGTCTGGCAAGAAAGGTAAAGACTTGAATGAAAGCGCGAGTGAAGGCTGGGAGGATGTAGGTTCAGACGAGGAGGTAGACTTGAAAGGTCAAGTAAAGTGAGCTCTTATAAATTTAGGATGTGCGCGCTTTCGTGAACCTAGTGCTAATTACTGTTCTAGAAACTTACTTGAAGATAGTGATTCCGACGAGCAGGAGGGATTCGTTGGCGAGTTAGATGAGTGGAATGCTGATATCGATAAGTGAGTCCTTGCACGTTCTTTCGTAACAAAAATCCTCAAAAGTTCTCGTATCTAGCGATGAATTCTTGCACGGGCCTACACAGGAGTTAGACCTAGGGTCTTCGGAGGATGAGGAGCTTGAGCTGCCTTCAAAAAGTAAAAAGTCAAAGCAGCACAGTCGACCGGTCAAAATAATCCCCACAGGCTCAGACGATTCTTCTTCTGAAGAGGATGAAGAGGATGACGGTCGCACTACGATGGCGAATATGGAGGCTCGTTCTCGCGCACTTGAAGCAAAATCGGCACGAGATGCCGAACTTGATGCTGAGGAGCTTCAAAACGCTGCACTGGATGATGAAGGTGACGAGGGTGATGTTGACATGGATGGAGAAGATGAAGATGGTGAAATCCCTCTCCCTACACCTGAGGAGAGAGAACAGGAAAAGAAAAGTGGTGGATCCGATGTTAATATGTTACAAAGGCGAATGAGACTGTGTGTCAGAGTGTTGGGCAATTTCAAGAAACTGCACGCTAAAGGACGGTAAGTCACTTTATCTTATGCTATAGCTCTTGATTCCATCTGGCATATGCTTTCAGATCGCGATCGGAATATCTTGACCAGCTCATCTCAGACATTGGTAGTTACTACGGTTATAACGACTTCCTTACCGAGAAACTATCGCAGCTATTCCCTGTGGCAGAGGTGTGTTGCCACTTAGTCTCAGTCATCAGAGTATCCTGATTCGGGAAGGCTATCGAATTTTTCGAAGCAAATGAAGTTGCTAGACCAGTGACAATCCGGACAAATACCTTGAGGACTCGAAGACGAGATCTTGCGCAGACACTGGTTAACAGAGGTGTCACCCTGGAGCCAATCGGCAAATGGACTAATGTTGGGCTGCAAGTATTCGAGAGTGGTGTGCCCATTGGTAAATAGATTTCAGAGGTTATATATATGGAGCTGATCAATTCCCCTAGGCGCAACCCCAGAGTATTTAGCTGGCCACTATATGCTTCAAGCGGCATCTTCCTTCCTTCCAGTCATTGCTCTCGCTCCCCAACCAAATGAACGGATTTTGGATATGGCCTCTGCTCCAGGTGGAAAAACGACGCATATAGCTGCTCTTTTGCAGAACACTGGCGTAGTCTTCGCAAACGATGCAAATCAGGCACGTACGAAGAGTCTAACGGCCAATGTGCATCGCTTGGGTTGTAAAAATGTCATTGTTTGCTCCTACGATGGGAGGGAGTTCCCCAGAGTGATAGGCGGGTTTGATCGTGTGTTACTGGATGCGCCGTGCAGCGGTACTGGCGTAATCAGCAAGGATTCGAGCGTCAAAGTTAACAAGGTAAATCCTGAAGCCTATCTATATACCAACGGTAATCTAAACATTGTTATAGTCTGAGCGAGATTTCCATCTCCTTGCACATTTACAAAAGCAACTTATCCTTTGCGCCATCGACAGTGTGAGCCCGGACTCGAAGACGGGAGGCTATCTTGTCTACTCCACTTGTTCGGTCACCGTTGACGAAAATGAAGCTGTCGTAGACTACGCACTGCGAAAGAGGTCAAATGTTAAACTTGTAGACACGGGTCTCGAGTTCGGGCGAGAGGGTTTTACCAGATTCAGGGGCAAAATATTCAACCCAAGCCTAAATCTTACACGGAGATTTTACCCGCACGTCCACAACATGGATGGATTCTATGTTGCTAAATTCAAGGTAGAGAAGCGCACGAACATCAGGGCAAATGGTCGTGTTAGTGAAGATACCAAGAAGGGGGCCGTAACTGTCGACGACGATGGCGAGCAGGAAGATGTCGCTTTTGATTCAGAGGAAGATAGGCCTATTCTTGAGGGTTTGTCACTCTTCTTATATTTTCTCTATGGTTGCTTATGTTGCAACTGTATTTCAGAGGCTAAACGGACACGTATGAAAGCAAAGGGCTTGCGCGTCCCTCCTCGAAAAGTGGATACAACGGTCGCACCTGCTTAAAAGACTATTTTGCCTTGCCGATATCTTATTCGTGATTTGCATACATCACTAGTCGCAAGAGACGCGTGCGATATTTTAATGACAGATCATGGAAAATCTTTATTCCGATACCATCATTGATTCGCAGCAGAAAACAATAGCTGAAAATCACTTGTAATTGTATCGAATTTTGTGAGCTGAGAAGTACTAACTTGCAATGGTAAGATAAGGCACATTTTTGTCACTAATCCAAGCGCTCGGCAGACTGAACAACCTTTCGACCGACATCCACGATCACCAGAATTAATGATGGCAGTATGTAACATCCTAGTGCAAGACCAAACTTTTACTGACTTCTCTCAATGGTCTTGGTAGCAAAACTACTCCACCGAGGTCAGTGATTCAGAGGCGTCCTGTTAATCAGATGCACCAGAAGTCAATATTGTCTGACAACCCGACTGCAGAATGCCATGCGAGCCCCTAAAGGCTGGACGAACAACGTCTTTTCCCTCGAGAAAGTTAAAAACATGCTTGCCAATGGAACTGGGAAGCCTGAAGCCAGTATTAAGGACATTCTGGAAGAAATACAAGGAGATCAATATGTGTTTTCCTCTGAGGGAGATTTTTACTTTTGGAACTGTGCGAGCGAAAGGGGAGCTGTTGTGCTTGAGCCAAAGGAGAAAGACAGGTTGTGGAAGCAGATGGAAGCAGATATCATGAAAATACGTATGAGACAGCTCTGACTTACTTGACAACTCTACACTGTATGTCATGTATGCCTGTGTTATATGCTGCAACCGTGAGAACACTGTAGTGCTCTGGAGTTAATCACCTTCCAAAGACACTGCTGCCGGTATACCCGCTCGTAACTACGAGAGTCACCGGTGCCCTCTCTCAGCGAGTTCGTTCTGGTCTTGCGATAACATGGGGGGCTCGAACTACATTATATCCTTAACGCCAACTTTTACTCAAGGTCTCATCTTAGGGCAGCTCTCGATTTTGATTCTTCTAGCTCTCATCTTCAAATATCTGTTTTTGGATGCTTCTGACGCAGAGCATGCACCAGGCCTATCTTCTCATCACCGTCCTCAACTAAAAGCCGAGCGTCCACCTTGGAATTATAAAACAGAGCCGATACACGAGAACGGGCAAAGTCCACTGGAGGTGCCGGAGTCTGCGGAATGGTTCAATATGCTCGCGCAGCAGGTCGATTGCTTTCATGTGCAACCTAATTTGGTTCCTAATCATGCTGTTTTGCTAGGTTACCGAGGTATATCGGTCAAAGCTGCGAGATAACCTGGCGGATGTTGAAGGCGACGAAGTAGCACGGAAGAGGATAGAGTCCTACGTTAATCAAATAAGGCCTAAGGGATTCTTGGTACGCTATCCTTCGCAATTAAGGCCCATCGTCACGATACGACGGTTCTCACTTTTCGTGTCGGTGATCTAGGACTATATCAATATACATTCAGTCGACTTAGGAGTGTCGGCACCTCGACTATCTGGTGCTCGGTTAGACACTGGAGACACTATGCCGATCAATCCAGTCAGACTCTTCTTAACTTGAAGTATGAAACCTGCTAAATTTTCTTGCAGAAAGTAATCCTAGATATGACATATGTTGATTCATTGTCAGTTTCTCTTTCGACTGCATACCTATTCAACTACCCAATGTCCTCCTTCGCACGACTCCCAATATCACTTACCATATCACTTTCATTATTCAAGTCTTCAGTAAGGACCATTTTTTCTGTTTTGAAAGATAGTGAGCTGACGGGTTTGATAGATAACTTTGACCCCACCAACCCCATCATCTGAGCCGCCATCTGTGACCATTTCAATACCACCCGATTTTACTCTGGATTTGAAGACCACATCGCTCATAGGCAGTCGTGCGAAGCTTGCAGATGTGGCCAAATTCCACGAATTGATTCGGCATCATCTGCACAGAATTTTAGCATCGCGAGGTACATGGAAAGTTGCTCTACCAGGGCTAGGAAACATGGCAGAACCTCCAGAGCATAAATAGGACGATAAGTATATTGGTTCTGAGGATACCGATGTTGTACTTGCGACTTCGTGTTTCTTTAGTCGTGGGTAGCCTATTCATGACGATAAATATAAAAGCCTGATTCTCCGTCATATTCCTGTTGACCTCGTAGTACGTGTTATAGACAGCTGTTAATACCACTTATTATTATAATAGCTTAGATTGATATATATATATATATTCACCTGTATGTATTTGCAACAGCGAATTCGAAGAGAAGAAAACCAGATCCTGTTACCAACTGATGGAAGCCTCCCAAACTGCAACAATCTGAAAACGGGCAGTGGAACTAGAAAAAAGATAAAGACAGGTATGGCAATGGCCGGGTGAGTCGCACAGAACCTTGCTAGATGCTTCGGTGGAGATGGGCTTAGTGACGCTGAACAATCATTTTACCGAATGAATAGAGCTACACGGTGAACTTGAAACAGGAGATGGCAGGCTGTCAAAGCCAACGAGCACACGCGCCTACTAAGTTATGTGCTAACTTGCTGGACATAACTCGAGCACCATTTTGTTTGAAACAGTGACCTATTTATACATGTGAGAATGCTCAGCGAAAGTGGATCAAAATGGCACATGCCAGAAAAGGCGGACAGTGCGTGGACAAGGACACTAGCGCTCCAGACTGGAGTCACTACTTCCGACTCGCATCAAGGAGGAAACCGTAAGGTGCTTATACTTGTACCGTTGGACGGTTGGTATAAGCGTGCGTGTGGAAAGACGCCAAGTACATTTCGAGCGATAGACTATATTATGAAGAAACAGATACTGACCACGAATTTAAACAGAGTGGAAGACGTCCTATGATACAACAAAGTGAGTACTTGGAAGATGGGTCATCTTATCAAAAACCGTACCGATAGACTGCTATTAACTGAGAAAAAGCTTGTGATCGGTTAGCGCTGGTTAGCAATGACACCACAGGCGTCCAGATTTAGTAAGAAGCCGAAGCCTATTGGTCGTAGCGTGGTGCGACAATTGATGTTGATGGCGATTTCTAATACCACTCCTGCATCATTATGCCAGCCACATGAGCGTAGTATGGCGAATAAAAAAGAATTAAGAGCCGACAAAGCAGAAATAAAAAAAATAAAGGCTACATAGCAGCTGGCGGCAGATAGCAGCCAGGCAGTAGAGCGACCTCGATCGTGAGAATGGATGGGACCATTGTCACACATGTCACATAGGGATACATACTCCGACCTCCGAAGCGTCATCCACTATGTTTTTGAATGTCACAGGCCTAGAGGTTTGTGATTGAATATAAATCGAATATCCTTCTAGAACCAAATAAATGCAGAAGCCGCCCGCCGCATCATGCCCTCTTCCCATGGACAGTCTCACCACAAAGCTGTTACAGTAGATAGATAACTAGAGTCGTCGTATGACAAAGAGTTGAGATCTTTATGTCTGACAGGGACGTTATAAAATGGACGGTCGGAACACACTCGGAGCACTAGTCAAGATAACGATCGACCGTGCGCATGATACCGTACTTAGCGTAGTGAGGTAACGTGATATCCGACCAGAGCTTCCTTTGCAGGACACCTCAGGCCGATACCCATCTTTGGGTTCGTCTGTCCTCTCCCTGCGATTGTAGATATCTTTCAGTGTACAATTCGTGTCCCTAATCATAGCCAAAGAAAAGCGTATGAAAAAAAGTTATATCACCAGCACTTGAAAATAAAATACAGTTCACGAAACGAACAAAACAACATAGTTGTCAGTGTGAATATTACCTAATATGGGTATCAGACGTATTGGAAGTTTTTTCAAATATTAGGTTATGCCTTTTGTTTGGACGTCCAAAGCCGAGCCAAATAGGGATAAGAGGGCGCGAATTTGTTGACAACCGTATCTCTTTCTCTCTCTCTTTCTCCTCTCTGCCCTTGCGCTTTAGGTTGCGTATCACGCACTTTCCCTCTCTCTTGTCAATTTTACAGCTTTTTCATGTTCGTATTGTTTCCATTCTATCATCTGTTTTTCTTTGTCGCGTTTTTTGTGTTGTTGACTGACTTTCCCGTTTCTTTTTCACAGCACATACGCATTTTTTGCCATAATGTCTGCTACTGAAGCTACCATCGCTCCCGCCGCTGAGGAAGTCAAGGCTGTTGAGACCCCTGCTCCTGCCGTCGAGTCGCCTGCCGTTGAGCCAGCAGCTGAGGAAGCTGCTCCTGCTCCAGTAAGCCAGCTTTCCTTCTTACAACGAACGTTGCTCACAATGTATTACAGGAAGCTGCTCAGGAAGAGGCCAAGGTTGAGGTATTTGATTTTTCATCACATTCCGGACGTCGCAGATGCTAAATTATCTTTTCATTTTCAGGAACCTGCTGCTGAAGCTACAGCCACTGAGCCTGCTGCTGAAACTCCTGCTGCTGAGGAAACCGCAAAGGAAGAAGCCAAGCCCGTAAGGAGAATATATTATATATCATTCAATTTTCTCATTTGTCTTTTCAGGAAGCTGCCGCTGCTGAGACTCCCAAGAAAGAGGAGCGACCCAAGAGCCCCGGTTTGCTTGCCAAACTCCTTGCGCCCTTCAAGGATGGTAAGGCGAAGGTTGAGAAAAAGGTGAAGGCTCCCAAGAGCCCTAAGAAAGAGAAGAAGAAAGAAGAGATTGAGGCAAGTTTTGTTTACTGAGTTGTGAGCATAATCTGATGTGTTGTTATTCCTACTTAGGCTCCTGCCGCTGCTCCTACTTCCGAGGAGCCTGCGAAGGAAGAGGTTGCAGCGGAGACCAAAGTTGATGAGGCTCCTGCCGCTGAGCCTGCCAAGCCCGAGGAGGCGGCTGAACCCGTGAAAGAGACGTAAGTTGATCGCTCGGATGGTGATGTGTGTATGGAGATTGATAATTGCTATAGGGAAACCGCTGCTGAAGCTGCTGCCCCTGAGCCTACTGCCGAGGCTACGCCTGCTGCTGATGAGCCTAAAGAGGAAAAGGTATGCGCTGCTTGCAATGAGACCGACGATCACATTACTTACCATGATCCTTCCTTCAGAAGGACGAGAAGAAGGAGAAAGACCGGGTCAAAATCAGCCGTCGTCTTTCTGCACGTGTTGGTGACTTCTTCAAGCCCAAGCCCAAGCACGAGGTTTCTACACCTGCTAAGGTCGATGAGCACCCACCCAAGATTGATGAGCCTGCCCCAGTAGCACCTCTTGAAAACCCAGCATCGGAAGATGAGACCGCTGCTCCAGCACCTGAGGCGTCTCCCGCTCCTGCTGAGGAGCAACCTATTGAGCCTCCGGTCGCTGCACCTGTTGTTGCTGCCGCAGCTTAATTGTATCACTGCTTGGATCTTGGATCTAGGGTTTTTTTAATCTCTTATGACCGACACGAGCTCATTTCTTTTATTATCTTTGGTACCAAGTGTGTGAACACCTTCGCCACCGCGCTTTCTCTTTCAGCGGATTGTCTGTCCTCGATTACCCCACTTATGATTTCTGCATACTTTACTCATTGGATCTGGTTTCGCGGTTGCTTTCACTTTCATGACCCATCTCACTACGATTGGCCTGATCCGTTTCTTATCACTTAATCTTACGATCCATTTGATCAACAATACCCCCATACTTTCTTTTGGTCGGATCGGTATTCATGTCATTAAGTCTTTCTTGTAATCATTTATCTGGAAAGGACTACGATGCATATGAGTACTTCGCGCATGTGTTAGTGGAAATGTCACCAAGCTTCTTGGCAGCATTGTGTTGGTGGTGGTAATTAGTCACCCGGAAATGACTCTTATTGACTCGGCGTACGGTGCTGGGCATGATGCTTCTGAATCTGGTATAGATTGAAACTGAACGGTAATATCTCTGCCTCCCAACATGGCTCCAAAGTCTGCTGGAAAGGAAAACCTTATGCATGAAGAGGATGAAGTCCTGCAGGCTGTCATTCTTGCAGACAGCTTCAATAAACGATTTAAACCTCTTACCACGCATAGACCGAGGGTAAGGTCTATCAAGGTCGCTTCCCTTCATTTATCTCATTTGTTTATTCGACATAGTGCCTTCTACCGATCTGCAATGCTCCTATGTTGGATTGGACTTTTGAAAGTCTAGCGCTTGCAGGAGTCCAAGAGATTTTTGTGATTTGCCGGTCCCATGCTGATCTTGTCAAAGCAGCCATAAAGTGAGGACAGTCCTCTTGTCCAATTCTTTCACATGTCTAATCGCTGCTGCACACACTATTCAGAAGCTCGAAATGGTCTAAACCCAACACTGGGCTGAAAATCGTGCCTATCGTGACAGCGAAAGAGACGTTTTCTCCGGGCGATGCGATGCGGGATATCTACACTCATGGGATCATCACTTCTGATTTCGTCCTCGTCACAGGTGATTTGGTGAGCAATATTCGAATCGACGAAGTTGTGAGAGCACACAAAGAGAGGAGGAAGACGAATAAAGACGCGATCATGACGATGGTGGTGAAAGAGAGTGGGGCCAACCATCGGACGAGGTGAGTTATTCTCTCTCTTCGCCTTTTGTATGTTCGAAGGCGATAGGTGACAGAGTTCTGACCAATCGTTGAAACAGATCGAAAGGAGATTCATCGATATTCGTATTGGACGCAGAAACATCAGAGTGCCTGCACTATGAGCCTGTCATTGGTTATCCTCCCAAGACGCATGCTAGCATTCCTCGAGAAATCCTAGAAGAACATCCCGAGATAGAGATTCGCAACGATTTCATAGACTGCTCTATTGATATATGCTCCGTCGAAGTATGTTTTTCTTTCTTTATGCATTGGTATACATGTTTGATTGACCACTCTCTTTTTGCACAGGTACCTTCGTTGTTCCAGGATAACTTCGACTATGCTGATATACGGAGGGATTTTGTGCATGGCGTCCTCACTTCCGATCTGCTCATGAAAAATATCTATTGCTATATAGCTAAAGAGGGCTACGCTGCTCGTGTTAAGGATACAAAAAGTTATGCTTCTGTCAGGTGTGTATGTGTAGTCATCAACAGTATGTTCAAACTTTGAACCATCTTCACAGCAAGGATATATTGGCGCGATGGACATTCCCTCTAGTACCTGACGATGACCATCCAGCCGGACACAATTACGAACATCTTCGAGGTAACAAGTACATTGCTAGAGACAATACTGTGTCCCTTTCCCGGTAATTATCCGTTCCTTCAATTTTGTGTCCCTATAAACGATGCTTATTCCTACTGTTCACAAGTACTTGCAAGATCGGGAATAACGTTTTGATTGGTTCACACTCCCAGATTGCCGACAATGCACAAGTTTTAGCCTCTGTGCTTGGCCAGCGATGCAAGATTGGCGCAGGTAGTGTCGTTCGTGATTCGTATCTCTTTGACGGTGTGACGATAGGCCCAAATTGCGTGATCGAGAGCAGTATTGTGGGCGCGGGGGTACACATCAAAGAGCAAAGTCAAGTGGAGAGAGGGTGTCTGATTGGTGACGGAGTGGTTGTGGGACCCCGTGCAACACTGATGCCTTTCGAAAGGTTGTCGCGAAAACGATCCATAGAGAGCGATGAGGAAGACGACGAAGATGGTGAAGACGAGGACGATGAAGATGAAGCAGACGATGAAGGCGAAGAGGACGATGACGATGACGATGAGGACGACGTAGACTCTGACTTAGAAGAGGTTGAAGCCAGTAAGTTATCGTGTTCACGTAACAGAAAATCTCACCTGACCTTCCCTAAGACCAGGATCCGGATTCTTTGGAATACCTTGGAAAGGATAACAATGCTGTCATATGGCCGAGGGTTTCGTTGGACGAAGACGAAGACGTGGATGAACTCGAGGGTGCAGATAACCAAAGGCTCATGCGCATAGGTTTGTATAATTTTATCCCTTCGATATTCACTCGCGTTCAACGTTGGTTACTAGGAGATTCTGCATCGGATCTAGAACTCTCAGACCTAGGATCTGAATCTTCGGATTCCGAGTCGGATTCGGAGTCCTCCTCCTCGGATGATGATTTCGGTGGTTCTAACCCCTCGTCCTCCGTGACTTCCTTACCTCTCAGCACCCCCACGAATTTAGTAGCGCAGGCTGACACGGCTGCTGAGCTTGAGTTCATAAGCGAGGTAACGCAATCTCTGGAACGGGCCTTCGCGGAAGGGCATTCTGTTGATAATGCGGCGGTGGAACTGAAGACTCTCCGAATGGCCAGCAATGTGCCCCTGCGCCGTGTACGAGAGGCGGTTGTGGCTTCGATTGTAGAGCGAATCAAAATAGAAGAGTCTGGTGCGCCCCAACGACAGGAAATCGGCAGCGTCATCGATAGATGGGGAGGACTTATTGACAAAATTGGAGGAGTGGATGCTGTAGAGACCGTTGAGGTGCTTCAGGTCTGCATCATTCTCTTGGCTGCCTTGTGTATTTTTGTGTCACACATTTATTCATAGGCTCATTGCGCAACATCAATACGCTTGCCATTGTTTGGTCAAATACTCGCTGCTTTATATCATCATGATATTGTCGAAGAAGATGATATCCGAAAATGGCATTCATCGCCTTCTTCACAAGGAGAGGGAATCAAGTCTGCTGCTACCCGGGAAAATTACTTGAAGTGCTGGACTACCGGTGCCCATATGATACAACAGTTCGATGAACAAGAAAGTGATGAAGAAAGCGAAGGCAGTAGCAGTAAAGAGGGTAGCGAAGAAGAAGAAAGCGAGGAAGACGATGAAGGCGATGAGGAAGATGATGAAGATGAAGGAGATGAAAGTAGCGAGTCGTGAGTATCATAGGACCGAAGCTTGAAGTCCATGATGTATCACTAGAATAATATCATTTGAATAGGTGACCTATTCAATGTCTTGCACTCAAGCCATTTAAGCCAAGAGTGTCCATCCTTCACGCTAGTACTTGAGTATAATGTAGAGAGCTGCAATAGATGAGATGAGCAAGTTTGAAAGGAAATCCGGCTCGTAACAAACCATGAATGATTCCAGGGCTGTCAATAAACTGTGTCAGCAAAATCAGGGTGTCTTCAGAGAATGACCAATACTTACAGCCAGCCGAGACATGTAAGCAGGATGTTGATCAACTGGAATGGAGTGCGTTAGGAGCTGGGAATTAGGAATATGAAAATAAACGCACTAGGTCGGCGCCACAACCTCTTTCGAAGAAAACTCCTAGTGGTGGGAGAATGAAAGCAAGACTGAGGTAGGGTAAGTGAGGGTAAAAAAAAACTGGTCCACGTAGTAAGCTTACATGATCTGCAAGCATGATGGATATCGATGAGCTCGTTGCTGAAGAATATTTGTGAGATGCGAACCTTGCAAATATCTGAAGCTGTGAATGCCATGTTTACAGGGAAAAAGACAAGAAGTGGTCAATACAAGGTATGGTGGTTACTTGCCTTGAGGACCACGCAGTCCTTCCGACTTTATACTAGAACCAGCATAGTTCTAGTGACGTCAGGGCATGCTTGGAAGATGTTACGTAACTACTAATGAGTTTTTGGGGTCAGCCGATTCCACGATGACTGGAACTCCACACGGTAAGGAACAGTGGCCTCTGTGGGTCCATGACACCCTCAGTGATCACATTCTGACATATCTTCGTACCAAGAACGCAGCATGGATCCTGTCTCAGTACACTCATTTCTCGACATACCATACATACCATCGGATCCTACTTCATACCAACAATTCGATCTATACCTGCCTGTCAGTCCCTCCAGGGGGACTGTGCATGCCAAGGACATAGATAACGCACCGCCTTTAATTTGTTTTGTGCATGGAGGGGCATGGAGAAGGTCAGTTGCTGTTTTGCGAACTCATCGCCATACCTAACTTGCCCATCCTTCCCCCACTGCATCAGCGAAGATAAAGCTGACCATGCAGAACTTGGCCGTAACATAGCCACTTACACAGGTTTTCCTTTGGCAATTCCGAATTATCGGCTTTCACCTCGAGAGCCCACCAAAGATAATTATCTTCATCATCCGCAGCATGCTCAAGACATCTTGCAATTTCTCGAATTTATTGTGCAAGAGTGGAAGGGCCCACGGCCGTACGACGGTCTGTTGCCCTATGATCCAAAAAGAATATACCTTATCGGACACAGCTGTTCTGCTCATATGCTGTCCTCCATACTCTTGGACTCCCAAATTGAGGATTTGACTCCTTCGACTGGTCTTTTTAACGCAGTGCAAGCTGTCATATTCTCCGAGGGTATATACGATATCGACTTCTTGCTGTCTAGCTTTCCCAATTATCGGGATTGGTTCATAGAAGCAGCATTTGGCCAGAAACCCTCTTACCCAGACGTCTCCGCGTTAACCATGAGTTTGAGGCCTTCTGAAGTCTTCATACGATGGCTCGTCATACACTCGGAAGGAGACACACTTGTCGACGTTCGTCAGAGTGCTGGTATGTACGAACACCTCTGCAAGCAGTACAATAGTAGGGGGCTTCGCTCGTCAGCGTATGTGGCGAAGAATTTCGATCACCTTAAGGAAGGGCATAACGAGATCCTCAAGGGTCACGATTATGTCAAGATTGCGGGCGCGTTTATCGTGGGGGATTCTTCTAGGTCCATATAGTGTGCGCTGCTAGTATTACATCGGCTAAAAATCACAAAAATACTTGGACCAATAAGTATTGATATGGTCATGTACTTGTATTTAATTCTTCGAGTGCCCTTTCTAAGCCATGTGCTGCTCTGTCAATATCGCCCATAGTGTTATAAAGAGGGGCGATGGTCAAGCGAATAACATCAGGTTCCCTTTTATCACCGACCACGCCCTCTTCTAATAATCTGTCAAACACCTTGCCCATAGCGCCCGATCCAGTTGGCAGAAATAGGAGTGATAGCTGAGCACCCCGTGATTCAGGATCACTCGGCGTGATGACCGCGAAGCCAAATCTTTGCGGCTGAGAATTCTGGCCGTCCCGGTTCTTATCGTTCGTCGCGGAAGGATATCTTGCGGAAACCTCATGTACGGGTACGTAGAACTTGGATTTTTCAAGTTCTCCCTCTAGATGTAGGGTCAACGACTCAGATCTCTTTCGCAGAAGGTCCATCGAGCCAACTCTCTTGAAGGCCTGGAGAGAGCCGAGGAGAGAGACGATATTAAGGACGGAGGGGTTGGACTGCTGATAGCCTTGGGCGCCCGGGATGGCGTTAAATAAAGGAGGCATGGAAAAGCGCGTGGAAGGGTCGTGGCCCCACCAGCCTGCATATCTATCATGACCAAATGATGGAAAATTCCACGGTGAGATATGAAGCAAGAGTATCAGACAAAGACATACTGCGGAGGCCTGGTGTTATTCCATTTTTCGTGAATGAATAGCCCAGCTATCCCTCCGGGACCGGAGTTCAGATATTTATATGAACACCAGACAGCAAAGTCGACGTCCCACTCGTGAAGAGCCATGGGAACGTTCCCAACAGCGTGAGCAAGGTCCCAGCCACAAATACAGCCCTATAACATGCTGCCTTTAGCAGCAGAAAGAGGATAAATTCCAGAAAACGAAAACAAAGAATATTTTTAAAGAAGCGGAACGCATTCCTCGCGTCACATGCGATGGACGTCCGTATATATACGTAAAGGCTACTGGCAAACGCACCTGTTCCTTAGCTGCCTTCGTGATGGCTTGCATGGGAAACCATTGGCCAGTATAGTATTGCACGCCGCTGAAGATGACAAGGGCGATGGAATTGCCTTGTTTGGTAATGAGGTCTATAATATCGCTTTCGCGAAGAGTGAATTCGCCTGTGCGAGGGGCAAGTTCGATAATGGCGTCGGTTGGATCATATCCGTGCAAGACCGCTTGGGACGCAAATGCATACTAGTGACAATTTTTGAGTGTGTCATTGGGGGACCTACCTAGATGCTCGGAGGTGTAAGGCTTACCTGATCTGATGGGAATGCCTTGGCTTCACACAAGATCTTGTATCGGTCGGGTGTGGGTTTGTAGAAAGCCGACAGCATAAGATGGAGATTCGCTGTCAGGGTACTCATGCACGCCACTTCCTTTTCCTTGGCACCTAGAGGGGACAAAGTAGATACCTTACAGGTTCCACGGAGATGGATTGGTTATATGATCGAAGGACTGACCGACTATTTCAGCGAGAAGTGGGGTAACGGTGTCGGCAATGTTCAGCCACTCTCTTCCGTGAGGATGTGAGAAATGACCTTCTACAGCGCTGTACGGTATGATGAGGTGGTGCATTGTGGCTGAGCCGAGTTGGGGGAGCATACCGTGTTCGCCATACTTTGAGTTCGTCGTTGATAAGTTTTTCCGACTGTTTTGAGAGCGGTCCAAGGGAATTTCCACAGAGGTAGGCACAAGAGTCGTCAGCTGTGATAGATTAGAAGAAAGAGTTGAAGCATGGGTGGTGGATTACCTGTTGTTTCTGGCAGACGGGTCGCGCCAATGTCTGTGTTTGTTGGGATGGCAAAGTCATCTAGTAAGGGGGTGGAGAGATCCTCAAGTGCGCCCATGGAAAGTGTCGAGATTGAATGAAGAGGTAAGCGTTGAATGAGTCCGATCTGAGATCGATCTCGCCGCGGCTGGCCAATTAGGCGAGCCCGACCAGCCCCGGTTCAAGTCAGTCTTGCTCAACATGTCCTCTCCCCGCAACGTCGTCGTCGTCGTCGGCGCTGGTCCTGTGGGATGTCTCGCTGCTCTAGCTCTCGCAAAGATGGGCTGGAGCGTGCACATATACGAAGCAAGACCTGGTCCGTGCACCCCTCTCGTTATATGTTTGTTCTCATTTTCCTCTAGATTTACGGCTACCATCATCGAAGACTGCTGCCCAACAGCGATCTATCAACCTGGCCATCTCCTCGCGGGGGATTGCCGCCCTACAGGCAGTCGACCCCGCTGCAACGGATAGGTTTTTGCAGACTGTCATTCCCATGCATGGACGGATGATCCACGACAAAGATGGCGGATTACATAGCCAGCTCTATGATAGGCACGGCCAGGTGTGTATGTACCTTCTGAGCGGCCCGTGTGACTACTCTACGCGCCATATCTATTCATAAGATCTAGACGTAGCTCATCTTCATCCCGCTTCTGCTGTCCCCTAGTGCATCAATTCCATAGATCGCGCCCTTTTGAACGAGGGCTTACTTGAAGAGGCTTCTGCCGTCCCGACCGTCCGTCTGTTCTTCAACCATAAAGTTCAGTCTATCGACTTCGACAGCAGAACGCTCGTCGTCCATGATGTGGAAGCGGATACGATTACCCGTATCGGATTTCATTTCTGCATTGGTGCAGATGGAAGCTACTCTGTTATCCGGCGACAACTCATGAGAGTCGTTCGGTTCGTCCCTATCCTTTTATTTCGTATTTCGTCCCATTTTATATTTGTTATTTTCCTCGCAGAATGGACTTCCAGCAGGAATATATTCCGCATGAGTATATTGAACTCAAAATGCCGGCAGGGAAGGATAAGGACGGCAAACCTAGCTTTTTGCTTGATCCGAATCACCTCCACATATGGCCTCGCCATTCTTTTATGCTCATCGCTCTACCAAACAAAGTAAACACCCACGCTTCTCTTTTTTTTCTTCCCACATGTCAACAATTTTTCAATTCTAGGATAAATCTTTCACCTGCACTCTTTTTGCACCTACCACCGAGCTCGATCGTTTGACCACGCGGGAACATATTTTGTCTTGGTTCAAGGCTCATTTTTCGGATGCTCTGATATTACTAGGAGAGGACAAATTACTGCAAGACTTTGAGAAAAATCCACGCAGCCCTTTAATATCAACAAAGGTGTGTGCGTGTCTTCAGTCATGCGTTGCGATGCCGAATTTAATATAACATCGATGAACCAGGCAAGACCCTATCATTACAAAGACCGTGGCGTGATATTAGGCGATGCAGCTCACTCCATGGTCCCCTTCTACGGCCAAGGTCTCAACTGCGGTCTTGAGGACGTAAGGGTTTTGCAAGCATTGCTTCGTGAGGAAGGTGTTACCCCAGACGGTGCCCTAGCTGAAACAGGCGACAACGGGTCTACTGACCAGAGGCTTCTTAATGCTCTTACTCGCTATTCAACTTCCAGACATGATGACCTTATTGCCATATGTGACCTCGCAATGGACAATTAGTAAGTTCGTCCCTTTCATATGTGTTGCCATGATCCGCTCATTCGTCAATGTTCAGCGTCGAGATGCGTCATTCTGTGACAACACCCGGTTACATCTTTAGGAAAGCCCTTGACAACATGTTGTTTGCACTGAGTTCCAGAAAGCAATTCTCGCTATCCTTGCTCGGACCGCTCTTGTCGAGGGTTCCCTTTCCTACTACTCATCCCAGCGGCTGGCTTCCCTTATACACTATGATCACATTTCGTCCGGATATCAGCTATTCCACGGCTAAGAGGAAGGCAACGAGGCAATCGCACATTCTTTCAAGAGTTGGTCAGATCGGAGCCGCCGCATTTGGCGCCACGAGCTTCTATCTTCTGTTGGGAGCGTTGCGTCGGATACAGAGTCAAAGATGACATCTACGAATTATCAAACTTTGTTCACTTGATGAAGTTCCCAGTGTGTGTATTGTTATCTTCCTGCGGAAAAACAACGGTATCGGTGTAGAACTATCACGAGAAGTGTAGTCTAGAATTTACCTACAGTAGCTGTTAAGGGGTTCTTAGCGGTAATTAATCCGGGTACTGAAGTACTGTGGCAATGTTTTTCAAAACACGAGGCACATCAACTGAGAACAAGAACAAAGTGGCTCGCTCACATTGTGATCAAGTCTAATCCGTTTGAAGAAACATGTCTGGTTGCTCTATGAAAACACGATTTGTTCACATGTAAATATTTATAAGCAACAAGAACAACAACAATTCAACAAAGGAGTAAGCAACATAGCATCCCGGAAACGTTACATTATATATTCGTGAATATAGTTTGACCCGACACTGGTAACACAAAAAGAGTCGTAATTGTCGTTAAGGATTCTTCGAAGATAGGAGTTGACATAACAAGAAAATCGTCACTAGCGACGATGAAGAAGCCAACTGAGAGAGCGCGCAGAAACAAACAAGTCAACTCTGCTACTGTTTATTGACTCTTCGGTGGTCGTCCTCTTTTTCTTTTCGTACTTGTTTCTGGACTAGCTTCACCATTCCCCCCAGATTCTGCTCCTGCAGCAGTTTCTGTTTTAGATGTTTTGGGTGGACGACCACGTTTGCGCTTCGTCACTGGTTCTTCTTCCCCAGATTCGTTTGCTTTTCTTTCCTGTAGAATACAGACGATCAAGCGATAAGTTAGAAATATACGTTTATAAAATGATATAATTGGTTTGTGGTACTTGCCTTGGGCGGTCTGCCGCGTTTTCTCTTGACTCCAGCCTCTGAAGAGGCGCCTGGTGCGGTTGAACCCCCTGATTTTTTATTTCTGCTCCCTTTGGGACGACCGCGTCCCCGTTTTACAGGTGCAGCATCGCTAACCTCACCAGCACCTATATAGAAGGGGGGATGTGTGATCAAAATGCCGGACAACAGCAGAGTGAACTGACGGGGAAACGTCCTGCTCACCCTCTGTTTCGTCAGCTGTTGGTTGTTCTCTCTCATCTAAATCGTCGAATTTATTATCGGCTACGGCTTCCTGCTGAGGAGAAGCCGACATTGTGGAAGGCAGATGCGCAGCGATTCAAGGCGTGGTAGGCGAGGGTAGATAGCAGAAAGACGTCCGCGACGAGGAAAGAGAAGGAAAAAGCGGGGAAAGGGTGTGTGCCCTCGTTTTAACGAATAATTCCCCCTACCGAATATAGATGGATATGTATTGTTGTTCCCTCGCGTGCACATCTCGACCAAAACTGGGTCTTATTATTATCATTCAGCAATCTTCCTGTTCGTTGGTTGATTTTTTCCCCTGATATTCGGGGACATACGTACGTAATTGCGAAACGCTGGAAATTAGGAGAAATCCATTTGTGGTGAGAATATATCGAGACTCTCAGGGAAAGTGGCAGCTGTCCGTTGATACGTTCAGAGATGCAAATGATGGAAACCCTGAGACAGCACACAGGGAGCAGACGTCGCCGTTGATCGCTGGCGCTGGCGACGACAGAGCTTATGGCGCGCAGACCTGATGCTGAGGATATTTGTTGCAAAATAATCCTCCTCGGAAACTCATAAACGCTCGAATGAGCAGTCTGCTGCAAGGTCTGCAAAACAGATTGTAGGCCGCCGATCGGCGGTTTGCGGTTTCTGTTGCCCAAGTCAGTGAAGCTCTTCTTCTGTACAGCAAATCCGCGGTGACTGGAACAAGAACAGAGATGCATCGTTCTACGGCATTTGCGAGCCTAGCAGGGGGTAGCTTAGGAATATCGCCTACTAGAAGTACAGGCTAGTACTGATAGCGTAGGTCAACGTTCGAGACTCAAACCCCGCTTTGACTGAGCGGGCCGCGGAGTCGGACGCTTCCACTTCAGTCGGCGATATATTAAGAATAGTTCTCACGCCACCTGGAACAGTAACGTGTCCCACTGACCCGCATATATCGTGAAAGCATATTACTCCTGGCCTGCCCGACTCTATGCGCTCTGCTCCAGCCTTCGCTCTCGCTGTATGCGTGGGCCTGCTCCCGGTCCAAGCCCGCCTCCTCTATTCAGGCCCAGAGGATGTCCATGCGTTTCCGAAACACCGCGTGACTTTCCTCAATAACCTTCCCGTCTTGAACGAAACCGCCCAACGGTGGTTACGCGACGGCTTACGAGGGGGTGCAAGAGAGTTCCTGGACGAAACATGGAATGATGATGCCTCTTGGCATACAGTGCCATCCCTCAAAGAAATCGGTAGTGGCGATATACACGGCGCTGCTGAATCGTCTAAAGTCTGTACGTCTGTCTGCTACTTGAAAGCATAATTAATTTATCCGTTTATTTCGAACCACACGCAGCCATTCGATGCACCCGCTTCGGGATACATGCTAGAGCACATGAAATTGGGACCGCAAAATTCTTTCCTATGCCTCGTTCCGCCCACACGTGATATTCCACAACCAGCGTCAGAAAATTCTGATTTAGATGCGACACTTGGACAAAGTTGGTCTTTATTACAACCTTTATCCGGAAAGTGCCTATATGTACGCTGTTCCTTATTTCGCTATTGGACCGCATTTTTCTAATTTTGCCCCAATAGCACAGACAAACGTGGTTCACGTATTCTTACTGTCACAATCAGGAAATTCGACAGTTCCGTGAACTACCTCACGCACACCCCCATCCCCCAGGTGATTAAATATTTTTTTGATCTATTATTTCGGTTTACTCACCTGCATCCGTAACACCAGGAGGTTACGAACCAGCAGAAGATCCTGAAGTATGAAATTACAATTCCCCGTTAGATCCACTAAATTCTCACCGTTATCCATTTTAGTGGGAATCATATACTCTTGGCCGCGCTCCTCCGCCACCAGAATCAAGCCCCGAGCTGACATTTGCCGAACAAGATGCTCAGGTGGCCAACTTAGAGGTCGCCCGGGGACCTAGCTCACGCTACCTCGTTCAACGGTGGGGGGATGGAACTCCTTGCGATAAGACTGGAAAACCACGCGAAGTGGAAGTACAGGTCAGATCTTGTTTCTCCGAAGTGTTCTATTGTTCGCCGGATATTAATTTTTGAGCAAATAGTTTCACTGTTCGATGACAATGACAGACTCTATTCTTCTTGTGCGAGAGGCTAAGACGTGCTCGTATGTCCTCGTGGTACAGACACCCAAATTGTGTGGACAGCCTGGTTTCAAATCGCGCCTCGACACGCGTGAAGAAGCTTTCATCCGTTGCCGCGAAATTATAGATCCTCCCTCAGACAAATCGTCTGAGGAACCGCCCCAAACCGAATTGGCGGATTTCCATCAACAGCCTTTACAGACGCCTACTGATACACTAAACGAGTCCAGCCGGCCGTTGCATCTCACATCGCGCCGATCACCTTTTACTCTGCCCGTTCAAGATCATGTGCAAGGCTACACTACCCTTGGCAGCGGGGAAGGCTCCAACAAAAAGGGCAATGCATATGACGAGATGCTAAAGCGTACGCTTGAGGCCATCTTGAGCAGTCCAGAATTACAAGCATTGAGCGGTGAAAATCCGCAAGTATTCATTGAGCGCACAGGGGAGAATGGCGAATTTGTACTCGAGATCGTTGAGGAGATTCCTTTGGACGAATTTGCGGAGGCGGGTGATGCGAATGTCAGAGAGGGAGAGCTGGACATCGCACACCTCGCAGATGTGCTCAGGAAAGCAGGAATCGAGGTAAAGGGCGGGAAGGAAAAGGACTCTGCGTCAAAGGCAAAGTCCAAAAGGGTTCAAGAGGAAGAGGGGGAGAAAGAGGACGAATCTCGACAGGGTAAAGACGAGTTGTAACTTTTATTGAGTTTTGCAATCTCATTTGTTTATCGTATGGGATCTCACCGTTTGCCAACCTAATGGTTTGTTACTCGGCTTAGTCTCCTACCCCACAGGACAAACTTCCTCCAATTACTACTAAAATATATGGTCGTAGCTGGCTTTTCCCCCTACAGGCTTCTTGCTAAGATCTGGAATTGCCCTGGATGTGTGGGACATGGAGAGTCGTAACATTCAGCTGTGAAACGCGAACAATGATTTCTCAGATACGCGCCACAGAATTTCCAACATATTTTCTACTTACTCACGATGAAGAGGTGTGCACGTGTACGCACTACCAGTAAGGTCTTTCGATCTATTGAATTCTAGCTTGCCTATACTGACGCTTGCCCTTCTTTCCGTGACTTGATGCTGTTTCGTCTTATCTTTTCCGCTGGGTCACATAGCTTCTGTTTCCATGCATCTCATCAAAGAAAATTCGAGCTATAACGAGCGGTTCGTAATATATGTTCTGTGTATCCGAGCTGGCCAAATTTAACGTACAGTTCTAGATGGATGGGAATGAATATCCCGCTTTTATCGCCTTATAAACGCTGCTGTTGGACAGGGATCGATCGTTGATACGAGCTCTATTTATCGGCACGAAAACTCGGCGCATCAGTTCTCCCAAAAAACGAGCTGCAAGCCAGGCTCTCATCAATCTTTAGAACATGATGGTCGGGTCCCTTGTTGAGGTATTTCATCAATTTCTTACAATAGTATGCTTGCAATATGTGCCCTTCAGACTTATCACAACAACTACCTTTTTTTATCGCACAATTGCAAGCAAAATTTGCCAATTCCTCGCGGCTCGTACATCTTCCAAGCCAGCATATGCGGCACGCCGACTCGAAACAAACACCTCCTTCGTCGGACCATCATTGCGCCAACTTCTTTCGCAAGGCTGCTCCCTCCGAAAATGAATGTGGTTCCATGTCTTTCGACGAATTCATTGCCTTATAATCATTGTCAACATCACAATCTCCGCTGCTATGTACCCTATACCCTTTCCGATCGTTTTCCCTTTTCTTTCCACCATTGGTGGTAAAGGGCGGCTACGCCGTCTTCCAGGCAGGACCCTCTGGATACCGAGTAATGTTTCTTTTACCGCAGTACCCTTCTTGTCCCCTGTCTCCATTTTCACAACACGAGCTGATCTTTTTTGGGAAGCCACGACATCCCCCTTTCCCCTGGATCAACCTATCGAGGTCCCACCATTCTTCGAACCGCTACAGGATAAATTTAATATAGAAGAATATCTCTTATCGCCGCCTATACCTTTCTAGGTTTCTAAACCTGTGACAGGCTTTGTTGGGCATGGCAATTGCCTTCCGTACTCATCGTGCATTGACAACTAATGTCTTTGGGAGCAACGTTCTCATGGTTCATCCCAAATTTCAACAGCAGTTGGAGCATGTGCATGAGCGGTAAGGCAGTGAGTGTCAATTTGCTTCATTGTCGCTATTTGAGGGTTAATCTAATACTTTTACAGATACTTTTACAGATTACATGTATATTGAATATTTTTTCTAACCACTTCTAGTAAGCTGTCAATTTTCCACGCGATTCTCGAGCTGCAAGGACTGACGCGCGTCATTTAGCTGATAGGAGCCATACTTACTATCGTCTGCAAGGCCTATCGGCCCTTCGCCGATCCTTCCCTTACGCGCCTTGATGCGCACACTAAGTATACGTTTATCAGTCTAGTTCTATCAGCATTCAGTTGAATGGATCGTCCTGCTGCGGATGCTGTCTAGTTTGACGTAAGAGAGGTCCTTTGTTTTCTTCCATCATTGAAGCTGGGAAGTTTTCCATTACTTTGGGCTTGTGTCTTCTTATCTGATTTCGTTGTGTCGCCCGTGTAGTTGTTTCTGTTTATACCACTGACTTGGACCATCACCTGGATCGTTTTAGCACTCTTTTATAGTGACTTGTGGCTTGGAAGTTGCACCTGCTATCACATTAAAGCGCCCTTCCTTTTATTGCCCTCGACCACCTTAAGAGCGCATTACCTCACCGCCCCTTAGTCACATATAGACACACCCTCCTGCCTCGAATACACGTGTCAATCTATGATACTCTCAACTCACTATTGGAGGTGAGTTCAAGCATTCGCAGCCGTCAGAGCGCTGACTAGGATGGTATTTCAGTGATATATTCTGATTTAGCATCGCACGCCTATCGTTCCTAGTCGCGTACCGCGCCTCTCGCCTCCTCACGTCTTGAAGGCCCTATCTTGGGAGTAGAAGACACTCGACCTTGTTCTATCAGTGGAAAAGGAAAAATTCCCGTGAATATTGATTCGCGAATCAGCAGGCATCGCGAGTCGCGCGTTTCGTTGCTCCTCGTTAGGCTTTTTACCTTCCCATCAGGACAGTCCCATGGACTTGGCCCTGCGGACCGTTTAGTGAAGCGCGTCTTCACACACAATACGTCTTTCTTCCCCTGCATCCTCCCGCTTTTACCTCATTTCCTACGTTCTGCGGTACTCTTACGCCATAATGTTCAAGTGGAGGCGGGCTTGACGGCCGTCCGCATTACGAGACGACATTATCTCCATTAATACTCTCAGTTGTGTTTTTTTTGTCGGTGCAGGACAAAGGGCCCGTTTAAGGGAACACGATCGAACGGATGATGGGTAAAATGCGTGTTATATATTAGGCTAACGGAATCCCATAACTTTGCCCATTTTATTCCAGGGTTGAATTATTTCAAGTGCGGACAGTTATCACACATCCCAGCCCTCGTTATTGGGTCTTCTGCAGCCCACAATGCACCACTTCGCTTGGAATTTGCTGAGCTGCGACATCCGACCCCATAGATTCTAGATGCCATTCAACAACCACGGAGATTACTATTATTATTGGACATTTATTCCATTTCGACTAGCCCTTTGTTGTCAGAAGCGACTTCTGCAGCTTCACAAGCTATCGCCCAGCGAGGACACCTCCTTATCGCTCGTGCATTAGGCCAGCACGACCCCTTAACTCGTTCAAATTTTCTTCGCACCCTGCGATAACCTTCCTTTCCGCACATAGCAGACGGGTCGAACACACGACCCCGACAGCACACCACCCCATCCTCAATTCACTTCGTTTGCGAGACTGCCGTATTCGATGGCCACACGTGTTGAAGATCCTCGCCTGCCCTTTCTGTTCCGTGGAACGAGGTTTCGAACAAACACCTCGTTCTCGTATGACGCCGCTCATTAATATTTCTCATTTATCGGCATTTCCCCTCCTATCGCATATTGGCTCTGCAGCGTATCAAGCTCTAACGCATGTTTTGCTTACGGTGTGTGATGCTCCGATGGATCATAACCCCACGTGTTATATAGGATGTACGCTATCTCAATTTATCCTTTCTAGTCTCCTCCCAGCAAGAGAATCTTCTGAAAAATCCCAATCGAGCGCATCACCTCGCGGTACTTCCTCGTTCATACACTAGTAGTACGCTAGCGTAATCGCCCAAACACGATTCTGCTCTTCGAACTCGGTTAAAGCATGACATATTACTTCTCCGCACTATCGCAGGGACGCAGTCCACACAATGCATTACCTCACCTATTCAATTTACCCCGCCATGTCACCCCCGCTCTTACGCTATACTCAAGGTCGTCCTCAAGCGCGTAAACTTCCATGGATTCGCCTATCGCACGTGTTATAGAGTCTCAACGTCACGCATACTCGACTGACTTTCCCCCCCCCTATTTGTTGCTGCAAGATACTCCTTTTTCGAAGAATTCGCGCATACATGATCCTTCTGTCTTCTTCACTTATCGGGCTAGCGCGAGCCCCTTGCTATCGCATCTCTTCGAACACACTCGAGGGCTCGACTCAGGTGACCTGTTTGTCAAGCTCATATCGCAGAAAGCCGATCAATCCTATGACCTCCCTTCGTCATTACCTTGCGATACGACACAACGGTACCGCAGCTGATATCAAAACAGCGTCCGTTACCGTCATCAGCAACAAAAACTGATATTCACACGTCATCCGCACTCCTACGACGACGTTGATATTTATCGTCTCGACATCCCGCTTCAAAATTATGCCCAGCACGCGCTCAGCGGGTCATAAGGTAAAAGGACCGTCTGATAATCAAAGTTGGCATGGCGCTTCTTCATGACGCAAGACGGGTGCGACTAGCTCGGTGCGATTACTTCATGTATCATACTCGAGGACTCGTGGAATATAACAAGTGCTCGCTCTTGACATAATCCGGTGATGGCGCTGTTGCTCCGGCGTGCGTTTAATAAGGGCTGTGACGCGAAAGAGACCCGAAAACGCTATCAATATTGCCGTCAAAGGGGAAAACCCATAGGACGACTCAAGTAGAATAGATTAACTTGACTGGGAGGGAGAGAACATATGATGTAAATATTGAAAAGTGAAAGTACACACAACTTGGGAGGCCAAGTTCCAAGTATATATATAAAAACGATGCCCACATGGCCGTCGAAGCAAATGACGTGGAGGTTGCGATCATGAGCCACGAAGAATGAGAAAGGAAAAACGATATAAACGAGAATGAAAAAAATTCAAAAATCAATTCATAGGCAAAATAGTAAGGAAGTAATGATTGATAGGTTGGGGGTGGGGGCATGCATGTGGAGAGGATATAGAATGGGATCATCTCGTATCTTGGGGTCTTGGCTAGCGCTCTAAAGCACAGAAAAAACGTCCTCGGTTTCTTTATTTATTCGTTCGAATGTATCGAATTTTATGGGGCCCGTGGCGTATGGACAATGGGCGATGGAATGGACGACGGAAAGACGTCTCGAATGAGCGAGTTGACGACGGCAGAGAAAAATGCGATGCCATTTTGACGTGGGGGCCCGTGGAGTGTGGAGAACGGAGGTTTGAATACCGGGGGGAAAGTCGCGCGTGCGTGCGCTGGGGTGGGAGCGTTGCGTGGAGTTTTGGTGATGTACGATGGGGCCGAGTGTCGATGGGGTCCGATGGTGTCGATGGGGCCGAGAAATGTCGATGGTGTCGAGCGTTCGTCGTCCGCGCCGCCGTCTGGGCATGAACATGCAAGGGTTTTTTTAAATAAAAGAACAAAAAAGTCCAAAGTCAAAAATCAAAGAACGTCCAAACGAAATCAAAGAAAAAAAGAACAAACTCGGAGAAAAAGTTATCATCATCCATATGAGACAAAAACGTGCCTTTGAGCTGCCAAGTTCGTAGCTGCGCATATCAGTAAAGTTGAACAGATAGATAGATAGATGTATGGAGAAAGGTGAGTGAGCGAGAGAGTAAAAATAATTTCATTTTATTCACATTATGCCATCTTTCGTTACTGGTGTCAAATCAAAAGTGTAAAGAAGAGAAATAAACAAAAAGATGATGAAACAAAAGAAAAAAGTCGTCGTCGTTTTGCATGGAAAGAAAGGGTGGCGAATGGCGACAACTCGCGTCCAAGTACAGGTTTTTTTAAAAGTAGAACGAACGAACGGAGGGAAAGAGGGAAAATGAATATATATATATATATATATATATATCTTTAAGAAAATAAAATCCAGCACAGATAGGATGAGGGAGAGGACGAGAGCGGGGACTGTCGTGACGAGGATCGCACACGGACAAGGCGCGGATGGGAATGGCGATAAAGTCAAGTGGGGAGAGGGGAAAAAGGGCTAGACGCATCCATCCATCGTCCCATCCCCCTCCGACTTGAGGACCCAAACGCGAACGTCGGGGCGTCACAACCTCGACTCGACTCGGGGGGGATGCAACCGCACCCAACGCACATCGAACGACGACGAGCCTCAGAAAAACCTCCTCTTATGGGCCTTCTCCTCCACCGCCACCCTCACATGCACATGCCCCGCATTCACCCCTCCATACCCAGGCTCCGCACACGTCTTAATGCTCTTCACCCACTCGTCGCCCTCGTCCGCCTCGTCCCATTCGCACTCGCATTCGCAGTGGGCGTCGTGTGCGTGCGAGGGGCGTCGCCGTTCGTGACGTGGCCATTCATCTTGATGCTCCCGTTCACGCTCCCATGTCCACCCCCATTCACACCCACCTGCCCCTCCCTCCTCCCCCCACACTCACACCCCCCAAGCAACCCACCTCCCTTGCCAGTCCCCTTCAACAAATCAGCAAGCGTACACCGCGCACTAGGCTCCACATACAGCATCCTCCTCAGCGCC